AAATTGTGTAAAATTGTCCTTTCGGTGCTCTTCAGTGTAGGGACTAGTCTCAAATACAAAAAAAAGTTGAAATAACTGAGGCACTCAAAAAGTACGGAATAATTAAAAGCCTTTAATACCACATGGCAGATTAAGTTAAAATCACACCAACGCATTTCAGCCCTTCTTTCCAAAACGAGTTGTGTGATTTTAATGTTATTAGGTTCTTTTTTCCAGGATTATAAACCGGGACGAGGGGGCTTTTTTACTCTCACACACCTGGGACACAGTTTTAGTGCCGTAGTCCATAGAGGTTCACTTGGTCTTCCGATATTTTATAAGGTTATGAGGTTCTTTTTACAGACGAAGAGTTTGTTTTCATACCTGACAGTTTCGACTGCTCACTAGCGTCTTCCTCAGAGTCACGTGATGTTGCTGTGACGTGTCCGATCTGCTGATTTATTCAGGTTTTGGCGCTGTCTTCCTACCGGTGGAGGCAGGACGACAGCGCCATTTGCAGTCCGACTTCCTCAGGACAGTATCCCAGGTGTGTGAGAGTAAAAAAGCCCCCTCCTCCCGGTTTATAGTCCCGTTTTACTAGTCTACAGTCGAAACTGTCAGGTATGAAAACAAACTCTTGGTCTGAAAAAAGAACCTAATAACATAAAATATCGGAAGACCAAATGAACCTCATTTATATAACTTTATTTTAACTTTATCTGCCATGTGGTATTAGATGCTTTTTAATTATTCTGTACTAATAACATTTTTAGTATCGATACCTGTGAAAAATTTGTATCTAGTTTCGATGCTAGTTTTAGTGTCGTAGTCCAATGAGGTTCATTTGTTCTTCCGATAATTTATGAGCAGTCGAAACTGTCGGATATGAAAAACAAACTCTTGAACTCTGAAAAAAGAACCTAATAAACATAAAATATCAGAAGACAAAGCGAAACCTCATTGGGCGTGATTTGAACTTAATCTGCCACTTTTTAATTATTTTGTACTAATAAAATTTAGCACCTGATTCTTGACACTTTCGACAACTCGGCTCATATTTTTGAACGAGTTTAGAATGTGAACTTACAACCGAATTAAAACATAAATCTATATCGCAACGCTTGTCTGAAAAAATACAATCTGACATTTTTCCGGCCTTAATTACCGGCTATTTACTAATCACTCCTCTAACCTGTCAGTGACTTTGCTCCTCTTAGACACTTACCCTCCTCTGTTTTTGATGAATGGACCGCTCCCTGTTGGACTTGGTCAAGAGCTCAGATAAGCCTATCATTACGAGCGCCATAAACGCCCCGCCCTCCCCCCCCTGCAGGCCGTAAACGCCGCTGCGCCCTCCTCTCCTCTAAATAATTACCCCTGTGTGTGTGCATGCATGTGTGTGTGCGTACGTATACAACCGGAGACGCGACACATGGCCCTCTCTAGGAATGTGTGCCACTCCGACCGCATTCCTCAGGGCCACGGCAGGGAGGGGCCCCCGGGATGCCCCCACCCATCGCTCTCTGTCCTCCTCCGGCAGAGATGCGGGCGTGTCGGCAGAAATAGTTTCATATCGCAGAGGAGAGCAGGCATGGCAGAGTCAACAGCTGCCGATCACGCCTCTCTTGACTGGCGTGTTGACTCAGTGTGTGTGTTCACAATCAGGAAGAGCCATCGGTCTAATAATGCGGTTTTCTTTATCGGGCGAAGCGTTTCAATCAGAGGGCAAGGCTCGACGCTGTTCATTATGTTGACGGTTTTTATTTTATTTTTATGTCAGATTAAAACATTCAAACATTTGGATTAAAAACATAAAGTGAAGAAATGCAAGACGATCATAACAGCCTTTGATTAAGAGATTAAATAACACTGTTTGTTGACAATAGGGCTGGGTTTTATTAAGAAGTTGCTGATACGATACATACCTCGATGCACTGTACTTTGGGTTCGATACGGTATATTTCAAATCGATTTGCTTCAGTTCAGTAAAAAATAAAGGCTAAATCGTGGCTGTGATACTAAAAGTCTTTGTTAAATCACTTCTTGTGCAAAGTTCAACATTTTAATCAGCAAAACAGTGAAAATGTCAAATTTTCTTCCTCTAAACAAGTAACAAAACTGTAGCTGTAACAAATAATTTAGTTAAATACACCAAATAAATACTCTTGGTGATAAATCGATACAGCAGCCCGCGATATCGATACTGTATCATCACATTAAACGATACACATTGGTATTTCGACATTTTTTCACACTCCTCCAATGTGAAGTTTGTGTTTGTTATGCTCTACCTGTCAGACGTTTGGACACACCCTCTCATTCAATGTTTTCTGTCTTTATGTTTGCCACTTTGTACAGTGTAGAGTAGCCAGGCCGCTGCCACCTAGTGCCTCCACTCAGTTTAATTTCTCTCCAACGACTAGGTTAAGAATCGGAATACACTAGACCACAGGTGTCAAACATAAGGCCCGGGGGCCAGATCCGGCCCTCCAAGACCTTTAATCTGGCCCTCGGCTGATTTTCTCCTAAAATATTTTAATTATATTTTCTATTAAAATCTTGTTAATTTTCTGTGGTGTTTATCACAGCAGCGTCTCCAGAGTCTCTGTACGTGGCCCCTCCCACCAGAGCAGCACAAATGAAGACTTGTCTCTTTCCAAACGCTCTTAAAGGACGATCGTTTTGACTGTTGACCGTGACTCCCTCATCAGAAAAATAACAAAAATGAGAAAAGTGGACACCAAGTGCAGGATTTTCCAAGAAAAATTGACTCGTTACAATTTGCATAAAAGTTAACGTTAAAACATTGTGTTGAAATTGCGTGCAAAGAGTTCATCAATTAAAAAAAGATTTCCGTAATAGATTTGCGTTTCTCTGCACAAATATTTGAACTTATTGCTATTTTTGAGGTATATATGCTATGAGTTTTCTGATCCGGCCCCTTTGGGATCAAAGTAGGTTGGATACGGCCCCCCACCAAAATGAGTTTGACACCCCTGCACTAGACGGTTCGCAAAGACCCCGGAACCGGCCAGTCAGTGAAGAGCTGTGAAGCCATGATGTCAAACTCAAGCGCCTGTCTGGGTCCCTTTTGTGGAAACAGCACAACCGTAAACAAAGCATCGAGAGGCATGTAGACGAAGACAGACATTCTGTTTTGTCAGTGATTCTCGAGATCGAGGATTTAAAGCCGGAACAAAGAGAATGTTTGGTGAATTTTATCAAAGGGGAAAGACGTTATTGCCCTTCTTCCTACGGGATTTGGCGCATTACAAACGTCACGACCAAACAGCAGCGATTGGTTAAATAAAAAAGTACCCTCCTACTGTCGAGCGAACGAATCCTAACGCTGCGAGGTCAGACGGTTTCCTCGAAGTGAAACCGTCTGATGACTTTGGCTAATGGTAGTTACCAGAGACATCAAATATATGAAGGAAGATAAACGGAATTATGTAATAAAGAAAAAAAGTTACGCAACTCTACTACATATTGGCAAAGAAATAGATGTAGTTGGCGCGCTCGCTGGATCACCGCTGAAGTAAAATAACAATGAGGTGCTTTTTGGAGATCCCAAGTGGGCAAATAACTTACTGGATGAAAGAGGAGAGCGACACGATCGACAAGCGTTTGACATGAAATAAAATAATAGCAAAGCGTATCGGAGCGCCTGGGATCTCCTCTTTCATCTACTAAATACTTTTTTGGAATAATAATAATACTACATCGGTTTATAGCACTTTTCACTGTAACACAAAGACGTTTCACAATAAAGTAACACTAAAACAAAGACAGGTCAGACAGTAATAAGGAACAGTCGTGTGTGGGGGGTGTAGGCTTTGAGGAAAAGTTGTGTTTGGAGCAATTTTTTAAAGGTGTTTAGTGAGTCTGAGTGTCTGATGTGAAGCAGGAGAGAGTTCCAGAGGGTTTGGAATGACCATGGCGAAGGCTCTGTCCCCCAAGGTCTGGTCAGATCAAAGTAATTGGACATTAGGGCTCAGTTAAAATCCTCAAAGTCCTTAAAATCCTCAAAGTATCCTCTATTTGTTTCATGGACAGCGCTGTCGTTCTCTCAGTGAGTTTCATGATGAATTCTCCTGAAATGGTTTTCACTTCACAGCTGTGCCACGTCAGGGTCAAGGAATACCAAAAGTGTAAAGCGTATATATTTTTTAAGTTACAAATAACAAGTTTGAGGTTACCGTATTTTCCACAAGATTAGTCGCTCTGGATTATAAGGCGCACTGTCATTAAATGGTCTATTTTCGAACTTTTTCCACAAATAAACCGCGCCGGACTTTAAAGGAAACACAACAGTTGGATGGGTGAGTGGTTTTGTTTGTTTGTGTCGTTCACGGTGACTCTGGGCTTTGTTCAGTTGTGGCGTGTAGGGAGGTGCTGTCTGGGACCAACGGATTGTCGGCGTGTTCGCAGTGACTCAGTTGTTCAGTCGTGTCTAGAAGCGGCACGTCGCGCTCGCTTTTTCGTTTCGTTCCTCCGTTCCGTTCCTCGTCGGCGTGGAGTGATGAGTGTGTCTGTTGGTGTTTTTCGCCGTGCGGTCGCTGTCTGCTCCGTGTGTGTTTGTGTGTTCCGCTTGTAGTGCAGGTTTGTAGTTTACTGAAGTCGTGCTGGACACTCGAGCGGATTCGTGTATGGGGCGCTCTGGATTGTGGGGCGCGCAGTCGTTTTTTTTCATGGGGTTGGAGGCTTTTGAGTGCGCCCAATAGTGTGGAAAATACGGTATTTTGAGTTTATTTTATGCTTGCTACTTTCCATATTTCCACATTTAATGCTTCAGTGAGAATCTACAGTGTAAATAATCATGGAAATTAATTAGAAATACAAATGTAAAAGTGTTTCTAAACTTTTGACCGGTCGTGTAAATTAAGATGTTATGTTTTCTTGGTTGTACGTCAGCGTTATCATCCTCATTATAAACTAAATCTAGACTGGCCACGGTTACTATGACAAAACCGTGTGACGTGTGGTTAATGTTTTTGCGTGTTTTGTGTGTTTTGTCGCAGGACCGATGCTGCTAAGCTCGCTGAGATCATTAGCCGCATGCAGAAATGTGCCGACACGGTAGAGAAGGACATCCTCCTGTCGGAAGATCTGCTGGCTAAGGTGAGTCCTTCACAAAAACCATGTATCAGTACCACGATCTGGTACTGACAGAAGCCCTGAGCCTAAAATACACGAATATTTATGTCACGATGTAAGGAGCAGGAAGCCAATACACAACAGAAACCCAAAGTACTAAGTTTAAACATGACACCGTATGGACTGCACTAAAAGCTTCATGTACCGTAGTAACATAAATCATCTAGTACAGCAGCACGAGTTTTCCACAGTACTGCAATAAATACTACACCGTGAGAAAGTGAAGACAGACTCAAATTTCCACAGGTGAGAATCTTAAAGCGGCTTTGTGTCTCTAAACATGGAGCATATTAAATAGCGGTGTAACGATATCCAAATCTCTCGGTACGATATTTTCACGATATACTGTACATCTCACTTTACGATATTTATTGCGATATTTTGGTCGAGGTTAACAAAACTGTTGATACGCTGCTTTTTCCTCTTAAAATGCCTTTATAAGACTTAATCCAAAGACTTGAAAGTGCTTAGAACTGTTATTTCTTCTTGTCGTCTGCACTGAAATGGAGCAAAGGATCATGGTCTATGTAGTTCCCTCTGTCTTTTTTTTTAGCTATTGCTAAGTTTTTAATTTGACGATACGATATCACGATATTTCGGTTATTGTTACATCCCTCATGTTAAAGGTAAAGTTTTTCTCTACGACAAAAGTTTTACTAATATTTATAAAAACAAAACGCCCAAACTTTTCATCACCGTCACATCACTGCTTTGTACACACACTTTGTACCTTTTGTTCAGTGGAAGTTTGTACCAAAATAATGCTTGTGTTGTAAGCGTTACACTGTGTTCCTTATTCATTCACTCCGCACACAATGGTGGTGAGATACTACTGTAGCCACAGCCGCCCTGGGGCAGAGTGACGGGAGCAGGGCTGCCAATCTACGCCATCAGAATCAGAATCAAATCAGAATCAAATTTATTTGTCATTTCAGTATAAAAAAATACACAGAAACGAAACAATGCACTCAGGTCCAGGTCAACAGCAGCACAGATAATAATAAGAATAAATAGTTATAATAAGAATAAATAGTTATAATAAGAATAAATAGTTAAAAATATTGTATGTCAGCCCGCCCCCATTTTCTAAAGTGCGCCCCTCTAGTCACCACTCAGACCACAGTCAATCTAGGCAAGGTGGTGAAGTGTCTCGAAGTGTCTCAAGAGCACAATAACAAGATCTTTTGAACCACTGACCTTTGGCCTGACGAACGATGAACGAGCTCTAACTCTCAAACCTCATTCCACATGTGCAGAGGATTTTTTATTTCTTTTGTGGCCACACCGGTTTGTCAAAGCCTGATCCCGTCAGATCTCAGAGGCTCAGCAGGGCCGGGCCTGGTCAGTACACAGCAAAAACTGGAGGGTTAAAATTTTAGGGTAAAATGTTATTTTAACTATCTGAAAGTTAAATGTGGGTTTGAGTTGGGGTTATTTGCCAGAGTTGATGTGGTTGAGGTTAATTCAACTTCCTCTAGTGTTAATTCATCTTCCCTTAGAGTTAATTTGGCTCCTCCCATTCACCACTTCAAACTCTTGAGAGAGAAGACCAGTTTGAACCAGTTTTGTTCATAATTTCATCTTAAATTAACTCAAATAAAGTATACATAAAATAAAACACCTCTGTGTGTTGTTTAGCTAAATCAGAATAATTCTACAAAGTGTTATCTGTTTATTCTCAAAACATTAATATAACTCTGGATTTTGGGGTTAAACAGGAACTTTGGTCCAGTGTTACTAAATGAACATTTCCAAAAATGTTAAATTAACTCTAGAACAGACTTGGACTCATATAAACTCTGAGAAAATGTTAAAGTTGATTCTGTGAGAGTCAATTTTAACACTCCACTTTTTGCTGTGTACTTGGATGGGAGACACTGGGAAAATCAGGAGCCACAGGGAGGCGCCAGTCGTAAAAACTGTTGCTGTGTCCTTAGGCAAGACACTTCACCCTCATTCCCCCTTATGAAAGTGGTGTGTGTGTGTGTGTGAGTGATGGTGGTGTTCGGAGGGACTGATGGCGCAGATTGGCAGCCTCGCTTCCATCAGTTTGCCCCGGGGCAGCTGTGGTTACAATAGTAGCTTACCAGCCCCGTGTATGAGTGTATGGAGTGAATGAGGGCGGCAGTAGCTCAGTTGGTAGAGTATTCGCCCACTGATCTGAAGGTTGGCAGTTTGATTCCAGCTCTTGACATAAAAAAACAAACAAAAAAAAACAAAAAAAATCACAGGTTGAGTGGTCAGATCCACTGACCCACAGGTTGGCTGGTGTGATTCCAGCTCCCACAGATGAATGCTGTCGTTGTGTCCTTGGGCAACCCACCTCGCCCACAGTGTCTGCGTACACTGGTGTGTGAATGTGTGCGTGAATGGGTGAGTGGTTCCTTGTTGTAAAGCGCTTTGAGTGCTTTGAAGGTGGAAAAGCGCTATAGAAAAATGTGACCATTTACCAGTGAACAATGCTCTGTAAAGCGTCTTTGAGTGTCCAAAAAAGAAGTTTACGTTGGCAAGTGTAAGAAAATGATACTAGGTACAGACTGATTTTCAATTTTTTTTTTCAAAAAGTTGGGCAAATGATGCACCCGAATGTACACTGACCTGATTTTGTTCTAGTTGGTGGGACAGTGAAGAGACCTCTGGTAGCATGTCTGGTACTGTAGACATGTGGGTGCCAGAGCTGGACATTATTTGACTGTGGACGCACTGATGAAGCTTTGACACCATTATGCTCCTCATAAAAACAAGTAGTGATGCCTTCAGCTTCTCCTCAGCCTTTAACCAATGAAGACTGACATGCATATTGTTCACATTTGATCTTAACGTACCCCCTAGGACACAGGTGTCAAACATGCGGCCTGGGGGCCAGATCCGGCCCTCCAAGACCTTTAATCTGGCCCTCGACTGATTTTCTACAAAAATATTTTAATTCTATTTTTTATTAAAATATTGTTAATTTTCTGTGGTGTTTATCACAGCAGCGTCTCTGTACGTGGCCCCTCCCACCAGAGCAGCACAAATGAAGACTTGTCTCTTTCCAAACGCTCTTAAAGGACGATCGTTTTGACTGTTGACCGTGACACCCTCATCAACAAAATGACAAAAATGAGAAAAGTGGAGCCGAGTGCAGGATTTTCCAAGAAAAATTTACTTATTCCTATTTATACAAGTTAATGTTAAACAAGTTCATGTTAAAATATTGTGATGAAATTGTATTTTTCTTAAAGTTTCAGGTTGTTCATAATATTATAATATTTTGTAAAAGAAAGAGTTCATCAATTAAAAGAGATTTCAGTAATAGATTTGTGTTTCTCTGCACAAATATTTGCAGTTATTGTTATTTTTGGGGTTTATGTGACATGAGTTTTCTGATCCGGCCCCTTTGGGATCAAAGTAGGTTGGATACGGCCCCCAGACCAAAATGAGTTTGACACCCCTGCCCTAGGACAAGGTGATCAGCTGTGTTCTGAAAGTGTTTACCGTCTCTACTCGCAGCAATGTTTTCTGAGTCTTCACGCTTGGTGTTTTGGTGTGTGCTGCAGGACCAGGAGCGTGAGGTGAAGAACCTGCCCTTCCTGCACCAGAATGAGTGTGCAGACAAACTGGGGGAGGCCGAGGGGCTGCTCAAAGACCTCTTCATGGACGTGGACAAGGCCAAGAAACTGGGACACCCGCAGGTCAAAGAGATCGAGCGAGAGTAAGAGCGAGCGCACGCAAACCCTTCACTTTCAGCACTCTGACACCAACACTGTCTATGTTTGTCTCATTTTTTTTCTGACTAGAGAAAACAAAAATAAAAATCTTCACTTTACACTTTACAATTTCTACTAGGTTCAAGGTTTAGTCGTGTTATAATTTTATTACCTTCTCAAAAATAAACCTGGAGCTGTGTTTTGTTTCATTCACACATGTTTGAGTAACATTTTATTATTAGTCCAACAACTCACCCTTATGTAACAGATAATACTATGTCCTGTCAATCATAATATCATTGTTGCACTGTCTTCCTATGACCTCTTGTGTTTATATTTTATTAATTATTTGAATATTTATAAATTTCAATTTTATTACTTATTTTTCAATTTTATTTTGACTGTTACCTTTTACATTTATGTAATTATTCCTTATTTGACTCCTGTCTCTTTGCTTTTTGCTACTTCTTCTTCTTCTTCTTCTTCTTATTATTATTATTATTAATAATAATTTATTTATTTATATTTTTTTGGCTTTATTATCATTATTATATTATATTGTGTGAGCTACTGTGTCCAAATAATTTCCCTTGTGGATCAATAAAATTTGTCTAAAAAATTTTTCTAATGAAGTTGTGTGGAGTTTAAAAACCTCCATCACAAACTGAAACAGAGTGTTTTCAGTTTGAGAGAAGAACTCTGCGCTTAAATATTCAGGGTTTTTGAGTTAATCCTGTGTGAATGAAACAGAACAAACTCCAGAAATGTATGTGAAACCTTCCTTCCACCTCAGTTATAAGTTAAGAGCTCTTTAAAATGCTTACACCGACAATGTGAAAAATGTTTAGCTCGAGGACACAACATAACTCCTCTGATCTCTGTGCGTGTTTCCTCCTCCAGTGTGAAGAACCTGCACGAGCGCTGGGCCAACGACTGCGCGGTCTACAGAGACGTGTACGACCAAGTGCAAGACCTGGACCTCAAGCAGAAGATCGACTGGGGACCTCTTCTCGACAGCAAACTGGTCAGTCTGCGCCAGGGTTTAACGATACGGAGATGAAGACAGAATCGTGATCGCATCCATATCTTCATTTACTCTTTTTTTTTTTTTTTTTACCCCAGCAAGGGCGTAGGTTTATCAGCCCATATGGTTTATGAAGTCTTTCCAAAAACACACAGTCTGGGCAGGTCCAAAATAAGTGAGAGGTGGTTTCATTTTTCAGTTTGTGTACACTGACCTTCTCAGATGATTCTTATTATTGACTGATTCTTCTTGGTGATGAGATATTTGTGAGGTAAAGTCCAAACATTTTTCCATGGAATATTGTCAGTAGAGTCCAGCTGCACGAGTAGGGCTCTGTTTGGGAGGTGCACTTGTGGTGATAGTCACTTTTTTTTTTTTTTTTTTTTTATGGCGACTCATTATAAGACAAGTTTAATTGAAGATGAACCCAAGTAAGTTCAATTTGAGAAGTTTTTCAAAGTTTGGTGCAGCGTCTTCACTCACGCCTGCTCAAGCCGACATCTTGTCCTGCCGCTTTAGTTTCAGTTTAGGCTCCTGGCTCCACTAATGACATCACTCTGTTGCAGCCAATGAAACAGCGGCAGGTGTAACCCTGTCGTCACATCACTGAATACATATCAGTTCAAAATACCTGGAAAAATATTTGAAAGAATAACAACAGTAAAGAGAATTTTGTTATAATTAGAATAATTGTTGATTTTTTTTTTTTTTACGTGCTGCAGTTGGAGATAAGGGGAAGTGCAATAAGATTTAGCTTCTGCCTACACCTGCTCCGTGATTTGATTAGTTTGATTAGATTTTTCTACACTCTGAATATGTTTTATTTTATGGGCATCAGACTGAATATAATGTATGTAGACTGTTGAGTTAAACACTGACCAAATAAAAACAAATTATAGGCAACATTTTGAGGACGTTTCCCATTCAAAAGATATAATAGTTTAGTTTAACAGTCCTTTTTTCATAATTCTGAACACATGTATATTGTATTGTGGTGTTGATGGTCGCCGTGTTGCTGTGTCACAGAGGAAGTTGGGGAATCAGGTGTTCGGTCCCAGTCTGGCCGACGTGGAGAAGCAGATGGCCTCTCACAACATCATGCACCAGGAGATCGAGGCGTACAGCCAGCAGCTACAGCCCGGCTCCACCCTCTCAAAGGTCTGCGCCAAACACAAAATCTCTGACTGTTTTACATTTTACATTTCTTTTCTTTTCAAAATATGTGTATGTGAGTTGACGCCGTGGTGCAGTTGACTGAAGGTGCTCCACGTAACATTTCTGGTGTCTCCATGGTGACACCAGAAATGTTACGTGACACCAACAGTGTTGGGGAGTAACAGATTACATGTACTGGAGTTACGTAATCAGAGTACAGATTATGAGTAACTTTATTCAGTTACAGTTACTGTTTCAGTGAGTGTTAATTGGATTACATTTACTTTACTGAAATAAATGGATTACATGGCGGTATTTTCCTGTTTTCACATTTTGGGCTGTATCCCTTTTTTTCCCCCGGTAATTCCACTCATTGCCGGACACTAAACCAGGTCTAAACCAGTTCTAAACCAGGTCTAAAACCAGGTCTAAACCAGGTCTAAACCTGGTCTAAACCTGGTCTAAAACCAGGTCTAAACCAGGTCTAAACCCAGGTCCAAACCAGGCCTAAACCAGGTCTAAACCAGGTCTAAAACTAGGTCTAGACTAAACCTGCTGCATGGACGTGTTTCCTCCTCTTCTATCAATAATATTTTTAATTTAGTTCAGTAAAGTCTGGGCTTTTTCTTTTCTTTTATCAGACAAAACTTCTTATGTTACGATTTCCTCGTCTTTGTTTCTCTACAGCAAATCAATTAATCCAAAGTATTCAGATTACGTTACTCACTTTAAGTAATTTAATGGATTACGTTACAAACTACATTTTGGGGTGTGAAATCTGTAATCTGTAGGGGAATACATTTTAAAAGTCACCTTCCCAACACTGTCAGTTTACATGATTTGAACGCCAGGACCAGGGGCTGTAACGTGAACAAATCATTGAAACAGTCTGAGTGTTGTTTTTGTTGTTGTTGTTTTGTTCCCATGGAGTCTCCAGCCCGTTTAGTGAAGCTTCTGTCTCCAAATGACACGCGGTGATTTTGTTTGAATGGCCGTCTGTCAGTGTGACTTAAAGGGAGTTACCAGAGTCTCAAACAAAGCGGCTGAGATGTGCTCCCGTCACAGAAGCGAACGCACGGAGAGTTAGAAAGTGAATGGAATTACTGACAGTTTTTTTTTCTCCCCCAGGATCAGTACGCCGCTTTGAAGAACAAATACGACCAGGTTTATGTGAGTAATCTCTTTTACTTTACAGAATGAAACTGTTCATCTGTTCCTAACACAGTTCACTTTAGTATATCATCAATAAACACTTTAATATTATATTCCAGCACAACACATTCTCAAGGTTATAAAGAAACCTGTTTATTTATGTATTTATTTATTTATTTAAAAGGGACAGTGCATCCGGATTTTGTCAGGTTTATTTCCATTTGTAGTCATATGACAGGTTGACAAAACAACACAAATAAACGTTAGTAAAAGCAGAATAAGAAGATTAGAAAAGCACTTTGCTCAATAAAACAGCAATCGTCTTCCCACTCCTTTTTGAACTAGTTTTTTGTTGTGGTTATTTTCATTTCTATTATGATTTCAGTTATACTTTCCATTGTATAAAAATGTAAATCTCTATTTGCCCAATATAAATATAAATATAAATATAAATATACAATAAAATACATATATTAAGGTTCAGTAAAAGGTTTAGAGTTTAGTAAAAGGTTTAGAGTTTAGTAAAAGTTTTAGAGTTTAGTAAAACGTTTAGTAAAAGATACAAGTCCATATTGTGACTGCAGGTTTTGTTTATCCAGGAGCCAGACTTTTGCAATATTCCTATTTCCTGATCAAAATGACTTTTACGTAATATCAGCTGGGACAGTGTTCCAGGTGTGGAAAAACTCATCTGCCCAAAAGTATTTTTTAAAAGAAAATGGCACCGTTGCCTCTGGTTTGGGCCTGTGTTCTTGGTGGTCATTATTGATACTAATACCAGTACATTTATTGTCCACCACATGGAACCATAGACTGTATTAATGGACACAGTCAGAGGTGGGACTTACGAGTCGTGACTTGGACTCGAGTCTGACTTGAGTTACTATTTTTAGGACTTGAGACTTGACTTGATAAAATTGGCCAAGACTTGGGACTCAACTTGAACTTGAAGGTCAGTGACTTGGGACTTGATTTGAATTTGAGCCCCGTGACTTGAGAAGACTTGATGTGTCTCCTAAAAATATATATGATTTTTGAAACAGTCGATACATGTGGTGCTTAATTTTAAAGGAACAAACTGGAACATGTTCCTCCCACTTCGCTGTTTGTTACTTTGGATGTAACTGAAGTACTGCGATGTGGTATCTTCAAAAGTACTACAGTAATATACAGAACAATACAGTAAAACAGAGGGAACTACATAGAACAGGATCCTTCCAGTTCAGTGCAGACTATTTGATAAAATAAGTGTTATTAAGCTCTTTTAAATCTTAATTTGATTAGACCGTACTGATTCACACTAAGAAAAGTGTGCTTTTTAAATACAATTTATCTTAAAATTCATATAAATTACAAAAATCTAAATACTTGAAATGACTTGAATCTCAAAGTAGACAACTTGGACTTGACTTGGACTTATGGGCCAGTGACTCGAGACTCGACTTGGACGTTTTTGGCTTGGGACTTGACTCGGACTTGAGGTCAAATCCTTGAGACTTACTTGAGACTTGCAAAACAACAACTTGGTCCCACCTCTGGACATAGTGAACCACGGCGTTCCAAATTTTTACTTTTATTTGATCTTTAAAAGTTCGTATTAATCTGCTCTACATGAATCTGTGTTTTTATTTTGCTTTTTTGTCTGTAAATAAATTCCTTTTCCAAATTTGACCCTGTAACTGCTCGTCCACTTCTTTGGAGAGTCTCTGCAAAGATCACAAAGAAGCCTGACATGGCAGTAACAGTGTTTGTGTTTGTGTGTTTGCGTTTGCTTTTATGTTTATGTTTGTGTTTGTATTTGTTGTGCAGACGCAGTCGGTCCAGAGGCGCACACACCTCTCCACTCTGTACGACTACATGCAGAGCTGCAGTAAAGAGCTGGTGTATCTGTCCTCGCAGCAGGACCGGATCCTCAACAGGGACTGGAGCGACCGCATGGTGGACCCGGCCGGAGTGCGCACGGAGTACGAGGTCAGAGCACGCACGTTATTATTGACACGTTAGAGCTGTCTTTGTATGTATGCTCAGATTACAACTAAATAAAAGTATCTAGGGATGAGTCAAGAGCTCGTGCCACAAGATCTCGTGAGATACATTTCCACAAGACTGTAAACACATGACAAAAATGATCTCGTGAAGTTTTTTCGCCATTTACTTTATATTTAAATTGGACAAAAATCACTTATACCAATTAACATAATTTTGACCGCAGGACCAGGTCTCCTTAAAATGAAAAAGGTTCTATCTAACATTTTTGTCAAAATTTTGTTATTCATATTTTCATATTCAAAGGACGTGAGACCTGACTTGATAAAAATGGATTAAGACTTGGGACTCGACTTGGACTTGAGGCCTGTGACTTGAGAAGCACTTTTAAATCTGAATTCTTTCTATTCTGACCGTAATAATTCACACTAAGATCTTGTCAAGGCATTTAAAAAGGAAAAATTAACTAAATAAATTTCTACAACTCTTATATCCTCTATAAATACTCATGTATAAATATACCATGACTTTTTAAGTACAATTCAATTTAAAATTCATATAAATTGCAAAAATCTAAGGTATACTTTGTACTTTGGTTTAAAGACTTGAAATGACTTGAAGCTCAAAGCAGGTGACTTAGACTTGACTTGGACTTATGGGCCAGTGACTCGAGACTCGACTTGGACTTGTCTGTATTTGACTTGGGACTTGACTCAGACTTGAGGTCAAAGATTTGAGACTTGCAAAACAAAGACTTGGTCCCACCTCTATACTACTTACTTACTATACTTACTTACTGTACACTATATCAACATTTTATAGACTTAGGTGCTTTTTTGTAGCCTGATTCATCAGTTGGTTTCACTTCTTGGAAACCGTTTGACCTCGCAGTGTTAGAATTCATTCGCTCAACGATAGGCGGGTACTCTTTTTTCATTTAACCAGTCTGCTTATGCTTCCGTTGTAGGGAGTATTATACCTCTGTTGTTTCTCTCTTTCTTCAGAAATTCAAAACAAACGGTCTACAGGCTCACGAGGGAGAGATAAACCAGCTCCAGGAGGAAGGAGAGCGCCTCATAGACGCAGGACATCCAGCCAAAGACACCATCTCTGTAAGTCTTTTATTCATTCTTTTGTTTTTGTTAAAGGGTCCTAAAGGGTTTCCTCATCACAAACAGACCCGGAGTTGTGTTTTGTTTCATTCACACATGTTTAACACACAAAACTCTGCATATTTATCCTGCACTGGAATTGTTTGGATGATTTCAGCTCTTGAATAGGGTGAACAGATTTTCAAAAATAAAAAAAAAAACTGGGATATGGTTTGGGTTGGTTGGTAATAATAAAACTGTGCAACGAGTGCGTAACTAAGGAAAGTTTTATGCACTAATGTGAGTCAGTATAGTCACATTTTCTTTGAGTTTTGATCATTTTAAGCATCTTTTCTGAAACAAATGACAATGTATGCCTCTCTTTACTGTCAGCAGGTGTCAAATTGGTCAAAAATAGAGAAATTTTTTGTATAAAACTGGGACAAATCACTGGTTTTGGATAAATCTGCTGGAACAGGGGACACACGGCTCAAAACTGGGACTGTCCTGGGTAAAATAGAGAAGACTGGTCACCCTGCTCTGGAATTACTATGGAAGATAATCTGTTTCATCAGATTTTGAATTTTAAATGCTGTTGAATTTCTCACTTTAACATTTTTTACTCTGAAAAAACATGTTTGAATTATTTTTATTATGAATTTTTGTTTGCTGAAATTTTAAGTGTACATTTTCAGTGTATAAAATTCAATATAAAAAAAAAAATCACCTTTTAAATATTCAGCACAAATATTTTCAAGCCTTCAAATTCAACTGTCAAAATTCAGAGTGTAAAATTCGCAGTGAGGAAAATTCACAGTAAAGATCCAAGATGCCAAGGCAAAAGCAATCAATCCAAAGTGATCCGATCTAACTTAGTAAGAAACAGGAAATGTTGCAGTGACGCGATCTGATCGGTCAAAATTTACCTCATCAAAACCTCATCTCTTTAATTTCTTAAGTGTAAACCCCGCCCACAGATGAGAACAGCCAATAGGAAACGGCCTCTGTCCTCCTTGCTCACATGATCGATTGCTTCTGCCTTGGCATCTTGGATCTTTGCTGCGAAATTTTTCACTGCGAATTTTACATTCTGAATTTTGACTGGTGAATTTGAGGGCTTGAAAATATTGTTTATTTTGAATTGAAAGTAAACTTCAAATTTCAGCCACTAAAATTCAGAATAAAAATAATTCAAACGTCTTTTTTCAGAGTTAAAAAATTCAAAGTGAGAAATTCAGTCGTATTTAAAATTCAAAATCTGATGGAACAAATTAACTTCCATAAATTACTAATCTCTGCTAAACTAAATGTAAAATGAGCTGTTAACCTGGCAACCTGGAGCGGAGCATTTTGAGCTTTGAAGACGTAGACAGACTTAATAATGCAGGATTACTCAAGCACACAGGTGTCAAACATAAGGCCCGGGGGCCAGATCCGGCCCTCCAAGACCTTTAATGTGGCCCTTGGGTGATTTTCTACTAAAATATTTTAATTATATTTTCTATTAAAATATTGGTAATTTTTGCGGTGCTTAGAACAGCAGTGTCTCCAGCGTCTCTGTACGTGGCCCCTCCCACCAGAGCAGCACAAATGAAGACTTGTCTCTTTCCAAACGCTCTTAAAGGACGATCGTTTTCACTGCTGACCGTGACACCCTCATCAGAAAAATGTCAAAAATGAGAAAAGTGGAGCCGAGTGCAGGATTTTCCAAGAAAAAATGACTTATTCCTGTTTCAGGTTGTTCATAATATTATAATATTTTGTAACAGAAATAGTTCATCAATTAAAAAAGATTTCTGTAATAGATTTGCGTTTCTCTGCACGAATATTTGAACTTATTGTTATTTTTGGGGTTTATATGACATGAGTTTTCTGATCCGGCCCCTTTGGGATCAAAATAGGTTGGATACGGCCCCCGAACCAAAATGAGTTTGACACCCCTGCTCAAGCATGTGTGAATGAAACAAAACACAACCTCAGGTCTGTTTTTGAGGAGGTAACGACATTATAATATGACTTAAATCTCCAAAGAGCCAATTTGTGTAATATAGGACCTTTAAGAATTCATAGTCACACGTAGGTTTTGAACTCTGTGTCTTTTGGTGTATGATCTAGTAAAAGGTTTGGGGTTTAGGATTTCAAAAATACGTGTTGAGATTTGATTAGTTCTGATCTGGTGGCTGTTTGTTTTTCAGGGATGTCATGAGAAGATCCAGGCCGAGTGGCAGCGCTTCCTCAACCTGTGCCTCGCCCAAGAGGAGCACCTGGACAACATCCGGGACTACAAGAAGGTACTCCAGAGCACCCACACAGATGAATCACAGAGCGCCCGCACAGAGCTCACCACACAGAGCACCCCATGTAAAGCACCGCATACTGAGCTCACCATACAGAGCACCTTAGAAAGAGCACCCTATACAGAGCACCCCACGCAGAGCACCCCGCACAGAGCACTGTATACAGAGCACCCCACGCTGAGCGCCTTAAACAAGCCCCCCACACAGAGCATTTTAAAAAGAGCACCTCATACAGAGCACCCCACGCTGAGCACCCCGCACAGAGCACCCTATATAGAGCACCGACACTGAGCACCCCATACAGAGCACCCCGCACAGAGCACCCTATATAGAGCACCGACACTGAGCACCCCATACAGAGCACCACATACAAAGCACCCGCACTGAACACTCAAACTGAGCTCACCATATACAGCACCCCACACGGAGCACCCACACAGAGCATTTTATAAAGAGCAGCCTATACAGAACACCCCATACAGAGCACCCACACTGAGCTCACCATACAGTACACCTCACACAGAGCACCCCATCAAGAGCACCCATACAGAGCCCCGACACAGAGCACCATTTACAGGCCACCCACACAGAGCATTTTATAAAGAGCACCTCACACAGAGCACCCCATATAGAGCACCCCGCACTAAGCACCCACACGGAGCACTGACACTGAGTACCCCATACAGAGCAACCCACACTGAGCACCCCATAAAGAACACCCATACAGGGCCCCGACACAGAGCACCCCATACAGAGCACCATTTACAGGCCACCCACACAGAGCATTTTATAAAGAGCACCTCACACAGAGCACCCCACACAGAGCACCCTACACTGAGCCCTCACACAGAGCATTTTATAAGGAGCACCCTATATAGAGCACCTCACACAGAGCAGCACCACACACCTACAGAGCACCCATACAGAGCACCCCATACAGAGCACCCCACATAGAGCACCCTATACAGGCACACCCACACAGAGCATTTTACACAGAGCACCCCATAAAGAGCACCCACACTGAGCACCTGCACAACAGCTGCATTTTATGGACTAATATTATTTAATAGAGATGTCGGAGCTAATACGAATATTGTTAAAACGCTGATTTCTGTCATAATGCGGTGAGTTTTTGGTTCAAGTCACTAAATAATTCATAATTCTGCTCCCATCATCACATTTTAGAGTCTGAAAACCTCTCAATGTCACAAATCGAACCACATTCTCAAATCCTGCCTGTTGCTTTAGTTTCAGTTGGACGCAGAGACTCTGTCCGACTCCATGCACAGACTCCACTCCAACCTGGACCCCAAAGTGCTGAAGGACAAGAGCAACCAGGAGGTGGTGCTGGCCATAGAGGTACGCCGCGTCTGTCTGTCTGGAGTACCCAGTCTCTCAGGAGTACCTCTTTACCACGTGTGTGTGTGTGTGTGTGTGTTTTGTCGCAGGGAGACGAGCCGGCGCTGCAGAGGAACGAGCAGCGTCTGTCGGCCCTGAGGGACCTGAGCCGCACCGTGGTCCCGCTGAAGCAGAGGTGGAACCCGCCCTCCTCCAGCACCCGGGTGGTGTCCCTCTGCAACTGGACCGTGCCACAGGTAAACACTGCTGGGCGAGTTACCAGAACTGAACCAGGACTAAACCAGGTCTGAACCAGGACTAAACCAGGTCTAAACCAGGTCTAAACCAGGTCTAAACCAGGTCTAAACCAGGACTAAACCAGGACTAAACCAGGTCTAAACCAGGACTAAACCAGGTCTAAACCAGGTCTAAACCAGGTCTAAACCAGGACTAAATCAGGACTGAACCAGGATTAAACTAGGACTAAACCAGGACTGAACCAGGACTAAACCAGGACTGAACCAGGACTAAACCAGGACTAAACCAGGACTAAACCAGGACTGAACCAGGACTAAACCAGGACTAAACCAGGTCTAAACCTGGACTAAACCAGGGCTGAACCAGGACTAAACCAGGACTAAACCAGGTCTAAACCAGGACTAAACCAGGATTAAACTAGGACTAAACCAGGTCTAAACCAAGACTAGACCAGGACTAAACCAGGTCTAAACCAGGTCTAAACCAGGACTAAACCATTACTGAACCAGGTCTAAACCAGGACTAAACCAGGACTAAGCCAGGACTAAACCAGAGCTGAACCAGGTCTAAACCAGGACTGAACCAGGACTAAACCAGGATTAAACCAGGTCTAAACCAGGACTAAACCAGGACTGAAACCAGGATTAAACCAGGACTAAACCAGGATTAAACTAGGACTAAACCAGGACTAAACCAGGTCTAAACCAGCAAAGTATTACAGTAATCTGTTACTTTTATAACGCGTTACTCCCAACGCTGCAGGTAACACATCGAGATCCAACCTGTTTTTGAAGCTGTTTGTACTTTGTATGTGCTTTGGTTTTTATGACGCAGATAATAGAGCAATAAAACAGTTGTTATTGCTTTTTAATCTCACTCATAAATGTTCTAGAACAGACTTGCACCTAGAAGCTGTAAATGAGTTTATTAAATCTCCTCCAAAAGCCGAGTAAATAACATCCTTTTTTAAAATTTCTCCTTTTTGAATAGTAAAATGTGATGAACGTACAGATTATGAAGCTGTTTTGTTACATAAATAGTTTACATCACTGTTTCTCAAACTGTGGTACGTGAGCTCCTTCAGGTGCCACTTAAACAGCTCTGCATTTTACTGCCTCATTTACAGCTCATATTATCTTTTTTTTTTAACCTCATTTTAATAATTTCTTGTGTAGAACTACAGCTGAAATGATATGGTCCACTTTTAGACCTGGTTTAGGCTTAGACTAGACCTGGAATAGTCCTGTTATAGACCTGTCATAGACCTGGTTTAGACCTGGTTTAGCTCTACATTAAACCTAGTTTTAGTCTTGTTTTAGACCTGGTTTTGACCGGGTTTAGGTCTAGATTAGATCTGGAATAGTTCTGTTATAGACCTGGTTTAGACCTGGTCTAGCCACAGATTAGACCTGGAATAGTCCTGTTATACACCTGGTTTGGATCACATTTGTTATAGACCAGGTTTAGCCCTAGATTAGACCTGGAATAGTCCTGTTGTAGACTAGGTTTAGGCCTAGATTAGACCTGGAATAGTCCTGTTATAGACTAGGTTTAGGCCTAGATTAGACCTGGAATAGTCCTGTTATAGACTAGGTTTAGGCCTAGATTAGACCTGGAATAGTCCTGTTATAGACCTGGTTTAGACGGGGTTTAGCCCTAGAATAGTTCTGTTATAGACCTGTTATAGATCTGGTTTAGACCTGGTTTACCCCTAGATTAGACCTAGAATAGTCCTGTTTTAGTCCTGTTAGGCCTTGTTTAGACCAGGTTTAGGCCTAGATTAAACATGGAATAGTCCTGTTATAGACCTGGTTTAGACTGGGTTTAGCCCGAGAATTGTCCTGTTATAGACCTGTTATAGACCTGGTTTAGACCTGGTTTAGACCTGGTTTACTGCTAGATTAGACCTGGAATAGTCCTGTTTTAGTCCTGTTCTAGACCTGGTTTAGACTAGGTTTAGCCCTAGATTAGACCAGGAATATAGACCGGATTTAGGCCTAGATCAGACCTGGAATAGTCCTGTTATAATCCAAGTTTTTTCTTTGGTGTTATTAGGTGTGAAAAGTTTGAGAGCCACGGGATTTTGCATATATATATATATTTAAATCCATTTGTGTTTAGAGATTTATCATCATTCAAATTCCACGATACAAACGATAATGAAACTACGATGTTGTAAAACTGTTGGGATCGTACAATAGAAATTCTCTGTTTTCACATTTTTCGTTGCATATTTGTGGCTAAATCCTCATATTCTGTTGTGTGTCTCCCTCAGGGCTCAGTGACCCGCGGGCAGAACCTCACCCTCAAGTCGAATGCAGATCTGAAGAAGTGGCAGGTGCAGGACGACAGGGGCCAGGTGCTGACCATGCCCGCCGCCTGCTTCATGGTGCCGGCGCCCGACCAAGACGCCCTCAAGAAAGTGGACAGGTACAGCTCTACACGCACACTACTGGACACACCTCAAAATCAGATCACGAGAATAATCAGATAACCCAGTAATTAGATGATTTGAGATGATTTCTGATTTGTTTACAGCACGAGAGAAATCTGATTATTAAAAACGCCCGTGGACATGTAACTGTTGTATTTGGAACACCAAGTACAAATGAACAATATTTAACGTTTTCTCTTTTAAAATCGTCATTCGTTAAAACCTGTAGAGCTGTGAACAGTCAGAAAGAAATCAGATTACCGTATTTTTCGGACTATAAATCACTCCGGAATATAAATTACACCAGCCAAAAAATACGTAATGAAGAAGAAAAATGCATAAATAAGTCAGACTTTTTTGGGGAAATTTATTTAATAAAATCTGAGACCAGGAACCGACATTTCATCTCGAAATGCAAGTTCTTGTAATAACAATAGAACAGAGAACAACAGACTGTTAACGTCACACGGGATGGATGGACAAAGTCTGGACTTCAGTGACACCGAAACCATCCTGTCGGGATTCAGAAAAATAATTCTAACTGGAACTGATGCTGAGTCTGACGACAGCGACACAGAAGAGGAAGCGGCGCTCTGTTTACCTCCGGAGGTCGCGGAGTTGCTCAGAAGTGACACCGAGGATGAAGAATTGAATGGATTTAGTGATTTGGAGTGAGATGGAGAGTTCTTCAGATAACTACAGATAACTACAAATATTTCTAACACCATTTCTAAATTAAATAATAGACTTGATACTCTATACCTATTTTGATACCGTATTTTTCGGACTATAAGTTGCACTTTTTGGGGGAAATTTATTTTACAAAATCAGAGACCAGGAACCGACATTTCATGTTGAAAGTCAAGTTCTAGTAATAACAACAGAACAGAGAACAACAGACTGTTAACGTCACATATGAACAGTTCTTCAGATAAACTATAACATAAACAACAGAACAGAACAAGTTTAACAAACTCTCCATCTCACTCCAAATCACTAAATCCATTCAATTCTTCATCCGCGGTGTCACTTCTGAGCAACTCCACGACCTCCGGAGGTAAACAGAGCGCCGCTTCCTCTTCTGTGTCGCTGTCGTCAGACTCAGCATCAGTTCCAGTTAGAATTATCCCGGCCTTTCTGAATCCCGACAGGATGGTTTCGGTGTCACTGAAGTCCAGGCTTTGTCCATCCATCCAGTGACTTCCAGGAAAGTTTCACGTTGCATCCTCCTACTGTGAAGCTGTGTTCTCCATCCCCGCTTTCTGCCAGTCCCTCACAAGTTTCTCAGTCACTCCAAACTTTCTTTCTGCTGCTCGATCACCGTTTTCGGCTGAATATTTCACCACTTGCAGCAGGACAAAGGCTCTTTCTGCAGGAGACATGCGCAGTAGAGTGAAGTGACAGTGGTACAGGAGGAACAGGAGCAGCAGAAACTGACACACAAGACTAGAGCCTCTCGCAGCTTCAGTGTGAAAATTTTAATATATAAGTCACAGGAAACACTCAAACCATGAAAAAAGTGCCACTTATAGTCCGAAAAATACAGTAGTCACATCAACTATAACTCATTACATTACATTTCAATAATCTACAGAATTCAATGATCAGATTTCCAGTTGTCCTCGCCCTAACTGTGCGTGTGTGTGTGTGTGTCTGTGTGTGTGTGTGTGTGTGTGCAGCCTGCAGAGGGAGCTGTCTGAGCTGAAGGACCGCAGGGCCAAGCTGCTGTCGTCTCTGAAGAACTCCAACGTGGAGAAGGTGGTCAATCAGAAAGCAGGTATTATTATTATTAAATACAAAACAAATATTCACAACCTTTTTCTAGCTTGGAGTTTCTATTTTACCAGTGGATAAAATGACTCCTAATGACTCTAACACACCACGCCAAATCTCTGAACGCCCCCGCTCGACCATTTCAGATTTGATTGAAAAAATTCTAGGATTTTCACAAGTTCACACACTTTCGAAGAGGAAAAGTCCCAAATTTTAGCTCCCAACTCCTTAAAAATATTTTCTCAACTCCCCCTGAGCAGTTTTGAGCAGAGTTTTCCGAGGAGCAACTTTTGGTTTAACATGGTAAAGATGGCACCAAATGTTTTTTTTTTTTTTTCATTTTTAACTCTTAATATCTTCTAGATCGTTCATCACAGAGGGTCAGTTTTAAAATACCAAGTACAGCGCATGTGTGGGGAAGGTGTATGTTCAATATCAAACCTCTGTCTTTGAAACTGCACTTTCCACAGTCCTTCAAAGATGCACTCAAATTTGAAGAGTAGAATTTTCAAGCAAATTCTGTGATAAACCAAAAGTACATGTGTAAAAGTCCAGATTCTACAAGTACATTTACCAAATTTTAACCTTGAAAATTCGAAGGACCGACCTTAAATAGTTTTTTAGATACAGTAATCTGAAAGTGGCTCCTCGGAAAACTCTGCTCACAACAGGTCAGGGGGGAGTTGACAAAATATTTTTTAATGACAAAACTATAAGGAGTTGGGAGATCAAATTTTGGACTTTACCAATTGGAAAGTGTGTGAACTTCCTAGAATTTTTTCAGTCAAATCTGAGATGGTCGAGCGAGGGAATTTGGAGATTTGGCGTGGAATAACCCAACTCTCTCATAAGGAAAATACTTTATAGGAGCAGTTAACACGACACTCTTCATTAAAATGCACAGAACCACTTTTCTAAGAATCTTTGGACCCTAGGTTTTGGAATGACTCCTTGTATGCTTAAATTGCTCAAACTGGTCCCTGTTTTGTCTTGCAGCTACCATCTCCACCATCCCAGACGACCCCAAAGCCAAAGAGCTGGTGAGGGATCTGGACCGGATAAACGGAGCTCTGGAGAGGCTCCAGAGGGACGTTGAGAAGAGACTCAGAGAGCCTCTGGACAACCGCAACCCAGTACATGACCTGACCTCACGCCTGCAGGAGCACGAGGTACTACACACTACACACTACACACTACACACTACACTACACACAAACACTTTACTCATGTTAAAGGAGACGTGTTAAACTGTACGTAATCTTCAGTAATACTGTTTTGGGTTGGAGTATTGCTTTGTGTTTTGTCCGTTTGACTTCACATCACTGAATTTATTTTGGTAATTAAAAGGTGGAATACATAACTTTTCTGGTAGAAGGTCCGCCATCTACTTGTCTCTTTGGGATTTTATTCTTTTGCCTGCAGAAACTGTCTGACCTCGCAGTGTTAGAATTTGTTTGCTTGTTAATTTAACCAATTGCTGCTATTTGGTTGTCATTTATGTAATGCGCTGCTAACGGAGCTAACTGGTATATTAAACTTTTCCCAAAATCCCAAAAGAAGAAGGACAATAACATCTTTCCCCTTGATGAAATTCACCAAATATTCTCTTTGTTCCGCCTTTAAATCCTTGTTCTCGGGAATCATTGACGACACTGAATATATGGCTCTTCACTGATTGACGGTGTGTGGTCTACAACTTCCGGGGTTCTTGTAGGCCATCTAGTGTGTTCTGATTTCTGATCTAGTCGCTGGAGAGAAATGAAATTGAACGAAGGCACTAGGTGGCGCCAGTCTGACTAGCAGTGTTCCACAGTAAAGCAATAAACTTGTTTCCATGGAGACATGCTGGCAGGTTAGATCTGTGAAGAGGTAAATCCACCTCAATAAGTAATAATGTTATCCAAGTTTTTTTGTTTGTTTGTTTATTTGTTTTTTTTTTTAGTAATTATAACACATGTAAGTGAATACAAGATAGATTAGTTTAAGCAAATAACATCTCCATAGAGACAAGCAGAAAAGTTAAATCGTGCACTTTAAAGAGCTTGGATTTCCTTCACTACAAAGCAATTCATCTTCTAAGTTGTCATTTCAAAATACTCACCATGCTCCCCGGTCGCCAGCAGAGGGAGCCATACAGCTAATCCAAGTATTCTTCTTTATTTAACTTTGAAAATGACAAATGATGCACTGAGTCGGAGCTTTTATTTCAAAGTATTATTACTGAAGTAGAAGTAGACATAAAAATATCTGGTAAATATAAATATATAGAACAGAATAGAATATCTTTGTTGTCATTCTAACAGATACAATGAAATTAAGTGCATCCATTATTCAGTGCAAAGGTAGCAATCCAATCCAATCCAATCCACTTTATTTATATAGCACATTACACAAACAAACTGTTTCCAAAGTGCTGCACAAATACATAAAAAATAACAACAATAAGATGATAAAGTAATTAAAACTAGTAAAATAATATAAAACCAGTAAAATAAAAATAAAACTATATCATAGAATAGAAATAAATAAACCAATAAATAAATTAAAATCAGTAAAACCAATAAAAACACATAAAAATAAATAAAAGACACAGAGGACCACACAACTCACGCGGTGTTAAAAGCCAGAGAATAAAAGTGGGTCTTCAGACGAGATTTAAAACTCTCCACTGTGGAGCTGCTCGAACGTGAAGCGGCAGATCGTTCCAGAGTTTAGGGTCGACCACAGAGAAAGCTCCTGTCCCCTCTGGTTTTAAGTCTCGTCTTAGGCCCTGAGCTGGAGCTGGACCTCGGACCTCAGAGCGCAGGGAGATAAATTTGGATGAGGTCCGAGATGTACTGTGGAGCCAGTCCATTCAAAGCTTTAAAAACAAACAATAAAATCTTAAAATCAATTCTAAAATTAACAGGGAGCCAGTGCAAAGACGCAAGGATTGGGGTTATGTGCTCTTCTCTCCTTTTTGCTCCTGTTAAAAGTCGCGCTGCAGAATTTTGGACTAACTGTAGTCGGTAAAGTGCGTTTTGCGAAATGCCGGAATAAAGTGCATTACAGTCGTCCAGGCGTGATGAAATAAAAGCGTGCATAATTTGTTCAAATAGTTTAAAAGATAAAAAAGGTTTAACTTTAGATAAAAGCCGCAAATGATAAAAAACAATAAAAGCAATAAATAATAAAAGATAAAAAAGATAGAGTAATAAAAAGTACATAAAAACAGCACCATTTACTGAAATAATGTCTGTTTTGTCGTCTGTTTGTCCTGGTTTTTATGGATCTGTATCTCCTATATCGGTGAAACGCTGCTCAGATACTCTTTCAAAGTAACTTGGACTTAAAGTATAGTTGCAAAAAATACTATAAGAAGTCAAATTTTTTACATTTTTGTTCATTACTGCTGTACGAATGAACGCAAGCATCAAAAATATGTCAAAAGTCGAAGTTAAGCGTAACAGTTTAACTTCGTAGTGCTGTCTCCACTCAGCTCCACTGGTTTATTTTTATAACCTTGCTTGTTTTTGTCCGACAGAAAACCGCCCAGGCCCTGAACCAGCTGGAGTCGGAGAAGGCGGCTCTGCAGAGGGAGATGCAGCCCGTCATTTCCCAGAAGCCCCTGGGGCCCACGACCTCCACCCTGCCGGGGAAACTCAGCAACATCAACAACAAGATCGACGACGTCAGCGCGCTCATGGACCTCTACAAGAAGAAGTGAGTGTGGAAAAGTTTACAAAAGTATAATCAGACAAATCAAAACAATCTTATACAAGTAGAAGAAATTATTTTAAAAGCGCTGTTCCTGTTTTTAATTCTCCAAAAAACCTGAAAAACATAGACCTAGTTGATTTAGTTTGCAGTCTTTTAAAGTCATTCCTCACTTTCCTTCTTCTTAATTATTTACCGATGAGTTCATAAGCTCTTTGCACAGTGCAGAGTTTTGCGGTTACAGTAACTAGCATGCTAATCGTGCACTTCCTCCTAAAGCGCTTTATAATTAGATTCAGACAGTAAACAGCGGACTTATCTTCACCTCGAGAGCTGCGTCTACATTGTATCAGTACCAGAGGTGGAAAAAGTAGTAGTATGTTTACTTTGCTTAATTCCTACTCAAGTAAAAGTATGAGAACGTCGCACATCAGTTACTTGAGACGAGTGCGTTGGAGGAGCACGGTTTGTCCTAATAAATCTCACAATTTGCATTTAAGATGGTGTGTGGGATTTTTCTCTATACTCAAGTACAGTAAAAGTAAAAGTAACCATCTAAAAATCTACTTGAGTAAAAGTAAAAAAGTACGTAATTTAAAATGTAATTTGAGTAAAAGTTACTTATTTACTTTCAATTGTTTGATGTAAAAACGAATGAGTCATAAATCTAATTCAGCACAAATGGTTTTAATAAACTTTTAGGTGATACAGTGCAAAACTTTGTACATTTTGAAGACACCTGAGCTCACGAACACTTACTAATACTGAGCTCTTTCTTCTTTTTATAGAACTTTATGGAAGTTAGAACTTTAATTGCATAATAAATTTAACAAATTAACAATTTAACAAATTCTGAGTTATATGGTCCAACTCAATATCCAGGCTGGTGCCACCTAGTTCCTCCACTCAATGTCAGTTCTCTCCAGTGACTAGGGCAGGAATCTGAATACACTAGACCACAGGTGTCAAACATAAGGCCCGGGGGCCAGATCCGGCCCTCCAAGACCTTTAATGTGGCCCTTGGGTGATTTTCTACTAAAATATTTTAAATGTTGAAATTGAATTTTTCTTAAAGTTTCAGGTTGTTCATAATATTATAATATTATAATATTATAATAAGAAAGAGTTCATCAATTAAAAAAGATTTCTGTAATAGATTTGCGTTTCTCTGAACAAATATTTGAATTTATTGTTATTTTTGGGGTTTATATGCCATGAGTTTTCTGATCCGGCCCCTTTGGGATCAAAGTAGGTTGGATACGGCCCCCGGACCAAAATGAGTTTGACACCCCTGCACTAGACGGTTCGCAAAAACCCTGAAGTGCGAGTTCAGGCACCAGCCAATCAGCAAAGAGTCATATATTCTGTGTTGTCAGCGATTCCTGAGGTTGAGGATTTAAAGCCACAACAAAGAGAATGTTTGGTGAATTTTATCAAGGGGAAAGACGTTATTGTCCTTCTTCCTACGGGATTTTGGAAAAGGTTAATATACCAGTTATCCCCGTTAGCGGTGCATTACATACGTCACAACCAAATAGCAGCGATTGGTTAAATAAAAAAAAAAGTACCTGCCTACCGTCGAGTGAACGAATCCTAACAGTTTGTACGAAGTGAAACCCACTGATGAATTTGAGGCTACTCAAAGACAAAGACTCAAAGACGCTTTACAGAACATTATTCATTCACTCCACACTCAGTGGAGGTAAGCTACTATTGTAGTCACAGTGGCCCTGGGGCAGACTGACGGAAGCGAGGCTGCCACTGCCCCATCAGCTCCTCCAACCACCACCATCACACACACACACCACTTTTATAGCAATGTGGCTGCCTAAGGACACAAGAACAGTTTTTGCAACTGGCGCCCCCCTGTGGCTCCTGATTTTCCCTGCAGTCTCCTACCCAAATACTGTCCAGGCTGTGATACTAAAAGTCTTTTTTTAACCACTTCTTGTGCAAAGTTAATCTGAAACACAAACATTTTAATCATCAAAACTGTGAAAATGTCAGATGTGCTATATAAATAAGTTTCCTTCCTCTAAATAAACAACAAAAATGCAGCACTGTAACAAAATAATTTAGTAAAATATATAAAAAAATACTCTTGGTGATATATCGATACAGCAGCCCACGATATCAATACTGCATGATCACATTAAACAATACGATATACCAATATTTCAATATTTTCACACATCGCTAGTCAGTAATCAGAGTAGTTTTACAAATACCCACTCATGCCTTACACTATCACAGTTTGTACTTGGTTCTGTCTAAATACAATGTGAGAGCTGCAGTTCGAACATAGACTGAAAATAGACTGACGTGTGTTTTCTCCTCAGAGCTTCGGCGTCTCTGTTCCTGGAGAAGCACATGCAGAAGGTGGACGGGATCGTGTCCGGGTTTGAGGAGAAGCTGGCTAAAGAAGGACCTCTTCTGGACAAACCCACTGCTCTGCAAACACGCACACAGGAACTACAGGTACTTTTACATCCACGCTACAAGAAACATGAGTCAAACCAAGACGATGAAATAAAAAGTTACATGTTTTCGGCTTTTTCTCTTCTGAAACTGATGTCGATACTTTGGCTTTAAATATTTACTGATACTCCAACCAATTCTTTTTGTTTTTTTCCTCCAAACTTTACAAACTCAAAATTAGTTTTGCATACGTAATATAAAAAGGCATTTACTTGTATAAAAGAACAATGTAAATAAAACAGCAACCTCTCAAGGCTCAAAAAAAAAAAACAAGAAACAAAGATTAAAAAGAAAAGAATAAATAAATAAAACTTATTAAAAAATAAAAACTGACAGGAAATGGAATAGTCTTTATTTACATACAGTAATTTAGACATCAAAAGAGAATTTTATATCACCAAATTCTAAGTCAAAGACTGAAAATATAATTTATTTCCTTTAAACACAAACAGAATGTGGCAAAAAAAAAAAAAATCCAAATGTGTAAAAATTGTTTAATATTATGAAACATTTGGGGTAAATTGTCTTATTACACCAATGTTTATCATGTTCGGTATTTTAATTTCATTCATTCAAAAAGAATTTTCCGAAAAAGTGAGCATCAAACCACCATGTCCTTCCCAGTATGCATCGCACGATGACCGGAAGTACGAAGTTCTTGATGCATCTATTAAAGAAGAGTAGAGAGAAATATACAAACCTCTTTCACACTTGCTTCAGACTTACCCGGGTTGTTGACTTGTTGTTCAGGCTTTGAAGAAGGACGCGGCCTCTCAGAAGGAAGAGCTGAACAAACTGGGGAAGGAGCTGGAGCTGACGGAGCAGGCGTGCAACTCCCTCCAGCAGAACTTCAGCGAGTACTGCCCCGACATCCGCCGCCAGGAGAACCAGGTCAAAGCGCTCAGGAACCGCTACAGCAACGTCAACACACAACTGAGCGACAGGTACGTGCAGAAGAACTGAACCAGGACCAACACGGGGCAAAGAAACAAGAACGAATCAGAGTGGAAAGTGACGGGTCTCAGAGACTGGTCCCAGTCTCAGTCCTGGTCTGGTCCCGGGCTCAATCCTGGACTGGTCCTTGTCTCAGTCCCGGTCTGGTCCTGGCCTCAGTCCTGGTCTCAGTCCTGGTCTCAGTCCCGGTCTGGTCTCGGTCTCAGTCCTGCTCTGGTCTCGGTCTCAGTCCTGTTCTTGTCCCAGTCTGGTCCTGGTCTCAGTCCTGGTCTGGTCCTGATGTCAGTCGCGGTCTGGTCCTGGTCTGGTCCCGGTCTCAGTCCTGGTCTGGTCCAGGTTTCAGTCCTGGTCTAGTCCCGATCTCAGTCCCGGTCTGGTCCCAGTCTCAGTCCCAATCTCAGTCCTGGTCCTGGTCCTCGTCTGGTCCCGGTCTGGACCCGGTCTCAGTCCTGGTCTCAGTCCTGGTCTCAGTTCCGGTCTGGTCCCAGCCTCAGTCCTGGTTTTAGTCCCGTTCTGGTCCTGGTCTCAGTCCTGGTCTCAGTAGTTCTGGTCCTGTTCCCTGTCCTGATCTCAGTCCTGGTCCTGGTCCTAGTCTGGTCCCGGACTCAGTTCTGGTCTGGTCCAAGTCTAAGTCCTGGTCTCAGTCCCGGTCTGGTTCTGGTCAGGTCCCGGACCTGGTTTAGTCCTGGTTTAGTCCTGGTTTAGTCCGGCATTGCAGTTTAAGTCACGGTCATTATCCATTTTTTCCATTATTATTTTAAACAAAAAATCAAAAACTGAAAAAATAAATCATTATCTGTTTTTTCATTTTGTTTTTAGAGACAAATAATGAAAAAAACAGTTAATTTTTCATTTTCTTATTTTTGGTTTTATATTGACAAAACGAACAAACGAACGACACACAGATTCTACACTAACCCGATTCCTTATTTTCCAGGTTGGGTCTCGTGCAGGAGGCCACCAACAAAATCCAGGACTTCCAAAACGCCAGTCAGTCTCTGGATTTCTTCCTCATCAATCTGCCCAACAACTCGGTGAAGCCCACGGACGACTCGGCTCAGATCTCGGCCAAACAGTACTCCCAGATGGTGAGCGTGTGCCGACGAGTAAAACTAACGATAAAAGTAAAAAAAAAAAAAACAAAAAAAAACGATGTGTGTTTGTGTTTCACGCGCAGAGAGTCGTGGAGGACATCAACAGGAAGTCTGCGGATCTAAACCGAGTGCAGGATCTGTCCCGGGATCTGCAAAACCTCCTCAATGTGAGTCCAAGTCCAAGTCCAAGTCCAAGTGTGTTTGTTAAGCCCAGGGTTATATTGACTGAGTTTACTGGAGCTGAACCAGGACTAAACCAGGACTAAAACAGTTCTAAAACAGGACTAAACCAGGACTGAACCAGGACTGAAGCAGGTCTATACCAGGTCTAAACCAGGACTAAAACAGGACAAACCAGGACTAAAACAGGACTAAAACAGGTCTAAACTAGAACTGAACCAGGACTAAAACAGGTCTAAACAAGAACTAAAACAGGACTGAACCAGGACTAAAACAGGTCTAAACTAGAACTGAACCAGGACTAAAACAGGACTGAACCAGGACTAAAAGAGGACTGAACCAGGACTAAAACAGGTCTAAACTAGGACTAAACCAGGACTAAACCAGGACTAAAACAGGACTAAAACAGGTCTAAACCAGGTCTAAACCAGGACTAAACCAGGACTAAAACAGGTCTAAACTAGGACTAAACCAGAACTGAACCAGGACTGAACCAGGACTAAACCAGGACTAAAACAGGTCTAAACTAGGACTAAACCAGAACTGAACCAGGACTGAAGCAGGTCTATACCAGATCTAAACCAGGACTAAAACAGGACAAACCAGGACTAAAACAGGACTAAAACAGGTCTAAACTAGAACTGAACCAGGACTAAAACAGGTCTAAACCAGAACTAAAACAGGACTGAACCAGGACTAAAACAGGACTAAAACAGGTCTAAACTAGAACTGAACCAGGACTAAAACAGGACTGAACCAGGACTAAAAGAGGAATGAACCAGGACTAAAACAGGTCTAAACTAGGACTAAACCAGGACTAAAACAGGACTAAAACAGGTCTAAACCAGGTCTAAACCAGGACTAAACCAGGACTAAAACAGGTCTAAACTAGGACTAAACCAGAACTGAACCAGGACTGAACCAGGACTAAACCAGGACTAAAACAGGTCTAAACTAGGACTAAACCAGAACTGAACCAGGACTAAACCAGGACTAAACCAGAATTGAACCAGGACTAAACCAGAACTGAACCAGGACTAAACCAAGACTAAACCAGGACTAAAACAGATCTAAGCCAGGACTGAACCAGGACTAAAAAAGGACTGAACCAGGACTAAAACAGGACTGAACCAGGACTAAAACAGGTCTAAACTAGGACTAAACCAGGACTAAAACAGGACTAAAACAGGTCTAAACCAGGTCTAAACCAGGACTAAAACAGGTCTAAACTAGGACTAAACCAGAACTGAACCAGGACTTAACCAGGACTAAAACAGATCTAAGCCAGGACTGAATCAGGACTGAACCAGGACTAAAACAGAACTAAAACAGGTCTAAACTAGAATTAAACCAGGACTAAAACAGGTCTAAACAAGGACTGAATCAGGACTGAACCAGGACTGAAACCAGGACTATGGGACTACTTCATGTTGACAATATGAAAGTTGAACATTAGTGTTTCTTGCACTGCTCCTTCAGACATGTTTTAGTTTGTCTCATTTTGTCATTTTTGAAAATACCAGTATGTTTTGTTTTGTTGTTTTTTTTTTATTTTTTTATCATTTTACTTTTTCCCTCCTTGCACCGCCCGATGTCCGTACCACATGATTTGTACCTGACTACTGTGTGTCACTTTAATCTTACAGACGTACGAGGCCAAGTCCAGCACTTACCGGGAGACTCTGTATGGTCCAGAGGAGGAGGACGACGAAGACGATGAAGAAGAGCAAATACTTTCTCTGAACAAACGCCAGCCCTCCAACATGGCTCAGGCCGTTCAGAAACAGGTACGCGCAAAAACTTTACCACACCAAACCAAGCCAAGTCATGGAAATCCTGGAAAAGTCATGGAATTTTAGTGTCTCTTTCACACAACTACAGCGTTCTGTTAAGTTCTCATTAGACTATTATGTTTATTTCCAAACATGTGCATTTTGTTCAAAAGAGACAACAATAAAAGCACTGATAATATTTTGAATGTTTAAAAACTATAATCGCAAACCATAAGGTGAGCGGAAAGAGTTAACATTTCGTATTTAGCCCTTTAAAAGATGCTCAATTCTACACATGTTGGTGCTGTAAAGTCATGGAAAATTCACTTCAGGTCATAAAAAAAGAAAAGTCATGGAAAAGTTTTGAAATTTTGTCAGTGAAAAACACACACACACCACATTCATACAAGGAAATGTGGGTAAAGTGTCTTGTCTTAGTCTGGGTATCAATAAGAAGCTGCCGATACGATACATACCTCGATACAGTGCAGTTTCAGTTCGATACGACAGGGGTGTCAAACTCATTTTGGTCTGGGGGTCGTATCCAACCGACTTTGATTCCCAAAAGGGGCCGGATCAGAAAACTCATGTCATATAAACCCCAAAAATAACAATAAGTTCAAATATTGGTGCAGAGAAACACAAATCTATTACAGAAATATTTTTTAATTGATGAACTCTTTCTTTTACAAAATATTATATTATCAGGAACAACCTGAAACTTTAAGAAAATCCTGCACTCGGCTCCACTTTCTCACTTTGGACATTTTTCTGATGAGGGTGTCACGGTCAACAGTCAAAACGATCGTCCTTTAAGAGCGTTTGGAAAGAGACAAGTCTTCATTTGTGCTGCTCTGGTGGGAGGGGCCACGTACAGAGACGCTGGAGACGCTGCTGTGATAAACACCACAGAAAATTAACAATATTTTAATAAAAAATAGAATTAAAATATTTTAGTAGAAAATCAGCCAAGGGCCAGATTAAAGGTCTTGGAGGGCCGATCTGGCCCAGGCATGTTTGACACCTGAATACGTAATTTGAATACTTTGGATTACTTGGTTTTTACTTTAGTTTAGAGAAGCACAAGACGAGATTACAGAGGACATCATAACCGAATTTAATTAAAATATTATTGATAGAAGAGGAGGCGACATGTCCGCACAGCATGGTTTAGTCCTGGTTTAGATCTAGTTTAGACCTGGTTTTAGTCCTCTTTTAAGTCCTGGATTAGTCCTGGTTTAGTCCTGGTTTAGATCTAGTTTGGACCTGGTTTTAGTCCTGGTTTAAGTCCTGGATTAGTCCTGGTTTAGTCCTGGTTTAGATCTAGTTTGGACCTGGTTTAGATCTAGTTTAGACCTGGTTTTAGTCCTGGTTTAAATCCTGGATTAGTCCTGGTTTAGTCCTGGTTTAGACCTGGTTTAGCTCATGTTTAGACCTGGTTTTAGTCCTGGTTTAGACCTGGTTTAGATCTGGTTTAGACCTGGTTTTAGTCCTGGTTTAAGTTCTGGATTAGTCCTGGTTTAGTCCTGGTTTAGATCTAGTTAGGACCTGGTTTTAGTCCTGGTTTAGACCTGGTTTAGATCTGGTTTAGACCTGGTTTTAGTCCTGGTTTAAGTCCTGGATTAGTCCTGGTTTAGTCCTGGTTTAGACCTGGTTTAGCTCTAGTTTAGGCCTGGTTTTCGTCCTGGTTTAGTCCTGGTTTAGACCTGGTTTAGCTCTTGTTTAGACCTGGTTTAGATCTATTTTAGACCTGGTTTAGACCTGGTTTAGTTTCCAGCAAGGAGTGGAATTACCGAAAAAATAAATAAATAATAAATAAATAAATAAATAAATAATGATGTTTAATTGAATTATCACAAGGATCATTACCCACAAACTACTGAAAGGATGTTATATTTTTCATGGTTATCGATGGTTTTGGGGGGATGATTTGAAAATTGGGAAATCAAGAAGATTAAACACTGACAGAAGTTAGAAATTCAACATTGTAGGACTTTTAGTGCTATTTAAAGACTTAAAGAAACATTTTACTGTCAAACATCAACACAACACTCAAATTCTGTCTTTAACTCGTACTACTGACCTCATTTTACAAGGTTCCATTATCAACTTCTGTTATTCTCTTATGTTTCTTGCACAGGAAAGGGATTTGTTGAACCTGTATTCTGAAGTATCTGCCAAGAACAGCCAGCTCCTCCAGCAGCTCGGCACCACAAAGAACATCAAGGCCAGGGTATGTCTCCAAAACAAACGCGACGACTGCACAATTTATGACAATTTTAATAGAAAAATCTTGTTATGCCTGTAGTTTAGAGCTCTACAAACATGTTCTGAAATGCAAGATTCTTGTATTGCTTAATCATTACTTAATCAAGTTAAAATCTAGTGTTATCGGAACACAAACATTTCTAACACCATTTCCAAATTAAATAATAGACTTGATACTCTGTACCTATTTTGATACCGTATTTTTCGGACTATAAGTTGCACTTTTTGGGGGAAATTTGTTTTACAAAGTCAGAGACCAGGAACTGACATGTCATTTTGAAAGTCAAGTTCTAGTAAAAACAATAGAAGAGAGAACAACAGACTGTTAACGTCACATATGAACAGTTCTTCAGATAAACTATAACATAAACAACAGAACACAACAAGTTTAACAAACTCTCCATCTCACTCCAAATCACTAAATCCATTCAATTCTTCATAATCCGTGTATCATTCGTTCATTTGTTTTTCAATATAAAAGCAAAAATAAGAAAACGAAAAATCTGCTGTTTTCTTCATTATTTGTCTCCAAAACCAAAATGGAAAAACAGATAATGATTCGTTTTTTCAGTTTTCAATTTTGTGTTTAAATGAAGAATGGAAAAAACGGATAACGGCCTTTTCCTGTTTATGTGACTTGTGTGACTGCGATGCCAGACTTTTGTACTGCATAAGGACTGAACCAGAACTGATCCAGGTCCGAGACCAGACTGGGACCAGACCGAGACTGAGACCGGGACTGAGACCGAGACCAGGCCGGGACCAGACCGGAGGTTCAGAGCCCACGGCAGGGCCGGAGCTTGAAGCTAAGGCTCGGACCCCGCGGAGGCTCGGAGTCAAAGCTCGGAGTCCACTCTGGTCCCGGTCTCAGTCTTGGTCTGGTTCCGGTCTGGTCCTGGACCTGGATCTGTCCTGGTTCAGTCCGTATGCAGCGCAAAAGTTCGGCATCGCAGTCACAGAAGTCACATAAACGGGAAACGGCCGTTATCCGTTTTTTCCATTTTTCATTTAAACGCAAAATTGAAAACTGAAAAAACAAATCATTATCTGTTTTTACATTTAGGTTTTGGTGACAAATAATGAAGAAAACTGTTGTTTTTTGTTTTCTTATTTTTGCTTTTATATTGAAAAACGAATTAACGAATGATACACGGATTCTTCATCCTCGGTGTCATTTCTGAGCAACTCCGTGACCTCCGGAGGTAAACAGAGCGCCGCTTCCTCTTCTGTGTCGCTGTCGTCAGACTCAGCATCAGTTCCAGTTAGAATTATTCGGGTCTTTCTGAATCCCGACAGGATGGTTTCGGTGTCACTGAAGTCCAGGCTTTGTCCATCCATCCAGTGACTTCCAGGAAAGTTGCATGGTGCATCCTCCCGGTGTCACAAGTTTCTCACTCACTTCAAACTTTCCTTCTGCTGCTCGATTACCATTTTTGGATGAATATTTCAGTACTTCCAGCAGGACATTGACTCTTTCTGCAGGAGAGAAGTGACAGTGGTACAGGAGGAACAGGAGCAGCAGATACTGACACACAAGACTAGAGCCTCTCGCGGCTTCAGTGTGAAAACTTTAATATATAAGCCGCACCAGAGTATAGGCGAGTTTCATTGTTGACAAAAGCGCGCGTTGCATGCTGGGAATTATTTTGGTCGGCGGCAATAAACACTAATTCAATATGACGGACGGAGCGAGAAAGCACGTAAAGGGTATTGATCCCAGTTATTTATCCACTCTAACGGCAGAGGACCCAAGACCATTTGACCAGAAATTGGTCATAAGCATCGATGGAGCCAAATCACCCTTTTCAACCCCGACAAAGCCTGGACCAAACCAAATTTCTGGTCAGAATCACCAACTATCTGGCTAAATATTCACTTGGGCGATATCCACAATGACTTGGTGGAAACTCCTGGGCCATTCACAGCAGAAAAGATGAAAACCTCCAAGAGTCTCGATGTGTTGTTGAACTTGTTCGAGTCCAAGGTTTGCTCGGATCTTCTACATTTGCTCTGAGGATGTCTGAAAGCCATTTAATTCACCGTTAGCGGTTCTTTTCACTCAGAATACGAAAAAGACATTTTCCTTCTTCCGTGCTTCTATTTGTGCATCCGATAATGCAGCAGGAATTTACCATTATCGAGGATAAATACGCGAGGTTACGCACTGTGTTTGACCGCTATCGTGTTTCTTGCCTCCGACCAAAATATTTCCCAGCATGCAACGCGGGCTTTTAATAACAATGACGTCAGCTGAAACTTGCCTATAAGTCACAGGAAACATCCAAACCATGAAAAAAGTATGACTTATAGTCCAAAAAAATACAGTAATTTTAAAAGCTATTTATTTAGATTTATTTATTTTAAAGCGTTTATTATACCATGTATCTACTAGATACTCAAATGAGTATCTAGTTTTAATACTAGTTTTAATAAATTTCGATACTTTTGACACTATTTCAGTTTTCTCTCGAAATTTTTATGCTCCAGGAGTTATTCACAATGTGCAGTCACAATTCTACCTGATCTGATCACAATTTAGAAAAATCACAATTCGATTTCTTTCCATTATTGTGCAGCTCTAGCAAAGCCCACTCGACGCTCCTCACTTCCACACGACTCTGTATTGCCCTTTTATGTTCTAGAATGAAGACATGGTCAATCACGTGGTGGTCATCCAACAGCAGCAGCGCCAGAGTCAGCAGGAGGACCTGGAGGCCAGCGACGCCCTGAAGAGAGAGCTCACCGAGGAGATCGGCAGACGCACGCGAGCCGAGAGCGACCTGGAGACCTACACCAAGAGGTTCGTGTCTCTGAAGAGCAGGAGAGGCGTGGAGAGGGTGGAGGAGAAGGAGGTGGTGCAATACTACCGTGACCCCAAGCTGGAGGTGGAACTGGATGCGCTGAGGAGGAAGATCCAGGAGGAGTCGCTGAAGAGGTCCAGAACGCACTCTGAAATTGAGATTATGAACCAGAGGCTGACCACACTGCAACTGGAGATGAGCAGGATCGAGCCCAAGCTGATCACTAAGGTCTTGACGGAGTACGAGAGAGATCCAGCGCTGGACAGGGAAATGGCGAGGATGAGGGAGGAGATGGAGAGGATCCGTCTGCAGGTCAAAACGCAAGATTCCGAGACCATCCATATCAAGACGGAGCTTACAGTGTTGACCCAGCAAAAGCCCAAGTTCAGGGAGAAGGTGGTGAAGAAGGAGGTGGTGCAACTGGAGAAGGACCCTGAGATGCTCAAGTCCGTTCTGACCTTCCAAAACGATATTGCCAACGAGGAATCCAGGAGTCAGATCCTCACTGACAACATCTTCAGTGTGCGCAGTGAGATAAACACTCTGGAGAGGATCATCCCCACCATCCAACCAAAGATAGTCACCAAAGTGGTCAAGAAGGTGGAGCAGGACCCAGACATGCTGGAGGAGTCCAAGAAACTGCGTATCTGTCTGGAGGAAGAGAAGGATGAAAATGTTATCTTGCTGAAGGACCTAACCACACTGCAGCTGCGCTATGGTGAACTCGAGAAGCTCATGCCCAAAGTGGAGATAAAGGAGATCATCAATGAGCTGTACAGAGTGGATCCAGAGACAGAGGTGGAGCTGGTCCGTCTGAGGAAACAGCTGCAGGACCTGACCCGGAACCGTTCCGACATGGACAAGGAGATTGTCACTATTACCTCAACACTGTCCACACTACGAGCTCAGAAACCCAAAGTGGAGTACAAGGAGGTGACCCAAGAGGTGATCAAACAGGAGAGGAGCCCCGAGGTGCAGAGGGAGCTGCAGAGGCTCACCAATCAGGTTTCCCGTCTCCAAGGCAATGTGGACTCCACCCTGGAGCTTCTGATACGCCTCCGCAAAGAGAGAGATCAGCTGAAGGAGGAGAGGTCCAAGGTAGAGACCGAGGTGATTACAAAAGACGTGATCAAATACGAGGATGACCCTCTACTCCTGAAAGAGGCTGACAGGCTGAGGAGGAACCTGAGGGACGAGACCCATCAGCGCCGTACAATTGAGGAGACCCTCTTTGACCTTCAGAATACATACATCATCCTGGAGAGACAGAAGCCAGAGGAGAAGATCATCACACAGGAGGTGGTGCGCCTCCAGAAGGACCCCAAACAGATCCTGGAACATGAGAGGCTCAACAGGACGATGGATGAGGAGATCAAGGCCAGGAGGAAGCTGGAGCAAGAGGTGCGTCAGCTTCGAGCTCTGCTCCAGGAGAAGACGAGCATGTTGGCTCAGTTGGATGACAGGCAGAAGAAGATCCAGGTGGAGGCTGAGCTACGGCACATTAAGGCTCGCATCCTGGAGCTGGAGACCACCACTCCACCAGTGGAAGAAAAGATCATCATTGAGGAAGTACTAAAGGTGGAGAGGGATCCCAAGCTGGAGAAACTCACTGACAGCATACGTTTAGAGTTAGAGACCGAAGGCAATGAAATCAGTCGTCTGGAACGAGAGATACGCAACCTCAAGATTGCACTGGAGATTCTACAGAAGGAGAAGTCCATGGAGAAGGTGGTGTACAGAGAAGTAGTGCGTGTGGAGAAAGACCCAGCCGTGGAGGCAGAGAGAGATCTCCTCAGAGACAAAGTGTCACAGGAGAAGAACAGGAGGCGTGATGCTGAGGACGCTCTACAGAACCTCAGTCTCAAGATCACCCAGCTGGTGTCATCCAAGACAGTGGTCAGCCAGGAAGAGACCATCCTCATCACCACCAAAGAAGCACTTCTTAGAGAGAGGGACGAACTAATGCGTCAGCTCAAAGCCCTGGAGTCTCAGAGACACAGCATCAACATTACCTTCCAACAGCAGTCCAAGCTTATGAGCGAGATGAACATGATGGCACGCCAGAGGAGCGTCAAAACCACCAGTGAAATCCAACGACTGGAGAGGGAGATCCTCAACGAGAAAGACAGAATCCACCAGAAGGAGACAATAATCATTGAGCTACAGAACAGCATCCAGAATGAAGACCAGGCAGAAACTCACACCAGAGAGACCAATATGTCTACCAAAGTGTCCATCTTGGATCCAGACACAGGCAGAGACTTATCCCCATACGACGCCTACCTCCAGGGTCTGATCAGCCGCGAGCAGTACATCCACCTGTCTGAGCTCGAATGCGACTGGGAAGAAATCACTTCCACTGGTCCAGAAGGTGACTCCAGTATCTTGCAGGACCGCAAGAGTGGCAGACAGTACTCAGTGAAGGATGCTCTGCTGACCGGCCGCCTCACCGAATACGACCTGAGCCGATACAGAGACGGCAAAATGTCTATTGCCGAGTTCGCTCTTCTGGTCGCAGGAGAAACCCGAGTCGTACCCATGCCTCCTCTACCGCCTCCATCACCCGGGCTCAGGTCTCCCACAAAAGCCCTCCCCAGCTCCCCACACCCCCTCACCCCCAGGTCCAGGATCTCCTCCTATGGCAGCCTCAACAACCTCAGCGGCAGCCTCACCAACCTCAGCAACCTCAGCAGCAGCAACCACCTGAGCAGCAGCACCCAGAACCTCTCCATGTCCAATTTCACGGCCGGAGATGAGTTCTTTCCCATCTCCGGTATCTACGACAACACCACTGACAGCCGCATGTCTGTGAGAAGTGCCCTCACCAGGAAGCTCATCGACCCAGACACGGCGCTGAAGCTGCTGGAGGCTCAGGCAGCCAGCGGGGGCATCGTGGACCTCATGAAGAAAGACAAGCTGTCGGTGCACAAAGCTGTGCAGCAAGGACTCATCGACCAGTCGCACATGCAGAAACTTCTCAACGCCCAGAAGGCCTTCACCGGAGTGGAAGACCCGGTGTCCAAGGAGCGCCTGGCTGTGGGTCCGGCCGCTAAGAAGGGCTACATCACAGAGGAGAACGCCAAGAGGTACATTGAGGCACAGTACCTGACCGGAGGCCTGGTGGACCCCGCTAAAGCCGGACGCCTCTCCATCCAAGAGGCTCTGGACTCCAAGCTGATCGAGGAGGACCTGGCCAAGCACCTGCGAGATGAGTCCAGCCACACCAAAGAGCTGCTGGACCCCATCACCAGGGAGAAGCTCACCTACAAAGAGGCCATGGACCGCTGCACGAAGGACGCGACCACGGGCCTGCTCCTCCTGCCCGCCGCCTCCAGCGCAGACAACGCGCCCTCCTACTCCACCTTCAAGTTCGCCTCGGCCACCAGGGTCATGACCTCCTGAGGCTCAAGGACTGTTTTTATCGCTTCATAAAATCAACTTTTGCATTGTTTTGTAAAATCTTTGGAATGCCATGTTGTTTCACGGTGTGCCTTTTAAGCTCTTTGTATTATATTGCTAACTCTGGAAGATGAATCATGGACATTAAAATTCATAATTTAAAGCTTCTCGGTTATTTTTTAAAGTTCGTATAATAAATCTAAGAAAATTTATGGACTTTTTAATATTGTATTTTGGCCCTAATGTCAGCATATGCATTAGATGACCTTATATTTATCTGTATATTATATAATTAAGATGAAGGCAGATTTTAAAGCGCCAGTACGTAACCTTTCAGCCAAAAAATTGATTAAATTGAAAGATTTTTTTTTTGTTTTGTTTTTTTGAGCTTGTTTCCGTGGAAATATTGATCCTTGGGCTATAATCTTCCACAGTATGATTATCAATCTCCATGGAGAATGTTTTTAACTTTCTGTTTTCAGTGAATTATGCTACCTCCAGAAAGTTGCAGAGTGTTGCTTTAATTGGATAAATAAACATTGAAGGATAATAACGCTTGACTTCAATCCTGTTTAACATTAGGCTATTGGATTTTTTTTTATTTCAGTGTTTCTTAAAAAAATAAATAAATAAAAATGGTTTCAAAGCTGCACTATGTAACTTTTGGCTGCTTGTTTCTATGGAGATGTCATTTCTTTGCCTGGAATGTTCCACAGTGTGACTTTAAACAGCTCTACCTTACATTTATTCAATTACAGCTGGTTTTATAGCTCAAAAATACTTAGAAAAACAACATTCCGACTGTAAGTGGGGTCGCCTCTCCACAGACCTGACCTGTAACTTGGTCTGGTTTGGGTTCCGTGAAGATAGAGCGGTTTAAAACAATCCTCTGAAACATTCCAGACAAAACAATAACATCTCAATTTGACGGACCTCAACCAGAAACGTTACACAATTCACCTTTGAAAGTCAGTCTTAAAAGAAACATCTGCACCCAAACTACTAGTAGACGAACTTCCTTTCTTGAATTATAATTTATTTAGTCAAACCCAAACACATGATTCCGCTTGTTTTGACTGTTGTAAGCGCTGACGGGAAGCGGTGAGTGGAGCTTCGTGGAGGTATTTTCGAGAAGCCCCCTGTGGAAAATGCCTCTGCTGCAGATTGAGTTGTCTTAAGCCGCGTTCGTCTAAACTGACTCACACTGACACTGGAACAATGGATTAAAGACAGAGCTCAGTGACACACACTTGTATCACAGTGTCCAGGTTAACCCGGGTAGTCAGCGTAAACTATCCACAGGCGGTGTTGGGAAGGTGACTTTTAAAATGTATTCCCCTACAGATTACAGATTACATACCCCAAAATGTAGTTTGTAACGTAATCCGTTAATTTACTTAAAGTGAGTAATGTAATCTGATTACTTTGGATTACTTGATTTGCTGTAGAGAAGCAAAGACGAGGAAATCGTAACATAAGATGTTTTGTCTGATAAAAGAAAATAAAAAGTCCAGACTTTACTGAACTAAATTAAAAATATTATTGATAGAAGAGAGGAGACACGTCCACACAGCAGGATTTAGTCCTGTTAAATCCTGGTTTAGACATAGTTTAGACCTGGTTTTAGTCCTGGTTTAGTCTTGGTTTAGTCCTGGTCCTGTTTGAGACATAGTTTAGACCTAGTTTTAGAACTGGTTTAGACCTGGTTTAGGCCTGGTTTGGACCTGGGTTTAGACCTGGTTTTAGACCTGGTTTTAGACCTGGTTTAGACCTGGTTTGGACCTGGTTTAGACCTGGTTTTAGACCTGGTTTTAGACCTGGTTTAGGCCTGGTTTATGGTTTAGACCTGGTTTAGACCTGGTTTAGACCTGGTTTAGACCTGGTTTAGACCTGGTTTTGACCTGGTTTGACCTGGTTTAGACCTGGTTTGACCTGGTTTACCTGGTTTTCCCCTGGTTTAGACCTGGTTTACCTGGTTTAGACCTGGTTTAGACCTGGTTTGACCTGGTTTTAGACCTGGTTTAGACCTGGTTTAGTGGCTGGCAATGAGTGGAATTACCGGGGGAAAAAAAAGGGATACAGCCCAAAATGTGAAAACAGGAAAATACCTCTGTGTAATCCATTTATTTCAACAAAGTAACTGTAATCTAATTACCACTCACTGAAACAGTAACTGTAACTGAATACAGTTACTCATAATTTGTACTCTGATTACGTAACCTTGGTACATGTAATCTGTTACTCCCCAACACTGTCCACAGGTGTCCCTCTACAAACAGCACTACAACCGAGATCAGTAATACTAACTCTGGCCACAAGGGGCAGAAACAGGAAACATTTATTATTTAATACAGGGTCTCCAGCTTGTAGCTCAGGAGCGACAAGTAGCTGTGTATTCCCCTACAGATTACAGATTACATAACCCAAAATGTAGTTTGTAACGTAATCCGTTAATTTACTTAAAGTGAGTAATGTAATCTGAATACTTTGGATTACTTGATTTGCTGTAGAGAAGCAAAGACGAGGAAATCGTAACATAAGATGTTTTGTCTGATAAAAGAAAATAAAAAGCCCAGACTTTACTTAAACAAATTAAAAATATTATTGATAGAAGACGAGGAGACACGTCCACACAGCAGGATTTAGTCCTGTTAAATCCTGGTTTAGACATAGTTTAGACCTGGTTTTAGTCCTGGTTTAGTCTTGGTTTAGTCCTGGTCCTGTTTGAGACATAGTTTAGACCTGGTTTAGACTGGTTTAGACCTGGTTTGGACCTGGTTTAGACCTGGTTTAGACCTGGTTTAGACCTGGTTTTAGACCTGGTTTAGACCTGGTTTTAGACCTGGTTTAGACCTGGTTTAGACTGGTTTGGACCTGGTTTACCTGTTAGACCTGGTTTAGTTTACCTGGTTTACCTGTTTGACCTGGTTTAGACCTGGTTGGACCTGGTTTACCTGGTTTAGACCTGGTTTAGAGACCTGGTTTAGACCTGGTTTGGACCTGGTTTAGACCTGGTTTTGACCTGGTTTTAGACTGGTTTAGACCTGGTTTGGACCTGGTTTAGTCCTGGTTTTAGACCTGGTTTGACCTGGTTTGGACCTGGTTTAGACCTGGTTTTAGACCTGGTTTAGACCTGGTTTTAGACCTGGTTTAGACCTGGTTTAGACCTGGTTTTAGACCTGGTTTTAGACCTGGTTTAGACCTGGTTTTAGACCTGGTTTAGACCTGGTGGACCTGGTTTAGACCTGGTTTAGACCTGGTTTACCTGACCTGGTTTAACCTGGTTTTGACCTGGTTTTAGACCTGGACCTGGTTTAGACCTGGTTTAGACCTGGTTTAGACCTGGTTTAGACCTGGTTTTAGACCTGGTTTAGACCTGGTTTAGTGGCTGGCAATGAGTGGAATTACCGGGGGGAAAAAAAGGGATACAGTCCAAAATGTGAAAACAGGAAAATACCTCTGTGTAATCCATTTATTTCAACAAAGTAACTAATCTAATTACCCACTCACTGAAACAGTAACTGTAACTGAATACAGTTACTCATAATTTGTACTCTGATTACGTAACCTTGGTACATGTAATCTGTTACTCCCCAACACTGTCCACAGGTGTCCCTCTACAAACAGCACTACAACCGAGATCAGTAATACTAACTCTGGCCACAAGGGGCAGAAACAGGAAACATTTATTATTTAATACAGGGATCTCCAGCTTGTAGCTCAGGAGCGACCAGCAGCTCTCCACCTCCTTCCAAGTAGCTCCCCAAGGGATTTCGAAAGTATACGTATTGTGCTGAATATGTAAAATTTGGATTAAATGCCTTTTCCCATTGTCCATGTATCATTTTGACAGACAGGCTGGCGCCACCTAGTGCCTCCACTCAGTTGCATTTCTGTCCAGTGACTAGGTCAGGAAACAGAATACACTGGACGGTTCGCAAAAACCCTGGAAGTGAGAGTTCGGGCACCAGACAATCAGCGAAGAGACAGACATTCTGTGTTTTCAATGATTCCCGAGATCGAGGATTTAAAGCCGGAACAAAGAGAATGTTTGGTGAATTTCATCAATGGGAAAAATGTTATTGCCCTTCTTCCTATGGAATTTGGGAAAAGCTTAATGTACCAGTTAGTAAATGCTAGGCTAGAGCAGGGGTGTCAAAACTCATTTTGGTCCGGGGGTCGTATCCAACCTACTTTGATCCCAAAGGGGCTGGATCAGAAAACTCATGGCATATGTATACCCCAAAAATAACAATAAGTTCAAATATTTGTGTAAAGAAATGCAAATCTATTACAGAAATCTTTTTTAATTGATGAACTCTTTCTTTTACAAAATATTATAATATCATGAACAACCTGAAACTTTAAGAAAAATGTCAACACGATGTTTTTAACATGAACTTGTCTGCAAATAGGAATAAGTAAATTTTTCTTGGAAAATCCTGCATGCAGCTCCCCTTTTCTCATTTTTAACATTTTTCTGATGAGGGTGTCACGGTCAACAGTCAAAACGATCGTCCTTTAAGAGCGTTTGGAAAGAGACAAGTCTTCATTTGTGCTGCTCTGGTGGGAGGGGCCACGTACAGAGACGCTGGAGACGCTGCTGTGATAAACACCACAGAAAATTAACAAGATTTTAATAGAAAATATAATTAAATTATTTTAGTAGAAAATCAGCCGAGGGCCAGATTAAAGGTCTTGGAGGGCCGGATCCAGCCCCTGGGCCATATGTTTGACACCCCTGGGCTAGAGAAATGATTGCTTGGTTGTCCAAAAAGAAGGGTGATAAATCAGCAAAGATCGGAATACTTCTGTATCTTTTTATTGTTGGTTCAATTCCTGTTTTTCATTGTTTAAAACTTGAGTAATACTAACTGTTCAGAGACACGATCACTCACACAATAAAATATCCTCATTAATGTTCAATATTGGTCAAATCCACCTTTATTGACTGTACCTCCTGTGTGCGTCATGTGTAACTCCAGCAGAACGTCCTTGAAACGAGATGTGTACTGTAAACAAGTTCACTTCTTCAGTTCACAGCTTCACTGAGCTCGTGTGTGTGTGTGTGTGTGTGTGTGTGTGTGTGTGACCCTGCAGAGGTGTCACAATAGGGGGGCGTCTGTGGGACAGATTACCCCGTCACAGAGAGGACTTTGTGGGATTACGGGACATGACGAGCCGCTCTGGAGACCTGCTTTCCCCTTCTGCCACCTACAAGTCGTTAAGACACAAGGACATGTACTTCTACACTTCCCACTGCCATTTAGTGTTCACAGGTTTCATTTCTTTTTCCCATTCCATGTAGTATTTAGTTTATTTTCATCATTCTGAAAAGCTCGTGGAGGGGTCAGGCGGTCTCCACACACTCGGTCACGTTCATTGAGTGAGCGCTGGGTGACGTGGGCCGCGCTCACACAAAAGGCCGTGAGTGGCTTGAGTGCTGCTCATAATACAGTAATGACACGCTGCTTTGGGTCACTGATGGCTCTAATTCTAGACCTCTGTGATGCACACGTTTAATTTGCCTTTTTGAATGAACCAGGAGGCAGCCCCACAATCACACAGACGTGCGTAAACAAGCTGGAGTCACACAGGACGCAGGCATGAGGATATTTATAGAGTTTAAAGGGAGGGTCTGTGCTCTTAGTGGTTAAAAAGTACAACAATCACACTGAACCTGGGTTTCCAGCACCTTCACCTGCAGACACTGGACAACTTTTTTTCTCATTCTCAGTATATGAACAGACCAGGCCTCATGTGAAAGCTCAGGACCTCCAGACTTCACCTCCCTGAGCTGCAGAGGCTGCACTAGCACTGACTCAGGATTGGCTGCAGGTTTGAAATAAAACACAACTAAATTTTGATGTAAATTTATTCCAATGCATCTCAACCACACTGATAAGCCCAAGTACAATTCTCAAACATACAGGGCCTTTCTGTGGGTGGGTGGGTGTCCTTAGGATGCTCCTGACACCCTAATCACTTAAAACATGTGCAGTACTAATCCCTCAGGCTCCAGAATCATCTGAACAGCGGGTTCACCAGACTGCTGCGGATTTGAACAGGTACTTTAAATCAAACCACAAACTGTCTGGTCATGGGGCAGTGACTGTACCTCCTGTGCGTGTACATATGTGTGTGGTTCCACTTGTTCTTGGGCCACGCTGCGCAGAGGCCGTTAGTGGATTAGACGTGAGTCAGGGGCTGGTCACAGATTATTCCCCCATCAGAGGCTCAGCTCCTCAGACACACGAGACGCGCGCGGCCCGCACCTCCACACGTGCACACTCACGCACCTTCAATGAGTCTAATAATAATGTAATAATGACCCAGTGTAAGTGCGCAGTGGAGTCCAGTGCGCCCAGTGACTGGGTCAGTATAATGAGGTCATTGACCCTGCGCGCCACGAGCGCGTCTAAATCCGCGCGTTTACAGCGGCTAAAGCGCTAATAGCGCGCTCTGACGTCAGCGCACAGGTGGGAGTGACAAAGGTAAGCAGACAGAGGCTTACACGCGCACGCACGCACGCACACACACACATTACACACATTCACAACACTGTCAGCACTGATGGGATCTGAAGACTCTTTGTGACAATCTGTTTATTACAAACTTCTGTACGTTTCTAATCAAAACACTCAGGGTTATGTGGAGATCAGACACAACCTCAGACTGAAAGAGCCGTGAGAAAAATGAAACTCAACATTTCTAAAAGTAAAGTGAAACTGAGATCCACTCAGAGAGTCATTGAACAGAGAGACTTTTACTGTGAAATACAGAGCGCTCGCGCAGGGCGTCAGTGTTACTGCGGGGGTCATACGTCGCTGCCCTCGCTGCCCTCCTCTGTCTGGGGCAGGGTCTGGCTCAGGGCCGGGGCCCCGCTCAGAGGGGGGTGCACACTGAGGCCCTGGGGGAAGCGGATGGCCTCACTGTTGCGGCGCATGTAGGCGTGCCCGCTGATGGGGTACGACATCTCGGTGAAGGTCAGGTTGGCCACGGTGATGGCGCAGCGGCCCAGGGACCTGAAGCCCGATTTCCGGTAAAAAGGCACGAGAAAGTCCTCACACATGAGCACGGCGCGGCGCACGTACGGCAGACAGCGCAGGTACTGCAGGTAACGCCACATGAGGATGGGCCCTTTGCCCTGCTGCCGGAACGTCCTGTGCACCGCCAGCACGTGGATGTGAACCGTGGAGCCCCGCGGCTTGTGCAGAGTCAGAGCGTCCTGAGACACAGAGGAGAAAGTAAAGATACTGTGACAGGGCGGGAATGATGTCAGAGTACTTCAGTCATGTACTTCTAAATACTTTTACACTCATCATTAGCTTCTGATAAAGTTCATTTGGTCACTAAGATCAATGACATGGTCCTAAAGGGAGAGTCTAGACTGAATAGTTAATAAAATACACAAGGAAATGAGGTTAAACAAAATCAAATATTCAAATGAATAATAATAAAACTATTCTAAACCCAGCCCAATAACAGTTTTATAATCTTCCCTGTGGTTGTGTTTTCTTGTGCGTGTCTTACCATGGCGAGTCGCTCCTGGTCCCACAAAGAGCCGATGATGAACGCGACCAGACGTCCCTCCTCAAACCAGCCCATGGAGAGCTCCGGGCACAGCGTGAGGAAGTGGCGCACCTCATCCAAGTGCAGCGGGCAATCCCCGGACACCGAGATGAACGCTGCAACGCACAAAGGTCCACACAGAGGTCCACTTTTACGCACGCTCCAAACACACACTGTCTGAATAAAACCAACACTCTGCTGCTGTTGGAAACATATTTCAGACCTGGACCTAAGTAAGTTTGCCCCTAAGTAGGCAACTACTGAATAAATAAGAACACTAGTCTACAACTACTGAACTAATTCAAATACAGTCGATGAAAGAGTCAGAAGGTTGAAGTGTCCCTCGTCAAACTTGAAACACTGGCACACACTTCACAGTCTGTAGACAGTCTGTAGGCTGTAGTGTGTAAACAGTCTACAGGCTGTATAACATGTGCGGGTTGGTCAGGTTAACGCTCTGACTTCATGAAAACAGTCTGTGAGCACATGTCCCGGGTCTTTACCTTCTCTCTCGATCTCGAAGACGCTGATGGCGTCCTGCGTGTTGAGGGGGCGCACCTCGCTGGCCGGGAGCGTGTGCCTCCTCTGGATCGGGGACACGGAGGGAGAAGACTGCATGGGTTTAACGAAAGGCTGCGCGCTCACTGCGGACATCACGAGCCGCTCTGCTCCAAAGTGCGGTCCGCGGTGAAGCGTCCTGTCCGCGGCGGTCAGCAGCAGCAGCACGAGCCTCTGGGCCTACGACAACAACACACCGTGTGGCCGTATTTATATGAGCCGCACGTCAGTGATTCATGCTGCTCATTTGCATGTGAATATTTCACACAGGACAAACTTTAGAAGCACGAACGGACCCTGCAATTAACCGCGTGCGCTGTTGGCGCGTGGCTCTCGCTCCAAACAATACAGGAGCACTCTGCGCGCGCTGACCACAGCACTTACGCCGTGCGTTACTCACTGTGATTACACGCGTGTGCTCATCCCAGGGACAAATGATTACATACTAGAATTCATTTATTTTCATTTGGAGGAAGTGTTCAGCGTCAGGAATTGACCTGTTGACCTTTTCAAACGCTCTCGCGCGCTAAAAGCGTGTGCCCTTTGGCTATAAATAAGTTTCTATGACAAAAAGCAAAAGCTTTGAAATAAACTGTGCACAGTCTCACCTGAGCTCGTGTCCGCTCCTCTGTCTCCTCTGTGTCCTCTGTGTCTCCTCTGTCTCCTCTGTCTCCTCTGTCTCCTCTGTCTCCTCTGTCTCCTCTGTCTCCTCTGTCTCCTCTGTCTCCTCTGTCTCCTCTGTCTCCTCTGTCTCCTCTGTCTCCTCTGTGTCCTCTGTCTGCTCCTCAGGCTCCAGCGGACACACGCACGCGCACGCACGCACACTTCTGCAGACTGGATCATTATCAAGTGAGTAGGATATTACTATGAGTCACGTGACCAAGATTAGTGCAGTTTCCACCTCGTTACAAACGCAGTGCTGGTCCAGACTGATCAAGGCTTCTCATCAGAACACAGCTCTGAAACAACTTCTCTGAAACATCTTCTCTGAAACAACTTCTCTGAAACAACTTCTCTGAAACAACTTCTCTGAAACATCTTCTCTGAAACATCTTCTCTGAAACATCTTCTCTGAAACAACTTCTCTGAAACAACTTCTCTGAAACATCTTCTCTGAAACATCTTCTCTGAAACATCTTCTCTGAAACATCTTCTCTGAAAGAAACATCTTCTCTGAAACATCTTCTCTGAAACATCTTCTCTGAAACAACTTCTCTGAAACATCTTCTCTGAAACATCTTCTCTGAAACATCTTCTCTGAAACATCTTCTCTGAAACATCTTCTCTGAAACATCTTCTCTGAAACATCTCTTGTTGTTGTAACACTGCTCTGCCTCTGCCTCTGTCCTGTCCTCTTCTGCAGCTGGGCTCATGTGAGGTCACAACCTTCTAGTTTAACCTGAGCTGGAGTCAGGGCAGAACTCTGCGGTGGAGCTGTTTGTTTGTTTATGGTTCATATCTGTGATTACTGGGCCCATCCACAGGAAACACAAACAGGCACAAGGTTCAACATCTTCTCTGTTGGTGTAAATAAACAAAAGTTAAACTATTTTGTTTAGTCGCTTCAGAAAGTGATGCCAATATTCAAGCCCAAAAGCCGTGATATTTGTTGCCACATTTTAAGACATAAAATAAGATGAATATGTCACGTTTGTGGAGCCGATCCCAAACAAATAATGAGAAGTCTCAACATTTGTAGATGATAAGTTTGGATATAGAGTTGATCTTCTATAAAGTTACATAGGCTCTGTCCTTCTGATATTAGGACATTATCAGTTTCTAGAAAGTAAACACATTATTGTTACCTCATATTCAAATTTACTGGACAAAAAAGTAGATTTCAAAATTTCAACCCACCTTCTTATAATAAATTGAAAATGTTATGGTGTTAAATGTTGTTTCCTAAAATGAAACTCACAAACGCAAGGAACAGCAAAATAAAAGCAAAAAAATGCACAGCACACTCAGACGACCGATGTCCAAAAGATTTTAATTTTAATTTTTAAAGAGCGTTTTGGAAAAAAAAAATAAAAGCCTTCGTCAGATGTTTTTCTTGTTTTGTATACTGTGGTCCAAAGCAGGAAAAATATACCAAAACGTTATTTAAAAATGTTTAAAAAAGCTTTTGAACCGTCGCTCATCTGAGTGTGTTGTGTATTTTTTTGCTTTTAAATGTCGTTTCCTCATCACAAACAAACCTGGAGTTGTGTTTTGTTTCATTCACACATGTTTAACACACAAACCCTGCAGATTTAGGCTTAAAAAAAACACCATTCCACCTTGTGATGTCATGTGATAATACATGTTTTAAACTCTACAAACCTTCACTGGAATCATTTGGATAATTTCAGCCGTGGAGTTGCCAATCTCTACAGAAAAAAAAAAGGTCAAAGAACACTGTTAACTTGAAAACCACCACTTCATGACATCAGAAGGTGGAACAGTTTGGGGATTATGTCGTGATTGAAATGCCTTTTGTGCCACAAAATGGAGAAAATGGTTATGGAATTGTAAAACCCCATGATGCCGTTGGTCCACAGAATGCACACATGAACTGTCATCGTGTCCACAAAAACCTAAAGACCAGAGGTGCTCACACTTTTTCAGCATGTGAGCTACTTACAAAATGACCAAGTCATAAAGATCTACCTAATACAAAGCCAAACAAACTGCACTGAAACACTCTGTGCCCCTTTTTTGGACCCTCACCCACAGTTTGAGAACCTCTTCTTTAAGAGAACTTCCTCTGGCACTTTACACAAAACTGTGAAAAAAGTGAAGGAAGATTTTTAAACCTGTTTTTTAAAGTTCCAAACTGGAGTTGCATTCTTTTCTGGTTTTGCAGTGATATTTACCAGCCTCTGCACGTTTACCAAACCAAACGCACATCGTGACAAACACAGATGCATTTGTGCACTTTTGTTAGACAAACTTCAGCCAAATGTGGCAGTAGGTCTGTTCTGTAGATCCGCTCTATGCTGTAGACCTGCTTTGTGCCAACACTGGAACACAAATTTAGACTGGTTTTTGCTTCACGTTTGGTCTTGCTCTTCTAATCAGCCGCACTGTGGGAGGGGCTTGTGTTCGCTGTACGCAGGAAGGAGCGAGAGCGTGAAAAGGCGAGGGGCGGCGTGCTGACGTGAGGCAGATGGACAGGTAGGATGTTTAGGAAGTTGAACCTGCCCTGTGATGCACGCTGGTACACGAGGGCACACGCTGTCGCAGACGAGCCGTGCATAGGGAGCGTGTGTGTTTGTGATGCGCCGTAGAGTCTCCGCGGGTTTCAAATGAGCGCACAGGCTGCACTGAGACGCCCCACACGCTCCTGCACCCGCTACAAGTTTATTACCAACAGCAGCGGCCGTAATGAAATATGATCGCACTTGTTGAGTGTCAGACCTCGAGTGAGAGACAAGACCGAGTCCAAACACGAGTCTGAGACGAGACACGGCGATCTACCCACACGACCTTGGCGATCGACTGGTAGATCACGGTCGACGTATTGAGCACCCCTGATAAAGACAATACATGTGTGTCATTTCGTGGACAAAAAACAAAAAAGGTTCTTCATGATGTGCACGGAATTTACCGCTGACTTTCCCAGTTTCGTGTCTGAAATCACAAAATTCTGTAATTCTGAAATGTAAATTTGTAATTATTTGTAATTCACAATATGCATTACATTAATCACATAATGCCTTTTTGTGCACGGCATATTTGGCTGTAGTTGCGCATAAAATAATTAAACCAGGACTAAACCAGGACTGAACCAGGACTACACCAGGACTGAACCAGGACTGAACCTGGACTAAACCAAGACTGAACCAGGACTATACCTGGACTAAACCAGGACTCAGGACTAAACCAGGACTGAACTGGGACTACACCAGGACTAAACCAGGACTGAACCAGGACAAAAACAGGACTGAACCAAGACTAAACCAGGACTACACCAGGACTGAACCAGGACTGAACCAAGACTACAACAAGACTAAACCAGGACTAAACCAGGACTAAACCAGGACTAAACCAGGACTGAACCAGGTCTAAACCAGGACTAAACCAGGTCTAAACCAGGTCTAAACTAGGACTAAACTTCAATTGAACCAGGACTACACCAGGACTAAACCAGGACTAAACCAGGACTAAACCAGGACTGAACCAGGACTAAACTAGGACTAAACTATGACTAAACCAAGGCTACACCAAGACTACACCAGGACTAAACCAGGACTGATCCATGACTGAACTAGGACTACACCAAGACTAAACCAGGTCTAAACCAGAACTCATCCAGGACTAAACCAGGACTACACCAGGACTGAACCAGGACTGAACCAGGACTAAACCAGGACTAAACCAGGACCAACCATTTTGAAAAAACTGCATTTCGTGAATTACAAACATAATTTTGTGATTTCAGACACAAAACTGGGAAAGTCAGCGGTAAATTCCGTGCACATCGTGAAGAACCTGTTTTGTTTTACCGTTTCATAACCCTTTTCTCCATTTCGTGGCACAGAGCATGATTTTGAGGAAATAACAGCATTAAAACATGACTAAAAACCTTTAATTGAAACAAACAAGAGAGGAGACATTTGTGGCTGAACTCCAAAGACTTTTAATGCGTACGACTCACAAACGTACACGCGCCTCACTGAGCACGTGCATTAGCCGATATATAAATACATTTGTCGTCTGCTGGATCTTTTCGCTCTCGGTAAACTCCAAAAATATAAAAGTTGTTCATAAGAAAATTCAAAGCACCCTCCCGTAACAAACAACCCCCAATCTGAGACAGGAATTATACAAGCTTACACAAATATACGTCTTAATACTAGGCAAAAAGTTTTATGAAAATACTGTGCTTGATATGAAAAAAAAAAAAAGAGTACATCATCGAAGCGACAAAACACGGCGACGCGGTTTACAAGTCGAACATGACCTACAGTCGTCATAGAAACTGATGCTAAATAATGAAACCGTAATTCTATATTCATACGCAAGAAAAACCGAGCAGACAGAGCGAAATATAATCTGTGTGTCATTTGTTAATTTGTTTTTCAAAATAAAACCAAAAATAAGAAAATGAAAAAAACTAAGATTTTCTTTATTATTTGTCTCCAAAACCAAAATGAAAAAACAGATAATGATTCGTATTTTTGCAGTTTTCAATTTTGGGTTTAAATGAATAATGGAAAAAATGGATAACGGACTGAACCAGGATTAAACCAGGTCTAAACCGGGACTGAACCAGGACTAAACCAGGTCTAAACCAGGACCGAACCAAGACTGAACTCGGAATAAACCAGGTTTAAACCATGACTAAACCAGGACTGATCCTGTACTGAACCAGAACTGACCCCAGGACTGAATCGGGACTGAACCGGGTCTAAACCAAGTCTAAACCAGGACCGAACCAGGACCAGACCAGGACCAAACCAGGACCGTGCCAGGACCAAACCAGATCTAAACCAGGTCTAAACCAGGACTAAACCTGTTCTAAACTAGGACTAAATCAGGTCTAAACTAGTTCTGAACCAGCACTAAACCAGTCTCAGTCCTGGTCTCAGTCTCGGTCACCCGACAGTTTACGTGGGCGCACCTCCGGACCTGTCCCAACACTTAGTCCTGGTTCAGTCCTGGTTTAGACCTGGTTTAGTGCTTGTTCAGTCCTGTTTTACTCCTCCTGAATCAGTCCTGGGTTAGTCCTGTTTTAGTCCTATTTTAGTCCTGCAATCAGTCGTAGATCAGTACTGGTTCAGTCCTGGTTCAAACACAAAATAAAAAAAAATTAAAAAAAATAAAATCATTTTCCATTTTTTCATTTTGGTTTTGGAGACAAATAATGAAGAAAATAGCAGTTTTTTTGTTTTCTTATTTTTGATTTTATTTTGAAAAACAAATAAACAAATGATACACATGATTAAAAACGATGCAGTTACATTTTTAAGAAATGATAACACTGGGTTTATTATAGTTGAACACTTAAAAAAAGAAAAAGAAAAACATGTTAGCTGTAGAGTGGTATGGTACGGGTCGGCTACGCTAGCGGTATTGCTAAACTGTAGCCGATTTCTTTCATAGATTTAAGTTAAATTTGTCTTGACTAGTACACATATTTTGTAAAAAACAGCTCTTAACATCAAAATGAGACTGTTGTGTCGTGTCTGTAGCGAAATGAAGTGTTTTTATTAGAAGTTAGTGCTAGCGCGGTGTTAGCTATTTGTTTTTAGCATTAGCCTCTTTAGCATTAGCCTCCGCTTTAGCCTCTGATAGCTGTAAAAAAGCGCTTATAAACTCATGGATAATAATAATTACGATGTTTGGAATGCTTTAGAATTCACTTTGGACTGAACTAGTTTTGTTTTTTTGTTTTGAAGATGGTAAAAATTATGTACAGCGCTTTAAAAAATTATTTTGAGAGGGAAATAAAAGTTGTAAATTTGCCAAAATGTGCTATATACACTTTAATTTATACCTTTAATTATTAGCAATTTGGTGTTTACGTTCTTGATCCCAGCTTTGACTAGTCTTTGATTCCTTGAGCAAGACACTTCACCATCACTTTAAATAATTTCTGTCTATATCTATTTTTATTATAGGCGTTTTTATACACAGGTAGGCTCATGTAATAACAGAACTTAACATAACTTTTGATTCATTGAGGGAACAGAACAATATAAAAATAGTTTTAATATGATGACCAGATGTCCCAATTTACCCGGGACAGTCTCAGTTTTAAGTCCTGTGTCCCCTGTCCCAGCAGATTTATCCAAAAACATAGATTTTTCCCAGATTTTTACAATAAACGTCCCAGATGTCTCTATTTTTGACCAATCTGATACCCGTCAACAGTAAAAAGAAGCATAAATTGTCAGGTAAAATACAAAAAAAATCTGCTTAGAACGACCAAAACACAAAGAAAATGTGACTATTTTTCTTAATTACGCATTCGTTTCACAATTTTATTATTACCAATCATCAAAAAAAAAAAAAAAACGAGGATGGGCCCAGTTTTTTATTTTGAAATTCTGGTAACCCTAAGCTTTTGTTTTTAAGATGGTAAACATTATGTACAGCGCTTTTAAAAATACTTTTGAGGGGAAAATAAAAGTTGTAAATTTGCCAAAATGTGCTATTTACACTTAAAAATGTCTTCTTTAATTATTAATTAATAGTATAGCTTTAATAGTTTGACCAGATGTTCGTTTTTACCTGGGACAGTCCCAGTTTTGTGCCCTGTGTCCCCCTGTCCCAGCAGATTTATCTATAAACCTTGATTTTTCCCAGTTTTATACAAGAAATGAGCCCAGGTGTACCAATTTTTGACTAATCTGATACCTGCCAACAATAAAAAGAGGCATAAATTGACATTTGTTTTGGTAAAATACAAAAAAATCTGCTTAAAAACGGCCAAAACACAAAGAAAATGTGACTATTTTCTTAATTACGCATTGATTTCACAATTTTATTATTACCAATCATCAAAAAAACGAGGATGTGCCAGTTTTTTATTTTGAAATTCTGGTAACCCTAAGCTTTAATTAGGATACCAAATCATACCATGCAGCCCCGTACCGTACCACTCGGGCTAAACGGCGATAACACTGGTAAAACACTGGTCCACTCCACGCTCGACTTGTGCATTTCTTTTGCAGTTCTGTGTCCGTGCTTAGGCCGTAAATGAAATGCTCTGAGAAGGAAAAGAGCGGAAATAAATGCGGAATTTTGAACCTTAAGGCAACAGTAAGTGCGTGTGTTCTCCGTCGCTGCTGGTGCTGGGCCACGCTGCAGACAGACAGGAGAGTGTGGGGACGTGTAAGGCTGTAAGGGGCTGGGTCACTGTGGGGTGGGCTGGGCTGGATTTTACTCCCAAGTTGGACTGGTTCTCTCCGGAATGGGCTGGGTTACACTAAGGAGGGCTGGGATTTATATCCGGTTGGACTAGATACTCCAGGGTGAGATGGGTCACTCCTGGTGGCTTGGTTTCTCTGGAGTGGGCTGTATTTTTACTCCAATTGGGTTCATTTGGGGGGGCAGATGAGTCACTCCGGAGTGGGATGAATCACTCTGGTGGTGGGATGGGTTATTCTGGGTCAAAATGGGTCACTCCGGGGGTGGGATGGGTCACTCCTGGGGTGGGATGGGTCACTCCTGGGTGGAATAGGTCACTCCAGGGGCGAAATAAGTCACTCCTGGGGGTGAGATGGGTTATTCTGGGTCAGGATGGGTCAATCCGTTGATGGGATAGGTCACTCCTCGGTGGGATGGGTCACTCCGGTGGTGGGATGGGTCATTCTGGAGGTGTGATGGGTCATTCTGGGTCAGGATGGGTCACTCCGGTAGTGGGATGGTCACTCCAGGGTGGGACAGTTCACCCTGGAGTGGGATAGGTCACTCCGGAGTAGGATGGGTCACTCCGGTGGCGAGATCGGTCATTCCGGAGTTGAATGGGTCCCTCCTCGGTGGGATGGGTCACTCCTGAGTGGGATAAGTCACTCCAGTGGTGGGATGGGTCACTCCGGGGTAGTATAAGACTACTCCAGTAATTTGTAGTTGAGTTATTCTGGGGCGGGATTTCATTGGGATAGTACGAGTTACTCCGAGATGGGATGGGTCACTCCTGGGTGGAATAAGATAACTCCAGAGTGGGATGGGTTTTGCTGGGGTAGAAGGTCACTCTCGGGTGGGCTGGGTCCCTCCTGGGTTGGCTGAGTTACTCCGGAGTGGGCTGGCTGGGCTGGGTGGGCTGGGTCTCGTTGGCGTTGCTGTCTGTGGTCTTGTTCTCCAGCTCTTCGTCTGAGAGCAGCTCCAGAGACGTGCCCTCCACCTGCAGCTGCCGACGCCCAGAGCGACTGCTGGAGAAGGAGATGGGACCTCCACGCCTGGACAGCACAAACAGAAGCAGCAGCATTAACACAGGAGAATCATGGTGTGGTGAGGAAGAAGAATTGCATTTTGAGGACTCTTGTAACCACAGCGAGTAGAAAGAGCAGTACCTGAGCCTGTTCTTGAGCGTGTGCACCTCTCTGCTCAGCCCCTCGCTGGCCTCTGTGGCGTCGTCCAGTTCTCTCTGCAGTTTCCTCCTGGAGGCGTTGGCTCGGGTGGCCTCCTCCTCGGCCTCCTCCAGCTGCCTCTTCAGCTGCTTCATCCGAGAGTTCGCTTTCTCCAGCTACAGACAAACATACACAACACACTCAACATCACACGACACGAGAGCTGAGGCAATGGAGTTACAAATATAAACATCTTCATACATATAAACGTGCAACAAAAATAAATTAAAGCCGCAAGCGTCACGGGCCGTGCTTTGAGCTTGGCCGACCCGGCACTCTGCTGTCTCTGTGTGATTGTGGCTTTGGTCTGTGCTTGTCACTAAACACACAAAGTCAGCACACCTTGGAGATGGTGATGTGTTAACATAAATAAACATGGGCGCTTTGGGACATTGCCATGACTTTGGCCCCCTGGACTTTTTTGATCGGGGGTAAATTGAAGAATCACTGTGCCAAATTTCACATTCTTCAATAAAACTAATACATTGTTTTATCACTTTGAAATGTAAGAAATTGTAAAAAATTTGCCATTAGGATAACATGGGTGCTTTGGCGCATTGCCATGGCAACCGTGTGAAATATGGTTGTCGTTGACGTTTTTGATCGGGATGACATGAAGAGCCGTTGTGCCAAATTTGAGAATATTCTGTGATTGTAAATTTAAAAAATTAAATAAAATGTATAGCCAGACCTGCTCCTTGTACTGGTCTCCATGGCGACGCTCGTCCTCCACCTGCATGCACACCTCCTTCAGCCTCTTATCGGACCTCCTCACCAGTTTGTTCGCCGCGGCCCTCTCCCTGTAAGCACACACGCCTGTTAGAAACCTCCTCACACACACACGTACTCATATTATACAGGTGATGTTGGTACTGACTTGGCCTCCTGCTCCAGCTGCTCCTCCAGCTGTGAGATCTTCACCTCCAGAGCCGTGATGGACGCCTTGAAGCGGCTCTTGACGGCCCCCTCCAGCTCGCCCAGTTTGGCCCTCAGCTCCTTGTTCTGCCTCTCGAGCTGCTGCCGGGCGTTCTCGCTCTTCTGGGCAGTGCTGCGCTCTGCACTCAGCTCCGTGGTCAGGGAGTCCACCTGAGGAGAACAGGACAATCACGTCAGCTAAGTCATATTTGTACATTAGTTTTCTCCCCCTCGCACTCAAAAGAATCAACAAATTATGAAAGCTGAAGTAATCTACATTTAAAAACAATCAGGCAGTCATTGCTTTATATTTAATATTTTATGCTTTTACTAAAAATTTGCATTATTCAAGAAAAAAGTGACAAAATAGAGGCTTGATTTTTACACGTGTTTGTCTATTTTATTAGAATTTTTATGTGAACTATAATCAGTGACTCAACTTTATTCTACTCTACCATCACCCTAGTATTTTGTAAAAAAGTTAGACAATTGTAACAAACTGAACGTCCTTATTTGAAATATTTTTTAAGGATATTTCAGCATCAGTACCAACAGTTTGTGAAAAGCGTGCAGAAGGAAGAGCTTTCTGCATTTGTGGACAGGGAAGATGTCTGTGCTTTTCTCTCAGCTGGATGTAACTAAAGTCAGATTTTTCGTCTTATTCCGCTGTTGTGACGCTCGACCAATCAGATTTAAATAGTCGTTGTGAAGCTTTGTGTTTTCTCTCTCTGTCAGTGAGAGCCGTTTCAGATTAATAAGGTGTAAAAATCAGTTCAGAGAGACACACATCAGTCTGGAATGACCGAAGACAAATCAGGAACATTCATTTTGATAAGTATAAACAGAAATGGGGCAGTGAAATCGTATGTAAACCAAAATACAGAAGATATAGTTTGATTAAAGACAGCTTTCCACTTAGTCCCAGAGGAGGAGCGCACATGTGCTCTGTGTGACTTAAAGGTTGTATGGAGGATTTTTTGTCGATGAAAGTTCAAAATAAAATTATAGAGATGCAGCAGCCTTGTAATTATGATGACCAAAAAAAAAAAAAAGAATGAAAATCCATCAACTGTGGACGTAGTGGGGGCAGATAAACATCAGCCAATAGATAACAAGGCTACCTCTTTATCTATTGGCTGTTGGGTGTCAATCAACCTCCCTACATTTCTAGAGTCACTGACTTGCCGGCGAGCTGGGATTACGTGCTGTACGTTCACCTCGCACGTACTGATGCTGTTTACTCAATCAACACAGCGGTTCTTAGCGTCTTTTTCGATATGTCGCTTCCTCTCACACAAAGTTTTGCACAAAGTTTGTCGTAACGGCCGAAAAGAATTCAAGACCAGTTCGCCACAAAAGAAAGTCTGTTTTTGACGTCGCTGAAAGACGAAGAGAAGGGGAAGAGGAGCGAAGCGCGACATTTGAAAATGGACAAACAGTCACTGCATTTCTCTTTCCTTGGACAATCTTCTATACAACCTTTAAAGGACAATGAAAATGAAATGTATTTTCTGTTCTACTGTCCTTTGTATCAAGACCTGGACAGTCAGTTGTTGTCGAATGTGTCTGATTGTTTGTTTGCTGTGTCTGATGAGTGTTGTAGAAGTTTTCAGGTTGTCCAAGAAAGGGTGGAAGTAAAAGGCTGGAGACCGACTGGACATCTTAAGCAGAAGTTGACCTACCATTAGTAGATTGTATAGAGTGAATAAATAATGCTGAATGTAATGCTCTGTAAAAGCGTCTTTGTGACTGTGAAAAGCGCTATGTAAATAAAGACTTACTGACTGACTTACTTACCATTAATAATACGGGTCAAGAGTGAAAAGTCAACATAGTATGATTTCAAAAGTGAACATAGTCTGATCTTTGAGTGTTCAGGCCCCTTTTCTCTGCTTCCAAAGAAGGAGGTTTATAAAGCAAGTGTGGTGAGACTATGAAAGCCAGTAGATTATAGATTATAGAAGCCCGATTTATGGTCATGCGTCAAATCGTCTGCATCGCCTTGAACCCCCTCCAAAGAACGCTGCACCTCAGAACTTTTGTAACTAGGTGTCGAACCGACGCAGACGTCAATGAACATCAAAGTGCTGTGATTGGTCCTCTCTACACCGCTCTACATACATTTCCGGCACTCTGCTTTCCCGCTTCATTTTGTAAACACGAACGCAATCCCAGCCTCCTAATGTTGTCGCAGTGAATTACTTCGCGGCGCATAGACCTCGAAACAGATCCATAAATCAAAAACGACTGCGACAAGGCGACGGCGGCAGTGTGCATTGAGTCGACGCAGAACTGTAATTCAGGTTTTAGTCAGCATTTAGTGAGACTGCTGCGTTCAGACTGCAGCCTGAAGTGATCCAAATCCGATTTTTTGGCCCCTATGTGACCTGTATCTGATCTTTTAATGACAGTCTGAACGACACAGATACGATTTTTTTAAATGTGACTCAGGACACTTGGATATGTGCTCCTGAAACCGATACATATCTGATCTTTTGACATGTGACTTCAGTCTGAACGGTCAGGTCGCATTCATTTGACCTACATGTTATCAACAAACCACAAACGTCACTATTCTGCGCTGAAGTAGGCGAAAATTGTTAATGAATTCTGTGTCGCTGAAGCGAAGCACATCACCACTCTTGGCTACGTCTCCACATCCACATGTTCCTTTCAACAGGACGTCGCTGCCGCTGCCCCACAAAACACCACGACCAAAAAACCTTCTTCTTCTCAATCTCCTCCTTAAAACAAGTAAGTTGTTCATGTTCTGGCTCCGGTACGAGAGGAACTTTAAAATCTCCAGGTGCTCGAATGCTGCGTCCATGTTTGAACAACTTCCATAAACACAGAGACGCTCGCTGCGGTTGACGTCGTCGTGTCTCCAGTGTCACATGCGGGACACTTTTGGGCCGTTTAACGTTCACACTGGAGTCACATACAAGTCACATTTAATTGGAAATGTGAACGACCTCGCAAAAACATCGGATTTCACAAAAAAATCGGAATTGAGCGTTAAGCCCTGCAGTCTGAACGTAGCCTTTGAAGGCACCGGTTAAACAGCAATATGCCACAATTTAGATGATGTTAATCCAACTGTGTGCCAAGGGAAGATGATTGTGTTACTATAGCTCCTGTGAGTTCATGTTAAACTGAGAGATGCTCGTGGAAAATAAATTACTTACATTCTTTTACAATGAGGAGAGACTGGTGTATTTGTTTAAATGTAACGTGCGGGAGCCAGGTAAGAGGACGCTTTATGTTTGATGTGTGATCTGTCTGCTTTTTGTTCTTTGTGTCTTACAAACAGTGTTGGGGAGTAACAGATTACATGTACTGGAGTTATGTAATCAGAGTACAAATGATGAGTAACTGTATTCAGTTACAGTTACTGTTTCAGTGAGTGGTAATTGGATTACAGTTACTTTGTTGAAATAAGTGGATTACACGGCGGTATTTTCCTGTTTTCACATTAATTTTATTTTTATTTAGTTATTTATTTATTTTTTTGCTCATTGCTGGAAACTAAACCAGGTCTAAACCAGGACTAAACTAGATCTAAACTAGATCTAAACTAGGTCTAAACCAGGTCTAAACCAGGACTAAACCAGGACGAAAACCAGGTCTAAACCAGGACTAAACCAGGACGAAAACCAGGTCTAAACCAGGACTAAAACCAGGTCTAAACTAGATCTAAACTAGATCTAAACTAGGTCTAAACCAGGTCTAAACCAGGACTAAACCAGGTCTAAACCAGGACTAAACCAGGATGAAAACCAGGTCTAAACCAGGACTAAACCAGGATTAAAACCAGGACTAAACCAGGACTAAAACCAGGTCTAAACTAGATCTAAACTAGATCTAAACTAGGTCTAAACCAGGTCTAAACCAGGACTAAACCAGGACAAAAACCAGGTCTAAAACAGGACTAAACCAGGACGAAAACCAGGTCTAAACCAGGACTAAAACCAGGTCTAAACTAGATCTAAACCAGGACTAAACCAGCACTAAAACAGGATTTAACAGGACTAAATCATGCTGCGTGGACGTGTCTCCTCCTCCATTATCAATAATATTTTTAACACGGTTAAGTGTCCTCGTCTTTGCTTCTCTACAGCAAATCAAGTAATCCAAAGTATTCAGATTACATTACTCACTTTAAGTAATTGAATGGATTATGTTACAAACTACATTTTGGGGGATGTAATCTGTAATCTGTAGGGGAAAACATTTTAAAAGTCACCTTCCCAACACTGACTATAAACCCATTTGGGCACCTATTAAACAGTGGATGACAGCAAATAAGTCAAATAAAAAGATATGTAGATGATTATTTTACAACTTGTTGATAATGTCTGTGGCTCCCTGTGTGTGTCTGACCTGCAGGGCTGTCTTCCTGAAGCGGTCATTGAGCAGCTCCATGTTGCCCTGCTCCTCGTCCAGCTCCTCCTCCAGCTGAGCGATCCGAGCCTCCAGACGCCGCTTCTCCTCCAGCAGAGCCGACCTGCACTCAGCACGGAGCAGAGTGAGACACCGCCACTAAAACCAGCCTCAACTAAACACTAAAGCGGCTCTGATAAGATACGAAGTGCTCTTTCAGTGACCAGAGCGCTAATCTTCACATAAAAAACGATTCCCTTAAAGGTTGTATAGAGGATTTTTTAAGGGAAGAGAAATACAGCGACAGTCCTTTTTCAAATGTTGTGCATGCCTTGTTACTGCCTTGTTACTCTAGAAATCACACTTGTTTACAGCCTGCGCGCGTTCAGAATTACTGCTGAAGTGACCCGTCTAGAAATAATTTAGCGACCGACCCGTCAGTTTTTAAACTCTTCGTCTGCATCATTCGCGCAATCGCTGGAAGAGGTCTCCCGAGATTCACCTCAGTTTGTCTTTGCTCCTTTTCGCCTTCTCTTCTTCTTTCAGCGACCTCAAAAACGGACTTTCTTTTGCGGCGAACTGGTCGTCGATTCTCGTCCGCCATCTCAACAAACTTTGCGCGAAAAGAACTGCTGCATAAACCGCATAATCCCCACGCGCCGGCGAAGCAGCTACACTAGAAACGTAGGGAGTTTGATTGACAACCTAACAGCCAATAGAAAATGAGGCAGCCTTGTTTTCTATTGGCTGATGTTTATCCGGACTCACTACATCCACAGTTGCTAGATTTTCATTCTTTTTTTTTTTTTTTTTTTTTTGGTCATCATAATTAGAAGGCTGCTGCATCTCTGTAATGGTATTTTAAATTTTCATTGAATTTGAAACTAAAAAAAAAAAAATCCTCTATACAACCTTTAACACAGTAAACTCTGAAAGTCTTGGTGCGTACTTTCCGGAGGTGCTGTTGGAGATGTCGTCCTGCAGCTCGTCTCTCTCCTGCTCGGCGTGACGTCTGCCTCGCTCAGACGCTGCCAGGTCCTACAGACAGGGGGCAGTGTTAAATATCTGCCATAAACAACGATCTATGCCAGCAGAGGGCGCAATACATGTTACATATAAACACATTTCAGTAGACAAATATTATTTTAAGTAATTCCCAGTGTTTCAGTATCTATAAAGATTAGACTAAAGGGTAAGAAGAATAAGTTTGCGTATTTTCCAAGTAACTTTTACGTCTTAAATTGTAGTTGTAGTTAGTCCCATATATTTTAAAAAGGATAAATCTCCTCTATCAATGGGAAACACTGGAATGCCAAAGCTAAGCTAAAGAAATAAAGTATAAAGGAAACCCTGCACATGTGTCTGAAAACCTAAAAGTCCAAATTCCATATACCATGTTATAAACTAAAAGACTAGATAAAGCCCTTCCTCTGCACCTCGTTCAGCTGCACGATCTCGGCCTCCAGGCTCTTGAGCTTCTTCTCGTTCTCCTTGGCCATGGAGAAGATATCATCTCGAGAGGCTCTGGTGTCCTCCAGCTCCCTCTGGTAGTCCTTCAGCTGAGCCTGAACAAACAAGATGAACATGAACAACACAGGTCCTCACAGCCATGAGAACTATTTTAAGGCATTGTATTTTTATAGAGTCTGTAAGTGAGGTTTTTGTAATTGCAGCTGCGCTGAACAACCTGCCAGAAACAAGACCACCACAAAGCTCAATACCATATTCATTCAGGCTGCAGGGGCACAGTTACAACAATGCAATGTTTTTATTCTGAACACAGCCAACAACCAAACAAATCGTTGGTCATGAGTTTGGTCCAGTAATGTCCAAAAGGACAAAATTGCGTATACAAAATGAGTTTCCTCCGCAGGGTGGCTGGGTGCTCCCTTAGAGACAGGGTGAGGAGCTCAGTCACACGGGAGGAGCTCGGAGTAGAGCCGCTGCTCCTCCACATTGAAAGGAGCAGCTGAGGTACCTCAAGCATCTGTCCCGGATGCCTCTTGGACGCCTCCTTCGTGGGGGTGTTCTAGGCATGTCCCCCTGGGAGGACGCCCTGGGAAAGACTGAGGACACGCTAGAGGGACCAAGTCTCTCAGCTGGCCTGGGAATGACTCGGGGTTCCCCCGGAGGAGCTGGAGGAAGTGTCCGGGGTGAAGGAAATCTGGGAGTTCCTGCTTAGACTGCTGCCCCCACGACCCGGCCCCAGATAATCGGAAGAAAATGGATAGATGGAGAACCACCAACCTTTAGACAGTAGGTTAATGTTGCTTTTCTTTACATGTCCTATAATATGACATTAATCTATCACCACGGCGACAATGGTGACAATAAGATTTGAGACCTGTACAAAGGATCACTCAGAATTTAACCCATTTACATATTGAGCAATAAAAACACCTGTAACAGAATGAAAGATATGTTTGATGCTGTATTATGTGTGGAACATTTCAGGCAATGCAAGAAAACGACCAGAAAAGTTTAACTTAAGTAAAATGTTCCGTATTAAAATAAATAGATAAATACTAAAATACTATTCTTGATATACCTGTATCTTGTGCAGTAGTGTGAGGTACATGTGTGTATGTTGTATACCTGTAGTTTGCGCAGTTGTTTGATGGCCTCGTCGCGGGCCTTGGTGGCTCCTTGGATGTGTCCCTCCACGTCCTTCAGGTCCAGCTCCAGTTTCTTCTTAGCGGCTACAGCCAGAGCCCTCTGCTTCCTCTCATCCTCCAGCTCCGCCTCCATCTCCCGCACCTGAGTCATACAAGAGAAAATATTCATAAAAGAGAGTCCATGGTTGTTACTGCAATATTTTCTAAAGCAACAGAGATTCAGTTGTGTTGGAAGTGAAGTACCTGTTTGAGCAGCGCCCTCTTCTTGTCGTCGCTCTGCTCGTCTCTCCCCTGCAGGTCCCTCTCGTACTGGGCCTTCAGAGCCTGCATGTTCACCTCCAGCCTGAGCTTCGCGTCCTCCGTGGCCTGGAGCTCATCTTCTAACTCCTCCAGCTGGGTCTTCATCTCCTCCAGCTGCTGCTCCAGGGTGCGCTTAGACTTCTCCAGCTCGTGCACCTGACACGGACACAAGTGTGGAGATTAGTGGGAGATTGAATGTAATGACAGTGAGATTATGTCAGGAAAATGTAATATGAAGGAGTTAAAAAAAGGCTCCCATCATGACCTATGATAATCCAAAAAAAAAAAAGGTCTCCAGCGTAAGGTCCTGCCCATGGACACAATGTCACTGTAAGTTTGAGCAGGATTTTACTGGGTTGGTACTGGTTGACTCTTAAACTTAACTTTTTCTCATAAATAATTATACAGAAAAATCCCGCACACCGTCTTACTTGCAAACTGTGAAATTTATTAGGACAAACCGTGCAACGTTTTCGGCACTAGGCCTTTGTCAGGCAAACAGGGTTTTGCCTGACGAAGGCCTAGTGCCGAAACGTTGCACGGTTTGTCCTAATAAATTTCACAGTTTGCAAGTAAGACGGTGTGCGGGATTTTTCTGTATGTTCTGGGGCTGCTCCCTCTCCTCCAACGCACCCGTCTCTAGTAGTTGATGTGCGAGGCTCTCATTCTCTCTCATAAATAATTAAATTTAGTTTTCCCCAAAGACTGTATAGAAGTCCTATAGAGTCCTTGCCTCAAGTGGAGGAGTTCAAGTATCTCGGGGTCTTGTTCTCGAGTGAGGGGAGGATGACGCGTGAGATTGACAGGTGGATCGGTGCAGCATCGGCAGTGATGCGGTCGCTGTATCGGACCGTTGTGGTGAAGAGAGAGCTGAGCTGCAAGGCAAAACTCTCGATTTACTGCTCGATCTATGTTCCTTCCCTCACCTCTGGTCATGAGCTCTGGATAATGACTGAAAGGACGAGATCGTGGATACAAGCGCTCGAAATGAGTTTCCTCCGCAGGGTGGCTGGGCGCTCCCTTAGAGATAGGGTGAGGAGCTCAGTCACACGGGAGGAGCTCGGAGTAGAGCCGCTGTCCTCCACATCGAGAGGAGCAGCTGAGGTGGCTCGAACATCTGTTCTGATGCCTCCTGGGTGCCTCGCTCAGGTGTTCCATTAATGTCCAGAAGGAGGCTCTAAGAAAGACCCAGGACACACTGGAGGGACTATGTCTCTGAGCTGGCCTGGGAACGCCTTAAGGTCCCCCCGGAGAAGCGCTCCCCGCAACCCGGCCCCGATAAGCAGAAGAAAATGTATGGAAGGACGGACTGTATAGAAGTGCACTGAGAGAACGAAACGTCACTGATTGGCTCTAACCAAACTACGTCACTTGAGGCTCGAAGTTATAGCAGCGAATCTGGAAACGAAATTCAGATTTGGAAATCCGAGCGCATGTATCATAGCAACTAAAGAGCCAATCAGGAGCGAGGGTGTTGAAATGATGCCCCTATTATTTACAAGCATGTAAGTTAGATTTAAATACGTGCTTCCTCCTTCCAAAATCGTGAACACAAGCTTTAATGTTAGTTTGTGTTACCAAAAAATACACTGACACGTGTGGATTTCCATCTTTCTAACACTGATAAAACAGACTGTAATTGGCTCCAGACCAAAATCCATTCTTGAGTAGAAACACCTCCCATTCCCCATCTCCACAAAACAATTACAGGAGGTCCAGACTCACGTTCTTGCCCACGTCGTCCTTGGAGCTCATCAGGTCCTCCATGTCGGCCCTCAGCTGCTTGTTCTGTCTCTCCAGCTCGTCCTTGGCCTCCAGAGCCTCGTCCAGAGCTCGGGTCAGAGACAGGGCCTTGGTCTCCTTCTCTCTGGCCTCGGCCTCTGCTCGGTCCCTCTCCTCTGCGTAACGAGCCGAGATGTTCTTCTCCTCAGCCAACATCTGTACAGGACAGGGGTACACACAAGTTTATATCGTATTTCTATTGCTCTGGATAAACTGTACAGTGGGGCTCAAATTATTCATATGCCAGAGATATTTTGATGGACAAAAATATATTGAAAGTTTTGTGTTTTTTTTTCTTAATAAAGCAAGTGGCTGGAAGTTAACAAGGTGAATAATATCTGAACAACACTATACAAGACTCTACTGTAAAAAAAAGTAATTTTTATTATTAAATATATCTTTTAAGACATAAAATTATCACCTTGAAATAGGCAAACAGTGTATGTGTGCCACAACTATTCAATTTCAATTCAATTCAAAAAGTTTATTGTCAATTTTCATATGAAACAATAAGAATTCAAACTGTGGTCCTCACTCCCAATCTTCTAAATTAATAAATAATAATAATAATAAATGGAAAAGTTCAAGAGTTCTTCTTTGGGGAGACACAGATTCCTGCCTTGGAACAGAGGCTCCTGTACCTCCTCCCTATAACTAATGAAAATACATATTTAAGTACAATTTTAAAGCTACTATTTCTAATTAGATGAGTGTGAACAGGTTTCACATCTTCCATGAACTGATAAAACAATGAAATAAACACATGGGAGCTTTAAGGCTGTAAGAAAGCAGCACAGCAGAGAGCAACTATGGTGTTATATGAGAAAAGAGAATTAGAATACAACAGGCCCAGGTCTGCCATTCGAATTAGAAATAGTAGCTTATTAAAATTAATAAAGCAATGTTGTGTAACTTTCTAGAGGTGGCAAGTCACCTGCAAGATTTTCAGTGCACTGTAGGGCTTATAATGTGGCACGAATGTTTTTACACTCCATGATTCTGTCTCATATCGAATATTATATAACTGCATGATCAATTGCTGCTGGTACAACACTCAAACCAGTCACTTTTTAAAAAGCTGTAAAAATACTGGACAAGAAACTATTCTCAATTCACCACTGCACTATTTTAGACAAGCACAACTTGTTTAATTTTATTAATTTAGTTCATTTTAAATATGGATGTTTATACATAAAGTTTTGTATGGACTTCCCCCCATCCATTTCAGGTTTTTATTAAAGTAAAGACAGTGGGACAGGAACAACTGTGAGCTCCACACCGACTCACCACATTTGGACCAAGTGTGTCTCAGTCAGAAGCACTAAGTTCTGGAACATTCTCCCATTATCAATAAGAGAGACTCCAACACTGGACTGTTTCAAATCCAACTTGAAACTGTGGCTAAAGGAAAACCAGACTTGTGGACACTTTTAGTTTTAGAACTGTCGCTATTGTCACTTGTTTTTGCTTTTTCTGTTAAATTTGTGATGTTACCTGCCGAGGGACGACAGATGGAAATGAGCATTTTTACTAAATAAATAAATAAACAACTAATTTAAATATTGTAAAGGTGTTTTAAGTCGATTTTTTGATGAAGTGAAAATGTCAGTATTAGTGTAAGTGTGGGGTAGAATACCTGGTCAAATTTCTTCTGCTTCTTCTCCAGGTTGGACACGATCTGCCTCTGATGGTCCAGGTCCACAGTCAGGTCGTCCAGCTCCTGTTGGAGGCGGGTCTTGGTCTTCTCCATCTTCTCAAAGGCAATGGTCTTCTCCTCCAGCCGCAGGGCCGACAGCTCCAGCTCCTTCTGCAGCTTCTTCTTACACTCCTCCAGAGCCTCGATGGTGCCCACGTCGTCCTCCAGCTTCTTCTTACTCTCACACAACTAAGACACGGGACAACGAGATACAGAGATGGGAAGTCAGATGATTCTATTCTTACTCTTGCATGCCTCTTCTTCTTCTTGTTCATGTTTACTAAAGTGTTATAGTTTAAGTGTATGTACCTGGGCCTGCAGCGAGAGCACTTGCTTCTCCAGGTTCTTGCGAGCCTCCTCCTCCTCCTCTTGTTGTTCCTGCAGAGCGTTCTTCTCCTCCTCCAGCTGTCGCACTCGACTGCTCAGGTTCAGCTTCTGACGGGTCTCCTCCTGCAGCAGCTCCTGCACACGCACAAAGGACAGCAGTCACACGGACGGCACAGAAGGTCCTCGATGTCAGGAGGACACATGGACACGAGGAACCTTTTGGAGTAAAGCTGCTTCTATTACAACATAGAGCCTCGTGCATGAATGTTTCCTACTATTAGTAAATGTAAACTTGCACTTTAAGACAATAAGAATGCAGGTGCGGCGACATTAGGGGTGTGCAAAAATATCAGAATATCGATATATTGTATCGTTTAATGTGATAATACAGTATCGATATCGTGGGCTACTGTATCGATATATCACCAGAGTATTTTTAGGTGTGTTTTACTAAATTATTTTGTTACAGAGCTACAGTTTTGTTGCTTGTGGAGTGAAAGGAAACTCATGTATTCAACACATTTGATATTTTTACTGTTTTGATGATTAAAATGTTTGTGTTTCATATGAACTTTGCACAAGAAGTGGTTTAACAAAGACTTTTAGTGTCACAGCCATGATTTAGCCTTTATTTTTATTGAACCGTATCGAATCGATTTGAAATATATCATATAGAATCGAAAGTGCGCTGTATCGAGGTATGTATCGTATCGTGGCCTGTGTATCGAGGTATGTATCGTATCGTGGCCTGTGTATCGAGGTATGTATCGTATCGTGGCCTGTGTATCGAGGTATGTATCGTATCGTGGCCTGTGTATCGAGGTATGTATCGTATCGTGGCCTGTGTATCGAGGTATGTATCGTATCTGCAATTTCTTGATGATACCCAACCCTAGGCGACATGGATCTATTATAAGAACTTGATACGACATTTCCCCCGTGTCCCGGCTCCAGACTTACTCCAGCTGCAGCTCCTGGAAGCTTGGGCTCTGAAAGAATTGAACCATGGAGCGCATATATTTTTGGGGGAACTCAAACTGCCCGTGTTCGGACAGGACGGCACATCTACAACTGTCACCAAGGTGGAATTTTGAAGGATTCTTGTCTGTTTTCACAACATAAATGCTTTACATTTTTAAATACTCAAAGCAACTAAAAGTAAGCTTTACATGATTTGCTCCGCTCTAGCAGCTCTTGCTCTGACTTGGTCAAAACGCACCACGCCATGCAGGTCATAGACATCATGCGGGTGGAAGGTGCTCACTCGTACTGAGGAAGTAATGCGAAAGAGAAAATTAGTTTTGGGCCCATGCGCCAATGAGCACAGGTCATTGAAAACAATACGACGCCATCTTGGGTTCATCCTCCAGATTTTATTATAGTTCTACGTACGATAACCAGGCACAGGGCTGTAAGAACATTGTACAATAAGCAATATCCATCAATTTTCTTCCGCTTTATCTGGGGCCGGGTCGTGAAGGCAGCAGTCTAAGCGTGGAAAGAGAAGTCTGGGAGTCCCTGCTTAGATCTGCTGGAGGATGATAAGTAATAATTCAAGAAAATATAACAACTGAACCACTAACCTTTGCATGCACCAGTCAGGCAGAAATTTGAATTATTTTGGTAGCAATACAGGTCTAACAATATTCTAAAACTTCATAATTTCCGTGCTGCATACTAGTACCCCTGATATTTCTTGAACATAACTCATTTTCTTCTAAGTCTGAGGCCATGGTTCTCGACCGGAAAAAGGTGGCTTGCCCTCTCTGGGTGGGGAGTCTTTGCCTCAAGTGGAGGAGTTCAAGTATCTCGGGGTCTTGTTCACGAGTGAGGGGAGGATGGAGCGTGAGATTGACAGGCGGATCGGTGCAGCTTCGGCAGTGATGCGGTCGCTGTATCGGAAAGTTGTGGTGAAGAGGAGCTGAGCTGAAAGGCGAAGCTCTCGATTTACCGGTCAGTCTTCGTTCCTACTCTCACCTATGGTCATGAGCTCTGGGTAGTGACCGAAAGGACGAGATCGCGGATACAAGCGCTCGAAATGAGTTTCCTCCGCAGGGTGGCTGGGCGCTCCCTTAGAGATAGGGTGAGGAGCTCAGTCACACGGGAGGAGCTCGGAGTAGAGCCGCTGCTCCTCCACGTCGAGAGGAGCCAGTTGACGTGGCTCGGGCATCTGTTCCGGATGCCTCCTGGGCGCCTCCCTCGGGAGGTGTTCCGGGCATGTCCCACTGGGAGGAGGCCCCGGGGAAGACCCAGGACACGCTGGAGGGACTATGTCTCTGGGCTGGCCTGGGAACGCCTCGGGGTCCCCCCCGGAGGAGCTGGAGGACGTGTCTGGGGTGAGGGAAGTCTGGGAGTCCCTGCTTAGGCTGCTGCCCCCGCGACCCGGCCCCGGATAAGCGGACGAAAATGGATGGATGGATAACTCATTTTGTGAATACTGAAAATGTTTGTAAGAAACCAAGTACAAACTAATTTGAAAGAACGTTTCATTTATTCAGGGACGGATGTTTTCTTTACTTGTGGAGAAGTTGAGAGTGAGTGCACTAGACGAACCATTTTTTATGTTTTGCAGCACAACTTTTACTGCACAAAATGTAAAAAAAAAAAAAATCAGATGTAACTTTCAAGCACAAACTACTTTTAGCGATATATTTTGAGGTTACAGCACCCTTCCTCTGACAGACAGTAGATGGATCACTTCACTCTCCCCGGTCCCTGTACCTGTGTGTCCTGTAGTTGACTCTCCAGTCCAGCCACGTCCTTCGCCGTCTTGATGCACTTCCTCTCTGCGTCCTCCAGCAGCGCAGACACGTTGTCCAGCTCCGTCTGACAGAACAACATTTACATATTAATCACATTCGTCACTGTTTAACATGAGTGATACTGTGGATGTGTTACCTGTAGTTTGTGGCTCTTCTCGACCAGCTCTCCCTTGGCCTTCTCGCCCTCTGCAGCCCGGGCCATGATCTCCTGCAGCTGCCCCTCCAGCTTCTTCCTCTTGTGCTCGGACTCCCCTTTGGCCTGCTGCAGACTCTTCACCTCGGCACACAGCTCCTTGTTGGCCGTCTCCTGGCTCTGCTTGGTCTTCTCCAGGTTGGCCTTAAACTGTAAACAAGCACCACATTCGGGTCAGTCGTTACCGTATTTTTCGGACTATAAGTCGCACTTTTTTTCACGGTTTGGGTGGTTCAAAATTTTCACACTGAAGCCGCGCCGGTATCTGCTGCTCCTGTACCCAGTGTTGGGAAGGTGACTTTTAAAATGTTTTCCCCTACAGATTACAGATTACATGCCCCAAAATGTAGTTTGTAACATAATCCATTAAAATACTTAAAGTGAGTAATGTAATCTGAATACTTTGGATTACTTGATTTGCTGTAGAAAAGCAAAGACTAGAAAATCTTCAAATAAGATGTTTTGTCTGATAAAAGAAAATAAAAAAGCCCAGACTTTACTGAACCAAATTAAAAATATTATTGATAGAAGAGGAGGAAACACGGTCCATGCAGCATGATTTAGTCCTGTTAAATCCTGTTTTAGACCTGGTTTTAGTCCTGGTTTAGTCCTGGTTTAGTCCTGGTTTAGACCTAGTTTAGATTTAGACTGTTTAGACTGGTTTAGGTTTAGACCTGGTTTAGACCTGGTTTAGATCTAGTTTAGACTTGGTTTAGACCTGGTTTTAGACTGGTTTAGATCTAGTTTAGACTTGGTTTAGACCTGGTTTAGACCTGGTTTAGATCTAGTTTAGACTTGGTTTAGACCTGGTTTAGACCTGGTTTAGATCTAGTTTAGACCTGGTTTAGACCTGGTTTAGATCTAGTTTAGACTTGGTTTAGACCTGGTTTAGTGTCGGGCAATGAGTGAAATTAACGGGGAAAAAAAGGGGGATTTTGCCAGAAATGTGAAAAAGGAAAATCCCGCCGTGTAATCCATTTATTTCAACAAAGTAACTGTAATCCAATTACCACTCACTGAAACAGTAACTGTAACTGAATACAGTTACTCATAATCTGTTCTCTGATTACGTAACTCTGGTACATGTAATCTGTTACTCCCCAACACTGCCTGTACCACTGTCACTTAAAGCCCTACTGCGCATGTCTCCTGCAGAAAAAGCCTCTGTCCTGTTGCAAGTAGTGAAATCTGCAGCCGAAATCGGTAATCGAGCAGCAGAAAGAAAGTTTGGAGTGAAAACTTGTGACAGCGTAAGGATGCACCATGAAACGTTCCTGAAGTCACTGGATGGATGGACAAAGCCTGGACTTCAGTGACACCGAAACCATCCTGTCGGGATTCAGAAAGGCCGGAATAATTCTAACTGGAACTGATGCTGAGTCTGACGACAGCGACACAGAAGAGGAAGCGGTGCTCTGTTTACCTCCGGAGGTCACGGAGTTGCTCAGAAGTGACACCGAGGATGAAGAATTGAATGTATTTAGTGATTTGGAGTGAGATGGAGAGTTTGTTAAACTTGTTCTGTTCTGTTGTTTAACTGTTCATATGTGACGTTAACAGTCTGTTGTTCTCTGTTCTGTTGTTATTACTAGAACTTGAAATGTCGGTTCCTGGTCTCTGATTTTATAAAATACATTTCCCCCAAAAAGTGCGACTTACATATGTTTTTTCTTCTTCATTACGCATTTTTTGACTGGTGCGGTTTATACTCCGGAGCGACTTATAGTCCGGAAAACACAGTACAAAATTTGATGTGAATAATCTGAGGGACTTGATTAGAAATTTCACTTTACAGCTGTTTGTCACTTGAAAGGTTTTCTACCTCCAAAAATGTGATATGATGTAAAATGTGACTTGTAATGTCAACAAAAAAAAAGTCCTAGTCTATAACAATAGTATATAGTCTTAATTTTGTGGTAACATGACATTAGAATAAAACAGTCTGTTTCTTTCAATGTGAAATGTCTGTTCCTGGTTTCTAATAAAAAAAAAAAAAACTCCCCCCAAAACTGCAACTTATATATGTTTTTTTCTCCTTCGTTTTGAATTTTTGGCTGGTGCGACTTATACTCCAGAGCAATTTATAGTCCAAAAAATACAATATATTTTGGATTAACGATATTAAAATGTGATGTTTTAATGTCCAGGGGTATGGTGGTACCCTCTTGGCCTGCTCCAGTTGTTCGGACAGTTCCTCCAGAGCAGCAGCGTGTCTCTGTCTCATGTCCTGGATCTGGGCCTCGTGGTTTTTGGTCTCCTCTTCAATGGCCTTCTTCAGCTCAGCCACCTCCTGCTCACGCTTAGTCCTACAACAGAAGAGACACTTTACACCATGAGACGATGTTCGGAGACTATAATAATTAGTGCTGTCATGCGATAAAAAAAATTGAGAGATTAATTAATTATGATCTGTAATTAATTAATCTAATTAATCTCATTTTAATCTCACCTAAAAATTGCTGAGAAAAGCCTTCAATTTGAGGTATTTTCATTTAAATTCATTATTACATTATTGTGGCAGATCAAAAGACTGATATAGATTTAAAAAAAGTGACTTTATAAAGTCATTTATTGTTTAACAAATGTCTCCAAATTGGCTGTTGAGCCCAAGTCTCCATGAATAAGAAACTGTTTGCTGTAAAGTAGCAAAGACGAGGAAATCTGAACATAATAACTTTTGTCGACTTAAAGACAATAAAAAGTCCAGTCTTTCCTTAACCATATTAAAAATATTATTGATAGAGAAATGCTTTATATATGAGATCACTGGTTTTAGTCCTGGTTTAGTCCTGGTTTAGTCCTACTTTAGTCCTAGTTTAGTCCTGGAATGGATTAATCCTGGTTTTAGTCCTGGTTTTAGTTCTGGTTTAGTCCTGGTTTAGACCTGGTTTAGACCTGGTTTAGTCCTGGTGTTAGTCCTGGTTTAGTCCTGGTTTAGTCCTGGTTTAGTCCTGGTTTAGACCTGGTTTTAGTCTGGTTTAGTCCTGGTTTAGTCCTGGTTTAGTCCTGGTTTAGTGGTTTAGTCCTGGTTTACCTGGTTTAGTCCTGGTTTAGTCCTGGTTTAGTCCTGGTTTAGTTCTGGTTTTCTGGTTTAGTCTGGTTTAGTCCTGGTTTTAGTCTGGTTAGTCCTGTTTAGTTTTTAGTCTTGGTGTTAGTTCTGGTTTAGACCTGGTTTAGTCCTGGTTTAGTCCTGGTTTAGTCCTGGACTGGGTTAGTCCTGGTTTTAGTCTTGGTGTTAGTTCTGGTTTAGAGGTTCACAGGAGGAAGCTCGGTTTACGCCGCGTACGCGAGAAAACACGATCCACACGCGGCTCACGGGAGCACGTCGGTGTCCACGCAGTAACTACGGAAGGAAACGTGGTCCACGCGTTCTCAGGTTAATGACGATGATGAAGGTGTGTGTTTGTGTGTGTTTTGTGTTTGTGTGTGTGTGTGTGTTTTGTGTGTGTTTGTGTTTGTGTGTGTGTTTGTGTGTGTTGTGTTGTGTGTGTTTGTGTGTGTTTGTGTTGTGTGTGTTTTGTGTGTTTGTGTTTTGTGTGTGTGTGTTTGTTTGTTTGTGTTTGTGTGTTTGTGTGTGTTTGTGTGTGTTTGTGTTTGTGTGTGTGTGTGTGTTTGTGTTGTGTGTGTGTGTGTTTGTGTTTGTGTGTGTTTGTGTGTGTTTGTGTGTGTTTGTGTTTGTGTGTGTTTGTGTGTGTTTGTGTGTGTGTGTGTGTTTGTGTGTGTGTGTGTGTGTGTTTGTGTGTGTTTGTGTGTGTTTGTGTGTTTTGTGTTTGTGTGTGTTTGTGTGTGTTTTGTGTGTGTGTGTGTTTGTGTGTGTTTGTGTGTGTTGTGTGTGTGTGTGTTGTGTTTGTGTGTGTTTGTGTGTGTTTGTGTGTGTTTGTGTTTGTGTGTGTGTGTTTGTGTGTGTGTGTTGTGTGTGTTGTGTTTGTGTGTGTTTGTGTGTGTGTGTTTGTGTGTGTGTTGTGTGTGTTTGTTTGTGTTGTTTGTGTGTGTTTGTGTGTGTGTTGTGTTTGTGTGTGTTTGTGTGTGTTTGTGTGTGTTTGTGTGTGTTTGTGTTTGTGTGTGTTTGTGTGTGTGTGTGTGTGTGTGTGTTTGTGTGTGTGTGTGTGTGTGTGTGTTGTGTGTGTGTGTGTGTGTGTGTGTGTTTGTGTGTGTGTGTTTGTGTGTTGTTGTGTGTGTTTGTGTGTGTTTGTGTGTTGTGTGTGTTTGTGTGTGTGTGTGTGTGTGTGTGTGTGTGTTTGTGTGTGTTTGTGTGTGTGTTTGTGTGTGTTGTGTGTGTGTGTGTGTGTTTGTGTGTGTGTCCCCTCATGTGGCAGGTCACTATAGGACAGTAGTGCAGACATCATGAGTCTATGCAGGTTGTTTTCAGGCGATATTATATTTGTTATTTTCTTTTATATTTCACGTCGGGAGAATAATTTCCAAGACACGAATGTGTTTTTACCTGTGCACTGCTGCTCTGTTCTACTGGCTCTTCCACCTCGTCCATTGTGCAACTGACGCCGCCAACGTTAACATGACGTTTACATCGCTCTTACTGCGTGCGTTTTGTGTGGGTTTCCGGCAATGAGTGGAATTACCGAAATAAAAAAATGTATAAATGTGTTTTGTGTGTGTGTGTGTGTTATTGTCCCAACAACACATAAAAACAGGTTTTATAATAAAGAAACTCACATACAGAAACACTAAAGTTAGAGATTAAAAATTAGATTAACGCGATTAAAAAACATAACGCGCTAAATATGACTGTAATTAATTAATCGCAATTAACGTGATAATTTGACACCCCTAATAATAATATGTGTTTGTTTGTGTGAGGAGAGTACCTGAGCTCCTGCTGCGCGGCCGTCGTGTCCAGTGTGTCCTCCAGCTCCGTCTTGAGGGCCTCCAGTTCCTCGCTCAGGTCTCTCTTCAGTTTCTCGGCTTTGCCTCGAGCCTGTTTCTCCGTCTCCAGGTCCTCCTGCAGCTCCGACAGCTGCGCCTGCAGCTCCCTCACCTGCTTCAGGGCGTTGTTCTTGTGGCTCACCTCCTCCTCACCTCTGCAGCACACAGGGAAGTACAGCGTGAACCAGATCGACAGTCTGCCTTTTATGAACTTTTAATGTTATAATGCTGCGGAATCTGTGTAGCATTCATTTTTCAAAATAAAACCAAAAATAAGAAAATGAAAAAACAAGAATTTTCTTCATTATTTCTCTCCAAAACCAAAATGAAGTGTTTCCAATTTCCTTGACTTAAACTGCCCGGTCAAGCAGAAGTAAAAAGCAAGGCCAAAAATTCAAGTTAATGCATCTGATATAAAAATGTACATGGAACAAAAATTATTTCCCAAATTTCAAAGACCTGCAAATCATGTAAATAAATGGATGTATTTCATCATATCTTGTGTTATTCCATCTTTGAACTGTTGATGAAGGTACATGATTTTTCAAAAAAAATTATTTAAAATGATAAAAATTTGCTTGGAAGGACTGACATATTTTATAGAAATAGTTTCCTTTCATTTTGAAGTAATATTAAAGTATTCGAAAGAAAAAAGCGACAAATGATGTAAAATCCTGCACCTTCTACTTGTTTGCACAATTTTCCCTCCGTTACTTTTCCCTCCGTTACCATGACCTTTCTTAATAAAAAATCTCATGACTCAAAAAGTAAGAGGTTTTTCAACCTAATCTTGTACCATATGGTAGAAAACTATATGAAGCAAATATTCAAACCAGTTTGTTAAGGATATGTAAGTGAGAACTGCTAGTTATCACTGTTTGGATTTATTGCCCAAAAAGTGCTGCATATTTCATTCCCTCTGTTACCGACATGAGTTTTTAAATTTTTTGTCAACAACTTGAAAGAATATCACAGGTTTAACTTGACCCTGTTGGAGTGTAACTCTTTCCTACATTCTGATACTTTACTTATTTCAATAGTCCCTCTAGTTTCTGAATAAGAGACATTTGAATGTCAAAAATCTGCACCTGTTTCCCTCCGTTACCGCTGGACCCATTTACTTTATTGGACTTATGGTTGAATATATCACTCAGAAAAACAAACCACTTATCATCCATCAGGAAATTATCATATGTAAGTCTCAGAGTCTGGTACTAGTGGAGTTTACAGTAATGTTGTTTTCTAACCCTTATGTGTTTTCCACTAGAGGGCAGCACCACATCACAGGAATCTGCATGGACACTGCTGTGGCATAACCTTTCATTTAACATTTCACACAGATATTCAGTGTTAAAGTTTGATATGGATAAAGAAATGTGTAGCATTACAGTACAAATCATTTTCTTTATTCTTTGTTTGCTCAAACCTGGGACTTGAAATTGAAATCCTTCAGTCACGTCACACGTCACCATGACTGTGCTAAAAACAAACCATCAAAACATAAGGCTTGCTCTCAATCGCAGTGAAGTAAAAAGTACACTAAAACTTACTTACGTCAAGTACAGATACCTACAATTGCACAGTAAAATACTTTTACTTTTTGTACTTGTACCACTGGAATATTAAGTCTAAATGAAGTCGACTCTTGTGAGTTTTAAGTCACGTTGTAATGTTGTTGTCCTCAAAAACAGACCTGGACTTGTGTTTTGTTTCATTCACACACGAGTAAACCTTTATTACTAGTCTGTCTACATCCCCAAAGCTCAAAATTCCACCTTGTGATGTCACGTAGTGGTAGTTTTAAAGTTTACCGCTACCTTTAACGACGTTTGTCTCATATTTGGTACATCCTCTTGTGAAGTGGCTGTTTCGTTTCTCCGGTGTTTCTCCCTGCCGTCTTCACTACGCTGAACGGAGCCGACCGCGTTGCTTTGTTTGTGGCTCGGTGTTTTGTCCTTTGGGTTGGACCAGTTTCTGTCTTAACGTGTTTGTGGGTTTGAAATAGGCTGGGATTTCACGTTGTTTGAAAATCCTCTGTAGTTTTTCAGAAACACCAGTCAAGTCGGGAACAGTTACAGCAGGAGCCTCAAACCTTTTTCGTCTGGTGAGCTTCAATAACAAATCAGAAACACCAGAGAGCTTCTCATTTTAGCGTCCGCAAGAAGTGGAGTAAATATAAGAGCCTTAGATGGGTACAGTTTGATGCCTATAAAACATTTACGCAAATATTATCCATTTATTAATGCACAAAGATCCATCCATCCATTTTCTTCTGCTTATCTGGGGCCGGGTCTAAGCAGGGACTCTGTTACGACCCCAGGCCTTAGATTGTAATTTGTTCTGTGTGTTCTAAATGATTCTGCTGACACACCTCAAGTCCTGCTGTGGGAGCCCTCGTTTGTGATTGGTGGGGCAAGTCTACGTCCACCTCACCTGCAGCCGCCGCCCCCTACGTAAGGAGACGACCAGCACCTGCTCGGGGCTGCTGGCCTTGGTGGCCTGTCTGCCATTTTGTGTTCGTGTGTGTAGTTCTGTTTTGTGCCTTTTTTGATTTGGTCACTTGATTCTGTTTGTGGGTTTATGTGGTTTAATTTGAGGAACTTGTGTTTTAGTTTAGTGTGTGTCCCTTTAATTTTACCACTGGTTTTGTGTAAACCTGCGTGACTCCTTTTGTGGCACAAAACTGTTTATTCTGTTGTTCTGTTTCTTAGTTCAGGTTGTTCTCTATATATTTTTAGTCTTTTGTTAATTTACCTTTTACCTTCCTGTTAATTAAACTACATCTTGGTTTTATTTTTGTTACTTCCCTCACCCCAACGAGCTGGGACGTAACAGACTCCCAGACTTCCTTCACCCTAGACACTTCCTCCAGCTCCTTCAGGGGGACCTCAAGGAGTTCCCAGGCCAGCCCAGAGACATAGTCCCTCCAGCGTGTCCTGGGTCTTCCCTAAGGCCTCCTTCCAGTGGGACATGCCCAGGAGGCGTCCGGAACAGATGTCTGAGCTACTTCAGCTGCTCCTCTCAACGTGGAGGAGCAGCGGCTCTACGGCACTAAACCAGTACTGGGGGAATGTAGACGCTGGGTCCAGTCAAGTGGTAACGGAGGGAAACGGGCAGATTTTTTACATTCAAATGTCTCTTATTCAGAAACTAGAGGGACTATTGAAATAAGTAAAGTATCAGAATGTAGGAAAGAGTTACACTCCAACAGGGTCAAGTTAAACCTGTGATATTCTTTCAAGTTGTTGACAAAAAATTTAAAAACTCATGTCAGTAACAGAGGGAATGAAATATGCAGCACTTTTTGGGCAATAAATCCAAACAGTGATAACTCTTGGTTCTCACTTACATATCCTTAACAAACTGGTTTGAATATTTGCTTCATATAGTTTTCTACCATATGGTACAAGATTAGGTTGAAAAACCTCTTACTTTTTGACTAATTAGATTTTTTATTAAGAAAGGTCATGGTAACGGAGGGAAAAGTAACGGAGGGAAAATTGTGCAAACAAGTAGAAGGTGCAGGATTTTACATCATTTGTTGCTTTTTTCTTTTGAATACTTTAATATTACTTCAAAATGAAAGGTAATTATTTCTATAAAATATGTCAGTCCTTCCAAGCAAATTTTTATCATTTTAAATACATTTTTTTATGATGAAATACATCAATTTATTTATATGATTTGCAGGTCTTTGTTTCATACATGGTCTGTTTAAAACGTATGTAACTTTAGAACCAAAAATGGCACAGAAAAAAGGTCAACAGTTTCATAAACTAGAGTACATATGTATCTGTTCAATACATTTTTATATCAGATGCATTAACTTGAGTTTTTGGCCTTGCTGTTTACTTCTGCTTGACCGGCCTCGCTGTCTCGGCTTATATCTTGATCCAAATGGTTTGTTGCATATTTGTGACGGTCGGCGTTAAGGGGTTAATATAGACCCTTTAAGTAAACGTAGGCTCCTTAGAAATTTGAGAAAACCATCCATCAGGTGTAGCTCTTACTAAATACAACATTATAACAAAGAAACTACAGAAAACACAGAAAATATAATGATACGGGTTCTTTAATGTACTTATAGATACTCAGGGTGCTTTTATTATTTTATCAGTGTCTTCTTTTCTGTGCTGTGAATCCTGTTGAACATGACTAACCCACAGTGTGTCTTACGTGGACATATATTAGAATGAGCGGTTGCCAGGCTCCTGCTCTCGGCTCAGGCTCCATCTGCCGCAGGTGTGACCATGACTGAGGGCTTCTGTTATGTACCACTTACCTCACCCTGACTCACCGCACACGGGCCGCGCTCACCATATGCTGCGCCGCCTTTCCAGCGTACGTGTGAAAAGGTGCACGGCTCGCATTCTTTTGGTCTGACGCCACGGACCCCGGAATGTGAAAGGGAGTTTAGAGCTGAGCAAATTTGGACGAATATTTGAACATACGTGTCTCGAGTATTTTAGGATTGTGATTTAATTTGCAAAGCTTTTTTAAAGAGGCCACATTACACTATTTTCTGATCACCGTTATAATGTTTTCTCTTCACAAACCGACCTGGAGTTGCGTTTTGTTTCATTCACACATGTTTAACGCATAAACCCTGCGTATTTAGGCTGAGGAACGAACCGAAAAAGCGAGCGCAATGTGCCGCTTCTAGACACGACTGAACAACTGAGTCACTGCGAACACGCCGACAATCCGTTGGTCCCAGACACACCTCCCTACACGCCACAACTGAACAAAGCCCAGAGTCACCGTGAACGAAAAACAAACAAAAACCACTCACCCATCACACTGTTGTGTTTCCTTTAAAGTCCGGTGTGGTTTATTTGTGAAAAAAGTTAGAATAAAAATAGACCATTTAATGACAGTGCGCCTTATAATCCAGAGCGACTAATAGTGCGGAAAATACGGTATATATCATTGTTTTGACGAGCTGGTGAGACTGGTAAGAGTTTATGTTATGATCAGTGTTGGGAAGGTGACTTTTAAAATGTAATCCCCTACAGATTACAGATTACATACACCAAAATGTAGTTTGTAACGTAATCCGTTTAATTACTTAAAGTGAGTAATGTAATCTGAATACTTTGGATTACTTGATTTTCTGTAGAGAAGCAAAAACAGGAATATCTTCACATAAGATGTTTTATCTGCTAAAAGAAAATAAAAAGCCCAGACTTTACTTGACCAAATTAAAAATATTATTGATAGAAGACGAGGAGACAGGTCCACACAGCAGGTTTAGTCCTGTTAAATCCTGTTTTAGTCCTGGTTTAGTCCTGGTCTAGACCTGGTTTTAGACCTGTTTTAGACCTGTTTTAGTCCTGGTTTAGACCTGGTTTAGTTTCGGCAATGAGTGGAATTACATGAAAAAAAAAAGAAAAAAAGGGGGATATAGCTCAAAATGTGAAAACAGGAAAACAGGAAAATACTGCTGTGTAATCCATTTATTTCAACAAAGTAACTGTAATCTAATTATCTATCTATCTGTTGTCTAATTACTCACTGAAACAGTAACTGTAACCGAATACAGTTACTCATAATTTGTACTCTGATTACGTAACTCCGGTACATGTAATCTGTTACTCCCCGACACTGATGTTATGACTAAGCAATGAAAAAGTGAGGTTGCGTCACAAAAAATGTCATATATGTTATAATATGTAATTACAAATGAGCTTAAAGGTGCTGGTCAGAGTCAACCAAAGAGCAGAATGTGGTCTTGGAGCTGTACCAAGCCCAGGTCTGTCCCAAAGCAATAACATTTTCATAGGAACGAGAAGGTGGCGGCCCCTTTAACTGGATGGAAATGGGATTGATAACTAAGTCACGTCTCTTTACAGGCAGCAGATCAAACTGACACATGCATCATCCATCCGTCTTCCTGTACTCCTCATGTACGGTGTCCTGGGTGGGACATACCTGGCCTGGATCATCTGCTGCTCCTCCTCCTTCTTGCCCAGTTGTCCTTTGAGCTCCTCGATCTGGGCCTGCAGCTCCCCGATCTGGTCCTGGAAGTCTGACGTTTCTCCGTCCAGTTTCCTCTTGGCCTTCTCCAGCTCCTGACGCGTCTTCTCCTCCTTCTTCAGACGCTCTACAAAAACAAACATGAAGACAAATCAAGCCTTTGTTTTGAATAAGAATTTAATTAATTACAATAAATGTTAAATTATTAAACAGTCTGCCAGGCTCGTGATAAAAGCTGCCCGAGCTTTACTATGCACTAATTTGCCTTTAATAAACTGCAGTTTGCATAAAAAACACTGGGCCTGGTGACAAAATCTTCATGCTTGTTTTCATGTGTGGATATTGATTAACACTGTTGGGCAAGTTACTTCAAAAGTGTAATGTGTTATTTATTTATGACTTGTTACTGTGATTTCAAAGTAGTTTGTTACATTATAATATTACTGTGTTTAAAATGTAAAACATTAAACGACTATTGCAGCACTTTAAGAGACTCACCAAAAGAACTGTCGCTGATCATCAAATAACAATCAGCGAGAAAAGATGCTGAACTTTTGCACCGTATATGGACTGAACCAGGACTAAACCAGGACTGAACCAGGACTAAACCAGGACTGAACCAGGACTAAACCAGGACTGAACCAGGACTGAACCAGGACTGAAACCAGGACTGAACCAGGACTAAACCAGGACTAAACCAGGACTGAACCAGGACTGAACCAGGACTAAAACCAGGACTGAACCAGGACTAAAACCAGGACTGAACCAGGACTGAACCAGGACTGAGGACTGAACCAGGACTGAAACCAGGACTGAACCAGGACTGAACCAGGACTGAAACCAGGACTAAACCAGGAAACCAGGAAACCAGGACTGAACCAGGACTAAACCAGGACTGAACCAGGACTGAACCAAGAGGACTGAACCAGGACTAAACCAGAACTGAACCAGGACTGAACCAGGACTAAACCAGGACTGAACCAGGACTAAACCAGGACTGAACCAGGACTGAACCAGGACTGAACTAAACCAGGAACGGAACCAGGACTGAACCAGGACTAAACCAGGACTAAACCAGGACTGAACCAGGACTAAACCAGGACTGAACCAGGACTAAACCAGGACTGAACCAGGACTAAACCAGGGCTAAACCAGGACTGAACTGAAGACTGAACTTGGACTGAAACAGGACTAAACCAGGACTAAACCAGGACTAAACCAGGATTAAACCAGGACTGAAACCAGGACTGAACCAGGACTAAACCATGAGGACTGAACCAGGACTGAACCAGGACTGAACCAGGACTGAAACCAAGAGGACTGAACCAGGACTGAACCAGGACTGAACCAGGACTAAACCAGGACTGAAACCAGAACTGAACCAGGACTGAACCAGGACTGAAACCAAGAGGACTGAACCAGGACTGAACCAGGACTGAACCAGGACTAAAACCAAGAGGACTGAACCAGGACTAAACCAGGAACTGAACCAGGACTGAACCAGGACTAAACCAGGACTAAACCAGGACTGAACCAGGACTGAACCAGGACTAAACCAGGGCTAAACCAGGACTGAACCGAAGGCTAAACCTGGACTGAACCAGGTCTAACCCAAGTCTAACCCAGGACCAAACCAGGACTAATCTTGGACTAGGAATTTGAAAGTAGGTCCGCCCCTGAGAAAACCCCGAGCCTGTGGGAAAAAGCATGATCGGGTGTCGGCTACGAGTCACGATCTGGATGTAGGTTGAAATGTTAAGACGTGTTTTGTACAATTTCTAATCTTTTTGTCATTATTTTATTGACTATTTTGCTCCAATATTGCTGGTTCAATTGAATGTTGAAAAGAAAAAGAAACGTTCTATATTTAATGTCCAAACAGGCGATTTATGGATCCTTTTATTGCTGCTTCAATCACCGTTTTTCATCATTTAAAACTAAGAGTAAAGATTAAAACTAATTGATCACTCAGTCAATAAAATATCCTCATTAATGTTCAATACCGATCAAATCCAGCTTTAATTTGTGATGTACAAATAAATTCTACTGATTTGAGTTGCAAAGGTTTGTGACTTTTAAAATATGGGTCTCCAGAAAAAAAGTTTGGGAAACACTGATGTAAATAATCTAATCTCTATCAGAGCATCTCTCCAGACACAAGCTACACTTCTCTGCGTGTAGGCGAGTTTCAGCTGACGTCATTGTTATTAAAAGCCCGCGTTGCTGCTGGGAAATATTTTGGTCGGAGGCAAGAAACACGGTAGCGTCAAACACAGTGCGTAACCTCGCGTATTTATCCTCGATAATGGTAAATTCCTGCTGCATTATCGGATGCACAAATAGAAGCACGGAAGAAGGAAAATGTCTTTTTCGTATTCTGAGTGAAAAGAACCACTAACGGTGAATTAAACGGCTTTCAGACATTCACAGAGCAAACGTAGAAGATCCTAACAAACCGTGTATCATTCGTTCATTCGTTTTTCAATATAAAACCAAAAATAAGAAAACGAAAAAACAGTTTTCGATTTTGTGTTTAAATGAAGAATGGAAAAAACGGATAACGGCCGTTTCCCGTTTACGTGACTTCCGTGACTGCGATGCCGAACTTTTGCACCGGGTACGTACTGAACTAGGACTGATCCCGGTCTGGTCCTGGTCTTGTCTCGGTCAGCCTCCGTCTCTGTCTCAGGCCCGCTCTGGTCTTGGTCTTGTCTCTGTCTCAGACCCGCTCTGGTCCCGCTCTGGTCCCGGACCTGGTGAACCAAAAGCTCTTAGTTCGGTTCGTTTTCGTTGGTGTGAAGCGTCAGTCGGATGCTTTGCACCACCTCGGAACCAGCCGCGGTTCTTGAGCGCGGAGGACCAGAGCAGCTCGTCCGGACCTGTAGTCCACAGAACATTCTCACTTTCCCCACACGGAACCAGCGTGGAGACGATGACACGGAACCAGTCGGACCACTGGTCCCGGTCTCAGTCCCGCTCTGGTCCCGGTCTGGTCTCGGACCTGGATCAGTCCTGGTTCAGTCTGTACCCGGTGCAAAAGTTCGGCATCGCAGTCACGGAAGTCACGTAAACGGGAAACGGCCGTTATCCGTTTTTTCCATTCTTCATTTAAACACAAAATCGAAAACTGAAAAAACGAATCATTATCCGTTTTTTCATTTTGGTTTTGGAGACAAATAAAGAAGAAAACTGTTGTTTTTTCGTTTTCTTATTTTTGGTTTTATATTGAAAAACGAATGAACGAATGATACACGGATTCTAACAAACCGTGGACTCCAACAAGTTCAACGATGCATCGAGACTCTTGGAGGTTTTCATCTTTTCTGCTGTGAAGGAGTTTCCACCAAGTCATTGTGGATATCGCCCAAGTGAATATTTGTCCAGGTAGTTGGTGATTCCAACCAGAAATGTGGTTTGGTCCAGATTTTGTCGGGGTTGAAAAGGGTGATTTGTCGTCCGTCGATGCTTATGACCAATTTCTGGTCAAATGGTCTTGGGTCCTCTGCCGTTAGAGTGGATAAATAACCGGGATCAATACCCTTTACGTGCTTTCTCGCTCCGTCCGTCATGTTGAATTAGTGTTTCTTGCCGCCGACCAAAATAATTCCCAGCATGCAACGCGCGCTTTTGTCAACAATGAAACTCGCCTATTTACAAACATTTTAAACACGTTCTGAAATTTGACGTTTCTGATGTGGTCACTTTTGGACACACGGGTTAAACTTTACCTTCGAGCTCTGCGATCATCATCTCCTGCTTGTTGCGAGTCTTCCCCAGGTTCTTGGCCTTCTCCTCCTCTTCGGTCAACATGGACGTCACCTCATTGATGCGATCCTCCAGGAGCTTCTTCTCCTTGATGAATTTCGAGTTCTGGTCCTCCAGCAGCAGGATGTCCTCCTCGTACTTCTTCATCTTGGCCTCGGCGCTCACTTTCTCCAGCTGCAGCTTCTGCCGGGCCCCCTCCTCCTCGTCCAACTGCTCCTCCAGGTCCTACGCAAACAAACACAATTACGTACAATAACAAAAAATTACACGGAAATTAGAAGTGTTTAAAATCTGCTAGAGTCAACTTCTTGATAATAATAACGTTGCTAAAATAACAGACACACATTCTTTATATCTTTGCAGAAATTATACACTTAATTGAAGAAATAAACCATAACAGTAGCTATGTTTACATGAAAACTGAAATCTGATTAGTCTGGAGCTTTAAGAATATTCAAATGGAAATGCAAACTACTGTATTTTTTGGACTATAAGACGCACTTTTTTTCATGGTTTGGTTGTTTCCTGCGACTTATACTCTGGTGCGACTTGTGTATTAAAATTTTCAGACTGAAACCGCGAGAGGTTCTAGTCTTGTGTGTCAGTATCTGCTGCTCCTGTTCCTCCTGCACCACTGTCACTTCACTCTACTGCGCATGTCTCCTGCAGAAAGAGCCTCTGTCCTGTTGCAAGTCGTGAAATCTGCAGCCGAAAACGGTAATCGAGCAGCAGAAAGAAAGTTTGGAGTGAGTGAGAAACTTGTGAGGGACTGACGGAAAGCGGGGATGGAGAACACAGCTTCACGGCAACCAGGAGGATGCAACGTGAAACTTTCCTGAAGTCACTGGATGGATGGACAAAGCCTGGACTTCAGTGACACCGAAACCGTCCTGTCGGGATTCAGAAAGGCCCGAATAATTCTAACTGGAACTGATGCTGAGTCTGACGACAGCGACACAGAAGAGGAAGCGGCGCTCTGTTTACCTCTGGAGGTCGTGGAGTTGCTCAGAAGTGACACCGAGGATGAAGAATTGAATGGATTTAGTGATTTGGAGTGAGATGGAGAGTTTGTTAAACTTGTTCTGTTCTGTTGTTTATGTTATAGTTTATCTGAAGAACTGTTCATATGTGACGTTAACAGTCTGTTGTTCTCTCTTCTATTGTTATTACTAGAACTTGAAATGTCGGTTCCTGGTCTCTGATTTTATAAAATACATTTCCCCCAAAAAGTGCGACTTACATATGTTTTTTTCTTCTTCATTACGCATTTTTTGACTGGTGCGATTTATACTCCGGAGCGACTTATAGTCCGAATAATACAGTACAAAATTTGATGTGAATAATCTGAGGGACTTGATCAGAAAGTTCACTTTACAGCTGTTTGTCACTTGAAAGGTTTTCTACCTCCAAAAATGTGATATGATGTAAAATGTGACTTGTAAGGTCAACAACAAAAAAAGTCCTAGTCTATAACAATAGTATATAGTCTTAATTTTGTGGTAACATGACATTAGAATAAAAAAAAAAGGTTTTTAGGTTTAAGAGGAAAAAAAGTTAAATGCAAAAAAAAAGCAAAAAATGTTTGAACTAGGGCTGGATATGAGAAAAATACGCCAAAAAATACCTGTAAATACTACCTTCCTGAACAAAAATAATACTCTTAAGCACTCAATTCTGTAAAAAAGTCTTTCTCCAAAATCAGAATCTGCTCTAAAGTCGATGCTTTAACTGACTGACTTGATTTTAATCGAAATTCTGAAGAGTAAATTACCAGGAAACGTGTATTTTCTTGGTAATAAAATAAATCCATGACTGAAAGATGCACTAATCACTTCTATTTTCATCCTATCTATTAATTACCATCCTATTACCAGCTTATTACTGTGATGTATGAGTAGATGCGACACCTGTATGTGCGACTGCATCTTCTTCTTCTCGTTCTGCAGGCCCTGGCTCCGCTCCTCCTCCTCCTCCAGTCTGGACTCCAGGTCGTGAAGGATCTCCTCCAGCTCCTGCTTCTTGTTGGCCAGTCGAGCTCTCATCTCCTCAGCCTCGGCGAACAGCTCGGTCTCGGCCTGGAGCTGCTCCGCCAGGATGTTCTTCTCCTCCACCAGCTGCACACAAACACATATATTTTTTTTTATTTCTATGTGTCTGAGATAAGTGATAGACAGAAGACGGGACCAGCGCTTCAGACCTGCTGGTGCTTCCTCTCCATCTCCACCAGCTCTCCCTCCACTTTGCTCTGCTTCTCCTTCACTTTGACCAGCTCCTCGTCTTTGGCCTGCATCTCCTCCTCCTGCCGGGTCACCTGCAGCAGAGGCTTCACCTGGAAGGCAAAGCAAAGCAAGTTTATTTGTTTGTAGAGCACAGTTCATACACAAAGTATTTCAAAGTTCTTTACAGAATAAGAAAAAACTCTGTGTGTCATTCGTTCGTTCGTTTTTCAGTATAAAACCAAAAATAAAAAAAACAAAAACAACTGTTTTCTTCATTATTTGTCTCCAAAACCAAAATGAAAAAAACAGGTAATGATTCGTTTTTTCAGTTTTTGATTTTGTGTTTAAATTAAGAATGGAAAGAACAGATAACGGCCGTGCGATGTCGGACTTTTGCACTGCATACGGACTGGACCAGGACTGATCCAGGTCCGGGACCAGACCGGGACTGAGACTGAGACCAGACCGGGTTTTTTGTTTTCTTAAATTTGGTTTTATATTGAAAAATGAATGAACGAACGATACACGGATTGAAAAACATTAAAATCACAATAAAAACTAATCAAAACATAAATAATCATCATAAAATTAAAGATTAAAATAAAAAGAGAGAGAGAGAACACACCACGCACACTGTTATTAAACACTTTTAAACTGTAATTCTTTCTGTTCTCACCGTAATGATTCACACTAACATCTTGTCAAGACATTTAAAAAGGAAAAAATTAGCATTTCTACAACTCTTACCGTGACATTATAAGCACAATTTAGTTTAAAATTCATATAAACTGAAAGCATCTTTGGTATTTTGGTTTAAAGACTTGAATTGACTCAACTGACTCAGCTCAAAGCAGACGACTTGGACTTGACTTGGGCTTATGAACCAAGACTCGACTTGACTTGTTTGTATTTGACTTGGGACTTGAGGTCAAAGACAACAACTTGGTCCCACCTCTGGACAAATGTGTCAAAGCTGCATTATTTATTTTATTTATTTATTTAATAGGGACAGTGTGTAGTAATGAACATCTACAACACTGCAGTGTAAATATGACAGATTATAGGAAGACTGCTCATTTCCATCTGTCGTCCCTCGGCAGGAAACACCACAAATTTAAACAAAGCAAAAACAAGTAACAAATCTATGCTAAAAGTGTCCACAAGTCTGTTTTTTCTTTAGCCGCTCTTTTAAGGAGGACTTGAAGGTGGCAAGAGTTGAAGTTTCTCTTATTGATAATGGCAGACTGTTCCAAAATGTTGTGCCTCTGACTGAGACACACATTAAACACATTATAATGTCAAACGGGCTGATGTGTCTCCATAGTGTTTATGGTTTATATGATGTAAAGTTGTTGTAAACTGGAAGTCTGTTTGACTGGGCTGATTGAGGAGCATCGCTTACATTGACTCGACTCAGGGCAGTTGTGGCTACAGTCGCACTTTACCACCACTGATTTTAAATAATATTATAACAGGACTATTTTTTTACTCATTCTGCTCGACTCATTCTTCTGTACCTTGGTGAAGAGCCTCCACCACTGCCAGTGGCGCAGTTTGAGATACGCCGCACAGTTCCTCTGGAGGACTTTGAGTGCACTCAGCTGCTGCTGCTTCTTAGCAAAGGACCTGAAGGAACAGAGAAACCAGGAAACATCAATACTCACAAACTAGAGCAGGGGTGGTCAAACTACGGCCCGGGGGCCGTATGCGGCCCTTTAAACCTTTTAATCCGGCCCGCCGAACTGGAATAAATTACAATAATAAACCTTGTTGATGTTTTATTTGTCATGCATTTCCAGCGTTTCCCAGTAGATGGCGCACTATATATATATATAATATATAAATGTGTTTCTCACCTTCCACGGTGGTAGGTCTCTCTCACCCTCATTGAGCTCGGGTCCTCTACCAGAGGCCTGGGAGCTTGAGAGTTCTGCGCATATATATATATATATATATATATATATATATATATATATATATACATTGAGTTGCGGCGTGTTATGTTGGCCACAATGCTTTATGGGAAAGTGTCCTTACAGGAGTTATTTGGACCATGAGTGAAGTAGTTGGTGCTTAAGATATAAAACTGCACTGCTTCCATTTTGAGTTGGTAATAATCAATCAAAGAAACCTAAGGTCTTTAAGTTGTAATTATTAGTCTGTACAACGTTTTGGAGTCAGGTTTTATCACACTCACAGGTGTGTATCTGTGGTTGTTTGGCGTGAGCTTTGTATTTGAGCCGTTACCAGTCATATTTGAAAACAGTGAACTCACGATACACATTCACTCGTGTTGTGCAGTGGAACAGGTCAACAGTTTTATGTTCTGAATCTTTCACAGCAGTGATGACACGTGTAGCGCGTCTGAAGTCCTAGATAAATGTGAATAAGAACGTAATGAATCTGAGCTCTTAACACGTTATGTCCTGTCTTCTGTCCGGCCCTTCGGTCAAACTTTAGGACCCTATGTGGCCCGCGAGCCAGAAAGTTTGCCCACCCCTGAACTAGAGCATGGAAACCCATCAGACCCATCGGACACATCAGTGCTTCAGCTGTTTCCTGTTTACAGTAAAACCACTCGCTTTGAGACTCTTTAAGTGTTCAAAAGATCAGAGCTCTGCACTTCTAGTTTAGATACAATCAGAACTGTGTCGTTATTGTTTGTGAAATGTGGTGCAAAACTTCAGATACATGATTTTTAAAGCATAAGATTGGCGATAAAGTCCACAGGGAGTAGAGTCACTATCACGAATCTGCAGCTTCACATCCGTGCACTGTGTGGATGTAAACAGACACACGTGAACTACTTTCACCTTCTTACTTTTAAAGAACGCCACAAACTGGATTAATAGTACAGTTTTGTGGACTGGATGTCATTATTTGCGGATGACAGTTTCTATGGATATTGTGGATGAGACGCTGCACTTAAAATTTACTGCTTTATGAGAGTTGAGGAGTAAAATCTGAAGTTAATAACGTTCTTGTTATTTCCGTTATGTCCTGAGTTTGTATTTGTGTCATTAGGCATATGAAAATAGTGTGATTTTAATTGTGTGGGGTTCGGACACAAATATCTTAATGCCTATTGGGTTCAGGTCAGATTCAATCACTGCTCTGTCGGATGTGGGCCGGGCTTGGACAGAAAAAATTAAAAAATTCCGATCCACACTCTATCACAAACACACATATGTTCAAATGCGCGTGTGGGAGTCGTACTTGCGTGCCAGGTATCCTCTGCACACGGCCTGAAAGTAGATGATGATGTCAGTGATCTTGAGGTCCCTCTCCTCCTCCAGGTGAGCCAGGACTCCAGCTCTGAAGAAGATCTTACTCTGACCGATGCGGTACAGGTTACAGTCCAGCTCCAGGGCCTGGATCTGCACAGAACAAGGACACCGCACTTTACCGAGGAATATCGAAGAAAACCAAACACTACACATGGGGCTTTAAAGGTTGTATGGAGGATTTTTTTTTGTTTCAAGTTGTCAATGATAGATTATAGAGGTGCAGTAGCCTTGTAATTATGATGACCAAAAAAAAGAGAATAAAAATTCATAAACTCTGGACGTGGTGGGGCTAAACATTTGCCAATAGATAACGACACTGCCTCGTTATCTGTGAGCTGACAGGCTGTCAATCAAATCTCCCTACGTTTCTAGCGTAACTGACTTGCCTGCGCCGCCGGTACGTGGTTTACGTACGACTGTCACGCAGTCCACAGACGCAAGACACACAGACGCTGTTTACTCCACCAACGCAACAGTTCTTAGCGGCTTTTTTTTTACCTATATCTTCCTCGCAGTTCGCACAAAGTTTGTTACAATGGCGACAAGAATCCAGGAGCAGTTCGCCGCAAAAGAAAGTCTGTTTTTGAGGTCGCTGAAAGAAGAAGAACAAGGGGAAGATTCAAGATTCCAGCGATGGCGCGACTGAAGCAGACGAGGGTCTAAAGACTGACGCACTGGTCCACAAATTACTCCTGGACAGGAAACTTCTGCTTATTATGAAAACGTTACATTTATTTCCAAGAGCGAGACAAACGTTTTTCAGGACACGAAAGCGATATCCTATGTCTGAAAACGTAATTTTCAAGGCAAAGAAAGAGTCCGCTTGCTGCTGCGTGTTGTAGCTAGTTCATTCGCACGGAATCTCCGCGCAACCTTCTCTGCACCCTTTCCTGCTCCTGTCCCCGCTGCCCGATCCACTCTTCTCCCTGCTCCTCACTTCTCCGGGCACGGAATCTCCGCGCACCGCTCCCTCTCTCCTCTCTCCTCTCTTCTCTCCCTGCTCTCTTCCTGCTCCTCACTTCTCGTCCGCGAACGAAATGTCCGCACACCCGCTCCCCCGCTCCCTCACTTCTCCGTCTTGCCTAACCAACACTGTAGTTAGTTGTTTACAAGTCATGTGCAGTTCACCGGCTGTAAACAAACCTGTTTCTGGCGTAAGGAGGAGGCGGGAGGAAGGCGTTTCTACGTAGGAGCTGTAGGGGAGGGGGGGTGGTTTCACACATGCGCAACATTTGAAAAAGGACAAACAGTCGCTGGATTTCTCGTTCCTTGGAAAATCCTCTATACAACCTTTAATGCACAAAGAGCTAATTTATAGAAGATATAAATGTATAAATTCAGGTAATCATTAATCAAAAGGAGATTTGTGTGTAATTAATGTAATGCAACACTAGTTTCTTTGTGAATACACACCATCCTCTCACAGGCCTGTTTTCCATCCATGAATCCTTTGGGAATGGCGTTGGGAGTGAGGATCTCATACCTGGAGCACAAGCACAGAAAACATATGTTATAAGGTTCATATTTTATACATACATCCCAAATTTCAGACTCCCGGTTATCACGCAATGCAAACTGGGAAGGATCCTCCGAAAAATTGAGCATCAAACCGCCATGTTTGATTTCCCAGTGGGATGCGCCTATTGTCAAAGTCGATCTTTTCAAGTCTTTTGAACCGTATCACTTTTGCTTCTGGTTCTGATATCGTCATATTTACATCCGCCAAGGAGGTTATGTTTTTGCCGGCGTTTGTTTGTTTATTTGTTTGTTTGTTTGTCTGTTAGCAACATAACTCAAAAAGTTATGGACCGATTTTGATGAAATTTTCAGGATTTGTTGGAAATGTGAAAAGGAAGAACTGATTTCAATTTGGGGGTGATCCGGAAGAAATCCTGGATTCTGGATCACTTTGAAATTTTAGTTAACATTGTGGTAAATGGGGCCAAAAATTTTGTTTCTCAATATCTCGGTTAATTATTGACCAAACCCCATGAAATGTGACTCAGGGATGGACAATGGGATCCTCTTTCATATTCCAAAGGCTGATCCGGATCTGATCCAGAAGACTGATTTTATTGCAATTTATATAAAAAATGGGGGTAGTCCTTGGCGGAGGTCTGCGCTCTCTGAGTGCTTTTCTAGTTTAGATTTGGGATTCGGACATCGTAGTTGTGTGGTTGTTGGATGTTCTAACAGCAGAAAATGGGCTTTGGAAGTTTGCGAACTCCATAAATGCAAAAGTGAATCAGATGTGTGTGACTGCAAACCTCCGTTCAAACTGTTTCCCTTCCCAACGGAATTGAAAAATAGTGAAAGGTGAAGGCGATGGGCAGGATTGATCCACAGGAAGGACGAAAAAGGAAATCTTTGACTGCTTAAGAAATTATCTCGAGTTTGCAGTGAACATTTTGTATGTGGAGCGACAATAAAGCAAAATCCCGTTTGTTAATCGAGAGGTGCAGAAGACAAACAGACCGAGCTCGCACTTTCTTGTTCGACTTTACAGCAACATCACGTCTCAGTCGCGTTGCAGTGGAAGGTGTTTCTACTTGAGTGTCGTGAGTCACCTCTGTCTGAACTCCTGGAAGACGATGCGGTTGGGGAAGCCCTGTCTGCAGATACGAATCCCCTCCAACACTCCATTACACCTGAGCTGGTCCAGCACGAGGTGAGGGTCCAGTTTTCCAGCCTAACACGGAAACACAGTTATATGACACAATAAAACATAACATGTAAGTGTAATAAAAGTCTAACCCTAAACCACATGTGTAAAATATTGCACAGTGTAACAGTACTCTTATTTGCAAAGTTTTACTTCTCCCCACTCCCTTTCAAGTTTTTTTTTGGTGTTCGTTATTGTAAACGTACAAATGGTTCAGGATTTTTTGTTTGTAAGTATTGTAATGTTAAGTTGACGGTCATGACAGTAATGAGTGAAAAGGAACTGAACAACCAACCACAAAATAAATAAATGATTGACTGACTTGAGTAATATGTTGTACAGCAGGGGTCATCAAACTGACCCTATGAGGCAATCCTCAAAAGTTGTCATGGCCTAGATTACTTTTTGGCAAATAATAACACATCTGCATCTTGTTCAATTTAAAAAATTATATTTATATGAAGTATTTATATTTACATTAAAATAATTATATGATGTATTTACATTTGCCGCAGAATTTTCATCACCTGATAAACTCAAGATCAAACTGTGACGCATGTGCAGAGTTCTGCA